ACCACTTCGCTGCAGAATTATCGGATGGTAATGGTCGGGATTAACTGGAAAATTGAATAATTCCTTTTGTTTGATGTGAAAGACTTGATTCCATGAGTTATCTGGATAATGAGGCCCACATGTAGCACCAAACTCATAGTGATACGTTAAATTTGCCACAAAGTAAGAGGCTACGTTTCTCATCGGATATGAGAGGGTACTATGGTATGCATGAAAGGACTCTCGGCATATCCTTTAGACTTTCATCGTCGTTCTCCTTACAAACTGCACCCTTATCACCCGGTAACTGCCGAAAACTTGCGTAACCTCCCCAAACCGTAAACCCATCCACTCCCATTACACTCCTTTTCAAGTTCAATTCTCGTAATTTAGTCGTGAAAAAGAAACGCCAAGAGTATCAAACAACCCGCGATAAATTGAGCGTTATCATTTAATTACATTGAATACGGTTTTTTTTTAGACATCGGTTTTATCGGTAAGTAATGGGGACGGATACGTAAATTCTTATCTTTAAAGGCTTTTGAATTTCGAGAGTGACGGAAATTTTTTATCAACCTCAACAATATCGCTTGAACAACGAGACCCTCAATAAATAATCCTGCGTATGAAAAAAAGGTAATGAAAAAGGAAGGGAAGGGAAAAAAATTTTATTACAATTTCAATAAATTTTTGTGTTGAATTGGATTTGATGGAATTAAATATTGTGTAATTTAATGGCGTGTAATTTAATGATAAAAATTAATATTATTAGTGGATTAGTATTATTGGATAGAATATAGAGTTGGTCTGGGGTCGGTCTGGGGTGGGGATATGTGAGGAATAGAAAAGGAGAAAGAGAAAGAGTGGGGTTGGGGTGGTTACTCACCCCATTGGCGTGACAACAGTTGCGGTTAAAGGGCAAACGCGGCCCTTTATTCTGGCAACAAAATTCAACGGCACATGAGGACATCCCTCTCTCTATCTCACCTCCATCAACAGTTACACGAGTCAGACAGAGATGGTTGAGGGAGCTAAAAGGGAGACACAAACGCCCACTTTCACAGGAGTGAAAATTCACGGACACCAGAGTACGAGGGCCCGGTTATTTAATTAAAACCGGATTAAGCCCGGCGTCTTGTGCGCCTTCCTTCAGCGCATTCTCAACATATACTTTTCTCTTTCCTCTTTCCTTTTTAATCTCATACCCTTCTCGTCGATATCACACACTACCTAATTGCTTAATCCGGATTAAAATCATCAAACACTTGGAATTACTGCAAACCATCTGAACTTATTTACTATTTATATAATTATCTGTTTTATTGATAAATGGAACTTTCTGCATTTATTTTTATTTTTATTTATCCTGCGGATGGAGCGAGGAATTTATTCACCTGTTTTATCATTTCACTTAAGTGTTGATCGTGTTTATTAATGCTGATTTAAAATATTCGCAGTCACTAGGAAAGTGGTGGAACGCGATAGGGAGTGATTGAAATCGAGTCAACACTTTTTTTTTAGCTGAGAAAATCGGAAAAGTGCACAGAATTTATTGAATTATCAATTATTTTTATATAAAATTTCGCGGATAATTCCCGGAATTTTTTATTAATTGATATAATTTCATTGAAATATCAAAAAAATTTTGTACAATACTGATATTATTTCAATTACATAAATAATTTTTGGATTTATGTTACCTATATATGTTCCCGCCTCTTCAATAAAATTTTGAATTGCCAATTATTTTCTGACATATTTTATTTTAAAAACATCCTGAGTCCAGTAAAAATTATTAAATTATATATTATTATATTCTAAAAGCGTGCCATTTTGTAAAGATGAAGATTCTTCTAAAGAAACATATACCAGACAATTATTGAACACCAGGGAATTTTTTTTTTCATTTCTCTCCGCGCAGGATTCTTCAAATAATAAAAGAATAAAATAATAAATATAAAAAAAATAGTAAATAAATAATAAATTGTTTTATCCGGATTCTCAGGCTTGGAAGTAAGTAATCCCGATGAAAATCCGTAGAAATTTTACGTGAAGCCATACAGTTTCTGCTTGAGTGGCCGTAAAATTTTCAATATCCAGAAGTATATTGTGAATGGGATTTTTCGTGCTTAAATTATGTTGGAAAATATTTGAATGGCCGAAGCACCGGCAATGGAAATATACTGGAAAAATTACAGAACTTTCACGTATTCGTAAAGTATCCTGAAAGTTCCGTAAAAATTCCTGCTCGCTAAATTTTTACAGAACGTAAAATTTAATTTTTTAATTTAATAATTTAATTAATTTTTTGAATATTTCCGGGGGTTGAGCCTCAATTAACGACAATAACCAAGATAAATTGGAAGCCTTACATTTCATTGGAAAATTATCAGATTTCCACGTGCATCGGGTTCTACCCTGTCCCTTATTCTGGAGCGAGCAGTTGATGCCTTGCTATTAAATCAAAGAGGCACTCGAACGGCGTCCGATGCGCTGGGAATCCCAAATCGTTGCCCATAAAGACCCCACACCTACAATGTTTGCGTTTATGCATGTGTAACAGCCATCGCGGAAGCACGAATTGTTGCCAAATGTCTGTCGTATGTGGCTGGTGATTCCGGGGGTGCCGACGGGACGGTACAACACCCTCTGCATCCACCCCAAATTCACGTACCCCGGGGCAAAATATGCGCTGAGGGCTGCGGTGGGTTGAACATTAGGGTTGTGCCATACGCGAAAAAAAGAGTAACTCAGAGAGGCTAAACCCAGCCAAAAAAGAAAGATAAAAAACAGTTAAAAAGCCACTTAGCGTCACTCCATAAAACTCAGACGTGAAATGCAATTTTTAAACCCCCAGGGGTTGAAGAGAAGCGTAAAAGAAAAAAGAGATGTTTTTTCTCGGTTGAATACCGGGTGTTGATCTTAATATGAAAATGCGTCACTTAATATCAAAGGCAACAGCCGAATTAATGTCCTAGACTCTCGGTTTTTATTAGCTCAAGAGGGTCATTTGGCGCTTCTAATTAAAGATACGAAATCGCTCTATCGCGGAGGATGAAATTAAAGGGTGGTATGAGCCCAGGGGAAAAAAAAGTGTCAAGTCTTTTTTAACTTTCTACACTTCTTCAGGTTTGAAAGATGCTCTTTTTCTTTGAGAACGAAGGAGGATCGTTTAAACGGGAGCTCTAAAGCCCTGAGCTAAGTGTAAATGATAGCGCGGTTGAAGATACCCTCAAAAGAAACGGTTACGACGTCATCTCCGAGGGCTCCCCTTCGCCAAAGATAAAAAGAGAACAATCCGGAACAACGAGAGAGTGTGAGATGGCAAGAACTCCTTTAAAACGGAAATAAAGAGAGTAATAGATGACAAACTGATTTCATCAATTGGTACGTTCGATAATCGCTCCGGGGAAATTGGCCAGGGCAACGGCTGTGTCCTATCCCCGGAGTCGCGGAATTTCACCTTCTTTTATTTTATCTTCAATTGAGAAACGCCGAATACTTCCTTTTCATTCAATAAAAAGGAGCGGAAGAAGCGGGGAAAAAGGCAAATATCGAAAACAGTGGCACGTACATAAATTTGCGAGGTCACTTAATTGAATGGGGAAAAAGAGGGCCGAGAGGATGAGGAAAGAACGTATCTTATACTCTACTCTCCCCAGTGCCTTCAGGACAAAGACCAGTTGGAATACTATATCGTTTCGCTCTAGAAGATATACTTGTGTCCGATACCCATTGGATATGTTAAACGGCTCTGGAATGTTCCGAGCTATTTGATAGATTGTTCAAATAAAAAGGAGAAGAGAAAATTGGAGGAGAGATTAAAGAATATCGCGGGACAAATGCTTGAAGAATTTATTAGAAAATTTAATAGTTCTGCTGATTTTTATTTTTTTATTTAAACCATTTCTCCATATTTAGGGTTTTATTTGCATAGGTAATTTTTTAAAATAAATTATCAACAATATAAAATTTATTTCGTAAATTTCTGATGTATTTTATCTGGAAGTTCAGGTAAAAATTACCACTTTTAAAATATATATTCATGTTTAATTTAAATTACTGTCCGGTTTCTATTTGAAATTATTTAAACTCTATTGGAATTTCATTAATTATCGATTTGTTTATAAATTTTTGAAGGAGTAACCTTGGATGTGTGGATATATGACGGAAAAATAGAGTATATTTATAAATGACGGGTATTGCGAAGGAAAAATGAGAGAACCAAATGTACTGTATCACACTTGGGCATGTGATGAGGGGCCTATGGAATGGGACTTGGAATACTTCATCTTGTAAAAATAGAGGAGAAACGATACGTTGGAGATTTCCGGATAAAATATTATTTTGTTTGAGTGCGGGTAATTGTGAAAGCGAAACAACCATTTGGTGGAGAAGAGTAGCGCGTGTTCGAACGACTTGAAATTCCTCCAGGGCATATCTCCAGCACAAATAAATAAACATAGATGGCCGTTTGAGGAGCCGCAGCTGCTCGCTTTCCCTACACCCCACCCCATCTGAAAAAAAAAAAATTGTAATCTCTATTTTTCGTTTTTTTTTTTCATCATTACTCATCTAGAGTAGATGGGAGTCTTATGCTGTTTCGTTTATACTAAAGATGATGTTTCCTTTTGGGATTGTTTTAGGTAAGAAAAAATTTCCAGCTGATCCATCCTGCTGTCCTGTCTGCAGCGTTACGGTGAGGCCACAGGAGTTGGAACAGCATTTTGCTCAAGAGCTGGATCGATTGTACAAAGTATCCGCGAATAACTCGAGACCGAGACCGAGATCGATACTTCCAGTTGTCCAGGATCATCCGCATGGACAAATGCTTCACACACCCTCGACAGCTGATGGCACGCCGCAGGGAAGGTGGGAGACATATAAAAGAATTCGAGCAAATCGTCAAGTGAGTGAATTCAGTAATTTCGGGATTTTTAAAACCAGTTTACACTGAGAGATTTAATCGGTGAATAATTGCACTGAATTTTTAATTTATTGATAAATAAAGCGCATAAATTTGGGGATTTTATGCGGTAAAGGGCATGACAGTATTGCCGGCAGGTGACGGTCATCTGTCTCCGGGGTTTTTTTGTTTAATTATTATTATTGTGGATTGTTATAATTCGGATAATACCAACATATCATTCACCTGAAAACGTCAGCTAAATTATCAAAACCTCATTAGAAATGAAACAAAAAGAGAATATCTAAATGAATTTGTCGATATGCAAAGGCGAGAATTCGAGTGAAGAATCGAAAAAGAAAAGCAGACGAGCCGGCCTGTCCTGTCTGCAACGAGCGTCTTTCCGGTACCCCAGAAGAGTTAACACAGCACGTCGAGAGATGTCTGAATAAGCACAACAGTGGTAACGGCTCCAACGTCACCCTGGACGACGAAGAGGTAGACGTTGAGGGTGATGCCGAGACTTTTGAGGAGTACGAGTGGGCCGGGCAAAAAAGAATTCGTGCAACGTCAATGTTGGTGGGAGGATTTTCCGGTGAGCTTACCAAAATTTCATGAAAAAATCAAAACCAAACGCCGGTACTGTTGGAGAGCAACAAAATCCATCATATCCATCGAACAGTGAAATAAAATCTCGAATAAAAATCCAATTTTCGTTAAACGATTCGACAATATTTCAATACACGGAGATAACTTCATTCGTTCCATAAACATTACGATTTTTTTCACTGGAGTGCTTCGACATTTGACTGTAAATTGAATATCTGCATTGTATTCTATAGCTGCAGGACTGGCAACATCGTCGAGAAGTGGCAATGGTGCGGGCAATCCTGGACGACCAGAGGAGGAAGAGGATCTGATTGTCGATGGCGATGAGACAGCGCAATTTGGTCCAGCTCAGTACTCAGAAGCGGATGTGATAGCACCGAGGGGTGAGGGAACACCTAGGGAGCAGAAAGAGAGGGATGCACTCAGGGAAGCTGTTATATCACCCAATGCACCACTGACCCCTCATACACCACCTGATCAACCCCACGGTGCACAAGTCGAGGTGAAACCCGAACCTGGCACCATTATTGGACACAATAATCCATTCTCACCCTCGTCTACACCATCGAGGCAGAAGTCTGAAGGAGATGAGGGAGCTCCCACGACACCTGGACAGGAGGGCACTGATACACCGGTTGTTGATGCTTTGAGGAGTAGAATCCGAGAGCTCGAGAATGAAATGAGGGGACAGCCCTTCAAGTGTCTCATCTGTATGGTGAGTCAAATTCTATTCAAAGTATTTATTTTTATTTAAATTACTCACAGATTACCAATAATAATCAATAATAAAATAAAATAAAAGAGATCAACAACTCCCACGACGACCAAAAATAATTTAATTTAATTTTTCCTTAATTAAACACGAATTATTATTTGTTTAGTGTTAATAATACAGTGAACAATTCGATTAGTGAATCTAGTTCTAAACAAAACAAATTATCGTTATTATTATTTTCCATTACCTTTTAATGTTACAAATAAATTAATTAAAATTATATTACCGCAGTTAGCAGCTCCGATAGGACCCTTGTCACCCTTCCGTGAAAAACGTTATCAACTGAATTACAATGGATAATTTTCATTAACAGGAGCAGTACAAAAAACCAGTGACATCGGTGTGCTGTTGGCACGTGCACTGCGAGCAATGTTGGTTGCATACACTGGTCAGTATATCTTTAATCTCATTACCATTATCATATTCCCTTCTGGGATTACCATTGGGACCGAACAACGCAGGTAAAAAAAAAAAGAAAATACCGCAGATCACATCGACCACAATTCCAAAACCATTGTGAACCGCACAGTGATTCGGATTTCATTTCGTTATTTACCTTTGAAAGGGTTGTACAATGATGGAAAATCATGTGGAAAGCCCACGAATGTCGGTCGTTTATGCGGGCTTTCCACACATTGAAAACGCGAAATGTAAAATGATACTCATCTCGCGAAGCCGTAGAGTGACGCACCGCACTCAATACAATTTTCCCAAAAAAATTTACCTGAAATTATATAGCAACTGTTTTGATGGCATCCTGATATATTTTTATTGCAGGGAGCAAAAAAACTCTGCCCCCAGTGTAACATGATCACATCACCAGCGGATTTGAGGAGAATTTATATGTGAGCTTCAACCTGGTCGACTGAGCCCATCGACTTATCACTCACTAAATCACAAACAACCCTTGTACATTTGTATATTTCTTAAATTAACTAATTTCACCTTCCCCCACCCTTACTCCCTTCCTCCCTCCCTCCCCTCCTCCAACCTCACCACCCTTGTTGCGTATACCTAGTACTTAGTAAATTAACGATTTTTAGAAATGATAACGAACGACGAATCTGAAAAATAAAATATAACAATAGTTGTATTGTCATCAATGCCAATTGCCCTGTCAAATCGAATTGTCATCCAATAACAAATAATAATTACCATTCACCTCACGATAAAACCCTAAATGCACTTTGATATAAAAGGACACGAATTTATTGTCAATATGAGAAAAAAATATGGTAATACATGAGGAAAGTAAAGGGCCGAGAGACTTAGATAGACGAAATTACCATCTCAGCTGGCAACGCGGTGTAAATCCGTCCGATGATGAGATATGTGAGATATTAAATTTCTGCTGAGCTGAAGAGGTGTGTAAGTGATGAATTTCAAATAAATGAAATTGACAGCATTAAATAATTGTAAATACACGTGCGGGTGCGCGTTAAGAGGAAAACGAGAATGAGGAGCAAGATGAGGTGAAAAAATATCCTGAAGATGTTCTGTATCCGAAAATAAAGAGACCATGCGAAAAAAAAAAAATGTAATCAAGCCGCTTTTCGTATATTTTACCTCCAGACCCCATCCTGGAATAACCGAGATAAGTTTCTCACAATGAAGTCCAAATGGTTAACCGGGGACTGAAAAAATAAAGGAGAAATGAAATACCTGGAATAAAGAATCTTGAATGCAGACGGTTGGAAAATGTCACCCATTCCGCAACTATAAATACTTGCGTGTAATTTCCGTTGGGCTGGCGTTATCATCAGCACCAACCTCGGCGGTCGTTTGTCGCACAAGACGTCCTAATTAAACTACCCCCACCTATTTCTCTGTTCACTGCGTGTCCGTTAAAATAAATAGCTGGAGCGTTGGCGGAGAACCGGAAGAAAGTCGAAAAAAAAAAGGGAATGATCGTTTGAAAACAAAATGGCGCTTGTAAAACAAAGACTAATCTCGGTCACGAGAAAGTTGAGTTCTTGTTTTCTCGCGGTACCCACCACCATCTTAAATTTCCCCCCCCCAGCCTATTTTTACGTATTATTCCCGAGAGTATTTTTGGAGTGGGGAAAGTCGTGTTTATATCCAGACGCGGACAGTGGCGGATTTTTTTTCTTGCCATTTTTATTTCGTCGCGCGGTGCACGATAGTGTCAAGGGGTGGTGGGCAGGCATTACTCGGAGGTGGGAGAAAGACTCCGCCCTCTTATCACCAACGCTAGAAAAATCACCTCCTTCCCAGTCTTTAACATTTTTTTTTAACCTTGTGTCGCCACTCCAAACGGATAGATACTCCCAGTTATTTTTTTTTTTTCATTTATCATGTCATACCACGTGGTGTTTACAGCTCATGTCCTGGGGATTCATTTCCGGTTGATCCGGGGATTGGATTCTGGACATAAAAGCTCACGGGATGAGTGGGAAAAGAGAATACATAATTGCGGTGAGGGTCTGAGGGAGAGGTACGAGAGGTACGATACAGATGCACCCGACGAGGGGTTGAGTTATTTCTGAGGAGGGGCGGATATGCGGTAGCATGATTACTGCGCAACTCGATTCTTACTTTCGTGCGCCTGCGATATTGTGGGTGGGAGGTATCAGAGAACCGCCCATCATCCTATCAAGGCGCTGCTCAAGCCTGGAGTCTCCTCCAACCGACGAGTAGCTGGTCAATGTGGCTGCAATGGCACATTCCACGGATTTATCGCGCACACCTCGAGGGAGAAAAGGTGACGACCACCCTCTGGTAACCACCCTTCTATTGTTATTTCATCATTTTTTTTTCTCACTGAATTTATAGCGAAATATTTTTAATTTTAGTTTAACATTATAATTTTTTTTTCGTTTGTCTGGTTCATTCTGTAGTTTTCCGATTTTTTTTCCATTTCCTTCGTCAGAGGAGATTCATCTGAGGAGAAAGGGTTGAAGATGTTAGTGCATAGAAAATTGGGCGCATTTGGGGCAGCGCCCTGGAAAAATCACGGACTAGCCTTCGAGAGCTAGTGCTAGCGTCTGATGCCTTTTATTTCGTTTCAGCGGTCATCTATTACTATCGGGAAAGAGTCCGTAAATGCTAGCCTCCGACAGTGATCGATTGGGTTGTCTTGTTTGACAGAGCCTCACCGCAAAATTGGAATCTAATTTTCATCGAAGCAACAGCCGCAGCCACTGAAAAAGGGAATTTTTCAAAGAACAACTTTGAGTCCACACGTTTAATAAATATATTATTTTTCCATTCTTTATTGTCTATCTCGGTATAACATGTATATAATATAACATGACACGTATTTATAACATTTTTTAATCCGCTTTATTCACATAAGTAAAATTTCAAGGCACATTTAGCAATGGTATTGTGTCATTCAGTGTAAACGATTAATTGACCCTCTTATTCTGTACAATTGGCATTATCTTTACTCATAATTTATCATCGGTATCGGATGATGAATGTAATCATAATGATAAAAATTCAAACTGAGTTGTTCTTTTCGACTGGAGAAAATAATTCGAAGAAGAGACAAACTCAAAAGAGCAAAGGGATAAAATATGCTGAGAAATAACGGGAAAAATTTGAAGACAAGAGTGCCAGATGATTTAGAACGAGAAAAGTCATTGTTAAATATTGAAATTGTTGAAAATTGATGTTTGCCGATTGGATGGGGCTTAAAAACTAAATGTCACTCGTATTTTTGTTTCATGATTAAATTTTCATATAAAAGCATTTTAAACGTCTACTTTGAATGGTGATCCAGGGATGTGGTCCTCTCCCCACTTGACGATGACGAGATACTCTCCGCGTTCACGAACAAGGTAGCTCACATTGTAGGTGTTACGTCCAGCGTGTTTGACGTAGACCTCGTCACAGGGCCCTTTGGGTCCGTACACTCCGACGAACAGCATGTTTTGTCCTGTAAATTTATGTGGATATGTAGAAAAAAATGGGCATCATCGTTTACCTGTTCTAAGACCAGCAGTCTTGGGGCGATATTTACCAGCGTCTCCAGCATTCACTGAGAATTGATTCTGTTTGCCGAGATACGCCTTCTTCAGGCCCATACCCTTACTGCTGACCTTGCTGGCATCTGATTTGAACTTGGGCATTTGCACAACGTCTTTCTTGGCTTTCGAAAATTTCTGCACCGTCTCCACGACCACTGAACTTGTCTCGGAGGCTCCTCTCTCAGCTAAATCAGTCCCTACAATTTTTTTTGTACAAAATGTGGAGTGAGAAATATATGAAAAATTTACCGGTTTTCAGGCAAAATTGCCTGTTACACAAAAGTATTTCGACCTAATTATTTTCAGGAGAAATAACCCGAATTATTAATTCTCAGTGCACGTTAAACATAATTATTAATTTAATGAAAATTTAATACTGCTATGTTGGTTATAAATGTCCCTGATATCTTTCAAAGTTCTTCGAATATTCCAAAGTAAGTATCTCACGTCAATAATCATCTCGATGTACCCGGAAATTTCAGGAAAAATTTATAACCGTGTATGGCAGCAATAAAAACTTGTTCAGTCCGAAGTAGAAAATAGTTATCAAGTCACGATTTTATGGTGGATTTCAATTCTAAAATCAGTTTTATCTACAATAACTGTCAGATCGTGTTGATTGTACTGGAATTTATTGATCTTACCAGTGCATGGAACCTTGAAAGGTGATCCAGCAATGTGATAGCCGTTATATTTGAGACTGATGTAGTAATCTCCAGGTACCAAGGGTGTGTACCTGACCTTGTAGCCCTCCTCAACCTCGGTGCAGTCCATGGCTACTTTGCTGGGTCCATCAACAGTGACGGCAAGTGCACCAGCACCAGCATTGCAAGTGTCAACGATGAAATCGAATTTCTGACCGGTTTTCACTTCCTTCAGGCCATTACCGTACGCCTGAATCGCCGCTGGATCAGCATCGACTTTTCCCACTTTAACGCGTAAAGGACTTCCATTGATATGGACACCATTAAACTTCAGATGGATGTTGTGAATTCCATTCTCACGTGCCATGAATCTCACTGAGTATTCCTCAGAGTCAATCGCTTGGATGAAGCAGTCGTCTTCGACACCACTTGGTGATACAATCTGTTAAATTATTCCTCACGAATTACTCAATCCCTTCAATTATTCAAAAAACAATAAATTAATCTATTTTATAATCAACCAAATTTTCGAATTATCACCCAGAAAATTATTGCAAAATAAATCCCGTTAAATTCCGTGGCACGTATGAATTTCTGTGAATATTATATTACCCCCAATGATTTGACGATTAAAAACATGAAATCATCTCCGACGAGTTCCCCATGAACATGTTCCATGCAACATTTCTTGCGTGGAGTAAATTCTTATCCCGATGCAGGAAATAGCAATAATGATAGAGAATTAACGATAATTATGATTTCAGACTTCTTAATGAAGAAGATCATAACTCTAATTGCACCTGCAATAATAATCTTTAAATTCTGCCCCAATTAATGAAAATGAGTATAATAAACCAGAGTTTTCCCACATAATTGCCCATAAACGAACTTTAAACTGTTAGATAAATCAGGTTTACGGTCCCCGACAAACGCTTCACATCATCATCTTCTATTACATTCGGCAGACATCCGGTAAAATAAAAAATCTTTTGTCCCCTACAAATTGTGTCAAGGATATGGTAACAGGGGTTACAGATGACTAATATCAACGAACTGCCATCGCCTCCACACTTGATGATGTGATATTTTGCAACCTGCTTACATATATTTTTAGATCATTTGCGCAACACAGACACTCAACCGTCCTTGCATAAATTACAAAATTGAAAATTATCTCAATAGACTTGTGAAGAATTTAGTAACACGACAGAAATCAACTCATTCGTTATTTTTGTTACCTTTCCATCGAGCTGTCCCTTGGCCCCGTTGTTACGTACGAGGAAAGTGTGTGGCTTGTCAGGCTGTACTCCTTGCTCAGGGAATTGAGCTACTTCAAGTTTATGAGCATCTCCAACAGCCGGTGATATATAAACTTTGTGAGGTGAGTCGGGTATGTGCTGATCGTTGAATTTAATTCCCACTCTGTAATCACCTGGAATCCAATCACCAAATTAATTAAAGAAATTAATTTAAAGTCACTGAATTCACAGAGTATTAATCGATAGGAAACAACACATTCAAGTACGATAACTACCGTTGTCATCCCCCCCGATAACGAGATCTTTACAGGCAGTAAATGTCCCCATCATCTTTCACTCAAAAGTCAAAACTGACAATCGAAACAAACAACAGATCGACCGAATAAAACTGTGCCACTACTCGAATGCATCTAAACCTCTCATTTCCACCGGTGAGATGAGACTCCGCCAAAATATGAATCCACAGTAAAATAAATATAGACTCAGGGATATTTTTAGTTACTTCACAACGTTATAAACGAGAAACGATGGAGAGAGCACAACGATATCAGCGAGTATCACCACTGATTCAGTTGTATCATCTCCAAAGAATCCCACTCATTGTCAGGTTCACATTATTTTTTAGTTATTATATACTTCAGTTACTATATACTCTTTGGTACGTCCCTGTCCATCCAATGATTTTAAAAATCATAATATAAAATTGTAACACAATTTTTCCTCAATTTTTATGAATGCGTTTAACGATTTTTCACCAGAGAATTGCCCTGCGAGATTTTTTTTTAAAAAAGGAAACTTTGTTAGAAAATTCTTTGACAAACCGAACTCACCAGGTTCAGTGACGCGGTAGCTGACGTAGCAAGATCCATCTTTACGGTCCTTGAAATCAATCTGGGCCTTGCTTGGCCCCTCAACAGAGACAGCCAATGTACCAGCACCAGCCTCTCTGGTCCAGATATTAAATTCACAAGGTTCACCCTGCTCCCCCCTCTCCAATCCTGGACCACCAGCATGCACCCTGTGCGCTCCACCGTCTTTCAAGGGACCCACCGTAAACTGGAAAGGTGATCCAGGGATGTGCATCTCCTTGTACTTAACCGAAACAGTGTGAACTCCAAGCTCCTTGGGCACAAATGCCACAGCGTAAAGCCCATCCTCAACTTCCTTGATCTCAGCATCCTCAGTGACTCCCCCGGGTGAAGTTACGTTCGAGGTAAGATCGAATGAGGTGATTCCCGGCATTTTGAAGGTGAGTTTACACTGGGATCCAACTTCGGTGATGGGAACAGCTTCACGACGACGTTGAATCTTCTCCCTCTGCCTGTTGGAGCCCTCTCCAGTGACTTTCACAGTGAAGGGCGAACCCTCAACATGATGATCAGCGAACTTAAGATTCATTATGTAATATCCTGGCTCGGTGGGTTTGTAAGAGATATTGAGGGTGCCATCGGCATTATCCTTGCACTGAATTTCCGCCTTGCTAGGGCCCTCCATGGACAAAGAGAGTCCTCCAAATCCAGCGTTCCTGGTATCAATGGAGAATGTGTTTTCCACGTGAGTTTTACCTTGTTTCAGAGCACCTCCTGCCACCTTGACCTTCTTAGCATCCCCCACCTCACGATCCTTGACATCAATCTTGAAGGGAGAGTTCTGAATGTGCTTACCCATTCGTTTCACTGCGACAACGTGCTCTCCAGCCTCTCTAGGAGTGAAGGATACGCACATGTTGCCACTAGGCATCTTCTTGAGGAAGCAGGGCTCTTCCAAGCCACTTGGGGCTGTAATAGAGGCATTCAATGAACGAATGTCAGCGTCTGAGACCTTTCCAGGGAGCTGGACCTCACTGGAGGAGCCCACGGATATCTGGTTCCTTTTGCGACCCTCTCCTGTTATTTTGGCGGCATAGGGGCTACCTTTAATCGGCTTGTCAGCGAATTTCACCGAGATTTTGTATTCTCCAGGGGCTGTTGGCAGGTAGGAGACTGATACTGTGCCATCTTTGTTGTCGTGACAGGAAATTTCTGCCTTACTGGGACCCTCCACTGCTAGCGACAGACCACCTGCTCCTGCACCCTTCGTGGAGATTGTGAAATTTGCTGGCTCACCGCAGACTCCATAGATCAAACCTGGACCATACGCTGTCACATATCCACTCGCCAGAGAGTCCACGTGAAAGTGAAAGGGTGAACCTGAGGAGATTGAGACAAGGAAATTAACAGTGAATTTCATTTCAATAATTACTACTCAAGTAATGATCGTTTTTCCACAGCGTTCCATTCACTGTTTGTAATCTTGCTGCAGGCGAAAAAAGGTACTAACCTTGAACATGTTCTCCATTAAATTTCACGTAAACTTCATGGAGTCCTTCCTCCCTCGGGTCGTATTTGAGTGAGACAGTGCCATCATGGTTGTCTTCGATCACTGGCTTATCCACATTTCCGCTCGGCATCTTAACTTCGGCTAAAAATAATTCGATAAATTAATTCTCCATCTTTGATCCCCTCGGCATCAAAAATAGTCTGCACTTTCGTTACTTATAAAATGAATTTTTTCTCTCGTCTGAAGCAAATTCTTCTAAAAATAAGGTGACGAAACTGTCTCTAACACTACGTTAAGTTTTATAATCAAATAAATTGAGGGGAAAAAATATCTACAAATGAGGGAGACGAGGAGTGAAAAGACCTGAGGAAGTTGACGAAGGAATTAGAAGACCATCGAACCTTGTCGAGTGTTAACGTAATAGAGACTCTGGAAACGTATTGGATTAAAATCTAAAACGGATGGTAGATCTGCTCCGTCGTCACTGATGTTATTATCTACTTCAACTTCTAAATAAAATACTGGCCATTGTGGGTAATCCAACTCGCTACAAGTGATACTTTTAAGCCACTCCTGATAAAAAATGGATTGCTCTTGCCAAGTGGTTTCGATCTGTTCCTCTTGATCCTGCCAAAACATTTCAGTGGAACTCTCGTCGATCCAGAAATAATTTCTCTTCACCCCTTTCCCAGTTTCAAAGTCGCAAATTTATTTATCGACGTAATTGATATTTATTATATCTTGCAGCACAACTTGATATCGTGACGTTTAAACGATTGAAAAATAGCAAATGCAAGGAATCGATTAAATCATTTCCAATCAAGCCCAATGAAGCCGATGAATTAAGGAGTAATCTGTCCAGAAAAATAATACCGAACTGTGAGAAATCCCGAGCAAGACTGATCCGCCAGTGAACGACATGTGGGACGTACCCGGGAGCTGAATTTGGTGGCTCCAGTCAGGCCAATCTGGATATATATCATCTGGGTAACTTGTGCCATCAACGTCTCTCACTCATCCACCAGCCAAAAGACGTATAAAAATTATCTCACGCAGGCGCAACTAATTCATCCAAAATTGAGGAAAGATATTAACGAGATGACTTGGAAAAAAATTTTGACTAAATAAACCACTGTGCGTCCACTGCCATTAGATCCTGACCATCGAAATGGCCAATCAGAGCACCTGACGAATATGAAAATGAGACACGAGAGAATATCCCTCGTGAATTACCACAAAATTTCAAATACCATCCTCAAGGCATTGAATTTTTAAAAAATTTCAGATTTAAATAATTTAAATTCAATTTAAAACGACTTTACGCGCTTTTGATTTTTTATTTTTTTGGTGAATTGGCAAGCGAGTATGAATCATCTCATGTTGAATTGCAAGTGCGGGCCAAGGGAAATATGAAGAGTGAATTTTTGGACGTCCCTCAGCAGATTAATGATCCAGCTTAGCTTGTCGTTATCGTTGTGGCTGTCCTCCATTTGTCATACGACCCGGTGGTGACTTCCGCATGAATTTACTGAGTGCTCTATCGACTGACGCACCAGTGGCTTTTTCCAATAAAAAATCAACCGCCTATGTTTAAAAAACATCGAGACTCATTCACCAAAAATTCAATTCAATTTTTGTAGAAGTTCATTTACACAAGAATTCGTTTGAAAAATATTGGAAACTTCATAAGAAAAACTCGATTGTTGATTTTTCAATGGAATTCGTTCCATTAGAAATTCAGTTATGGAAATAAAACGAAAACAAGGAAAATCTATCCTATAATATTCCAAGAGATTGCAAAAACAAATTTCTATAAAATCCATTTTATCCCCATACTGCATTCACACCGTCCTACTCCGTTTTTTTCTTTCCTGAGGAAGTCTTCATCCTCATCGCAACATAAAAAAGTAATATTCTGTTCTAACATCGCCTCAACCAAATACTAAACTAATAATGAGAAAGATCATGTTTTGCTGATAATGTATTTGGAAGAAATTTGTATTTGCCGAAAGATAGTGAAGAATTCGTGATGAAGGTAAAAAATAACTTCCGGTCTCGAGACGAATTTTGTATTCATCTCGATGTGAATATTTCCTTTATTCGACAATCGGCCGAACACACGGGCATACGCACGCGGTAGCAGTTAATCAACCAATATTAATATCGCGAGTGGCACACGCTGGCCTTACACCGTCCAACATCCTCTCAAAGGAATACAAGTGTATTAGTAAACGACATTCACCCAAAGCTCTCTCATATTTTTGGCGAATGAACAAGATCCATACAAGCGACATGAAGCAGTGGTGAACCTGTCGTGTTTATCATTCTGCTGTTACACTCGAGGTCTTTTTAGTATTTAATGAATAATCACATCTGAGGGTCTACACCATTCTGATTGATTCTCCGACGAATGAGAGTGAATTCACACTGTCCTATAACGAGTTAAACTATTTTTACTAATTGAGGAGAGTCATTACTTTACATTTGTCTTTGTGTCATTGTGATTGAGGGAGAGCGATATGTCAGCGAGATTTCATTCCAATGATTTGTATTTTCATTGGAGTAACCGAGAAAGATTGATACTCACAGGTTACTGTACCGTCAGCTGATGGCAGTGGAATATTGTTCAGTCTGATTGAATTGAATTTGCTAGTACTATCGTGCTGGCTTTTTGTACTCCGCTTTGTCGTTATTGTCTCCTGGACAGTTGAACTACTGCGTTGCTCGATGACACTCTCCTGATGTTGACTCCTTCTGCCGTGTCTCTGGGTTTTGTGGGTGCTTGTCTCACGATATTCCTCCGATGCCTGGAAAAAATTTCAATTGTAAAAAAAAATCGTAGGTAGAACTGGGATCTCATATTTTATCGATGGTAACAGCGGGCTAGATAAATTGTGGTAAATCATCGAATTTCAGTTTAGAAAGAAGTTTTTAAGATTTCTTTATTATTAAATTTTAATTAAAATAGAATTAAATTTGCCCCAGTAATTATTCTTTTATTCTTTTATCCATAAAAATTCATTTTAATAGAATTATTACAAATTCACAGTATGAATTCAAGAGAATTTAATAGGAATTATTTCTTCGATGGCTTCTCATTTTTCATTTTTTTTAAATCAATTTTTGAGAAAATATTGATAAAATTCACGTGAAAAAAAATGACGTTTTTGTTTTATTATTTTTCTATTTCACTCCATAAAAATTGTGAGTCATGGAATAATTATAAAACCTAGGAACTGGGAAATCCAAGAAATTTACAAAAAAAAATGAAAAATCGGAAGATATCGGCAGTAACTAGTGAAGGGTTGATTAGCGGTAATTATTGTTTAAAGTATTTTGAAACAACTTTTCCCCGGGCCAACGACAACTCCGTTGCGTAACTAATCCGAAGAGGAATTTAATAGATGGAGAGGGAGAACCTTGGATCTTGTTAGATGGGAGATTTTTCGCGTCACGAGAAAATTATTCGCGATTCATTTACCGCGACATCCGTTCCAATGCTATGCAGCTTTAGAAATAAAAAATCAGTTGTATAATTTTCCAGGGATCAACCGAAAATGAATTCCATTAATCAATTAATTCATAAAACCTTCCAGGCATCGGTTGTCTGTGAAATTCTAATTGAACATTTATTATTAAAGAACTTTTAAAGAACTTTTTTATTCATCTGTTATTTTGCAACACACGGCGCCTAACTCCCACCAATTGTGTCAATACATTAATTTTTTATAAATACATGCTATATGATTATTAAGCACGTTCCATTTTGTTTATTGTTTCTTCATCCAAGAATACATTTGTGTCCTTTCAAATTAGTACTGCCGTCTAACTCCGTAGTGCTTGCCGGCTCTATTCTATTTTCAACCCCAATATTTTTCCCCCATAAATTATTCACATTTATACGACATTACGAATGATAAACGGGAAGATCTACCCAAAATTTACAACTCCCCCACAACTATTCCACTCCAATTTTTCAATTTTACCTTTGAACCTCAGAAACCGAATTTACGACTGCCTCGTACAACCGCCGACGAAACACTAATATGAACAATTCTAAATTTCAAGCTAATACAATAATAGAACTTTCAACATGCTCCCCACCCCCTTGCTTTCAACAATGTTTAAAAACAAAAACGTAAAGTGTACGATTTGAACATCAAGTCGGAGATTCAATCGTCACGTTCACAACCGCCCCCAGCTCCTGATGCCCTTCATTAACCTAATTACCTGGGATAAAGTGAAATTGCAAAAAAAAAAAAAATCCAAGAAAATGAACAAGTGATTCTAGGCTCTCCAGGCGAACTCCCACAGCTGTCGGGCAATTTCTCACTACCTTGAGCTCCCTCATTTCACACTAGTCTCTTCCTAAGCTTCTTTATATCTTTCATTAACGAAAACTCAAAATAATGAATAAATCTCACTCGAGACTGATGAGTGTTGAAAAATAATACGCAGATGAAGACTCGAGCTAGGATAAAACCTCATTTCCATTTGTTTATTTATGACTGTTAGCGATGTATAAATTGAAAATCCAAGGAGACATCCGAATATGCTTCATTTAATACCAGTGCATGTATCTAGATAATCCACCACTCTTCCCGGTCCACCCACAAGTTCGTCTTCTCTCGTTTATTCGAAAAGCGTTATAAATTCACGAAAAGCCCAGAGCGATGAAAATAGTCACTTGGTCAGCCTCACGGTAACGTTCATCCATTCTCGCTGATTCTGATTCGAACGTATTAAATTTCATAACAATTACAGAAAAATATGCGATTAATCCGTCTAAAATTTTCACCCTTTCAATAACTTTTAATAATTAAGATACCTTTTAGTAAAATGTCACAATTCGAGTAATCGAATATAGTTCTCGACACACAATTGGCAACAGGTGGTTTCGATTCCTCTGGATTCCGTTTATTTCTTCACGTAAATCAAATGCTTCAGAGAATGATTCAACGTCTCGTGACGTAGAGGGTTGATAAAATATTTTTTTTTTTAATGTTTCGATGTGGTCCCGACGAGTTTTCGGCGTGAACTGTGTCGCTGGAACCCCCGCGACAATATCCTGTGTTGGTCTCTATAGTTAGATACACATTTGAGATAGATCACCCCCCTACGCCCCCCCACCCACTCGGTAAAATCTGGGAGACGATGAAGAGACAGATATTAACAGGCACAAACTTAATAACACCTTGATATTGCTCCAGCACTTCTCGTTTCTTTGATAATTTCGGAGACATCGGTTCTTCTCATATAGACTGGAAAATCTGACGCAAGGAGATCATTTGTCATGGTTACTCGAAAAGTATTCTGAGGTTTCAAAATTCATTTTGGCTCATTATGAGGCGCAAATGTAGGTAGAGTCGTTATTATGTGGATTTATTATTTCCGAATTATTCATTATCCTTTTGACGTTTTTTGGGAATTTTGGGAAAATAATCTAGATCAGTGGGCGATTCCTCTCTCGTTAATATAGTGTAATTATTTTTAATAATTAATTATCAAAATTGGAATGGGCACAAATGAGGGGACTTATGGTGCGATTTATTTTGTAATTGTTAATATTATATTATTTTCAGACATGATTATGATCTGTACAGAACGGAAAGATGGTATATTAAATAAAAATTATTTTAATAGTAGAGTAGAAATTATGGATTTTCAAAATAATGAACTCCGAGAATTAAAAGCTAAATCTCATGGAAAATTCCAATATCGTAAAATAAAAAAGACATAGATATTAATTTTTTTGTAATTTTTCAATCATGAGTACGATAAATGATGATAAATAGTGAAATATAATCTGCTTGTCTGTAATTCAGATCGACAGATTAATGGGTAATTACGATTGTCACTGACAGACAAGTTGATCGCACAACTGTCTAGGAAGATGCTGAAAAAACTCACCGTGAAGGTGTAGAAGCCATTTGGCACCGGTTGACCACCAAACTTTATGCTCAGGGTGTAATCACCCGCATCCTCGACTTTGTAGTATACATCGACATTACCATCCCCCTTGTCTTCGATATCGATGTCCACGACTTCACTAAAATTGGAGAAGCATATCATGTGTTATCCATTTCTCTGTCAGCATTAAAATTTTCAATGAATTGTTGTGTGTTCAGACATGCGATTTATCAGTTCGTAGTGCATAATCGAGGGGCTGTTGGATTAATGCCAAACAACTCGAGAGAAGTGTCAAAAGATGGGAAACAGGGAATAGCGTTTAGTTGGCATTGTTGGAGGTACATGTCTGTCAAGAAAATGTTTGTGAAATTAAGATTGTTTCTATCCTGTTAAGCATGAACTGTTTCTTCAAGGCTACCGAGAGTATTTCAATATCACGAGTGTATGACCACTTGCTACACTTCCTGAATCTCCATCCAAAGCTCAAAAAAAATAAATTCAAAAAGGAGATGATCGCTTCTTCAAAAATATCCCTCTAACTTTTGCATAATTATCGAATTTTTATCTCATAAGGATTCCAATGTATCCACCTACAACTTATTTATATCCTCCCAAGAAAAGCTTGACGATAAAAATTCACGTGTCGGTGAAGAACAGGATGATCATAAATATCGCTGTGGATCACAGAAATAGTTCCTCTACCGAGGACAGTTATTTATATTCCAATATTTTTTTTCTTTCCTCATTTGAGATGTATGCACACAGTTCTAAATTGAAACTACATGAGGAAGAATAAACAACCAATTCAAAAGAAATTTAGTAAATAATATGAACAAACCTGCCGGAAGTCGAGCGAATTCTGCATGTAACAGCTCCACGCCCAGCATTTTGGGTATCAACGTTGATGGAGTACTCTTCGCCTGGGGCCAGAGTCTGCTGAATGCCTTCCTTGATTTTGCATTGATCGGCTTTACCAGTGGACACACTCTGAACATTTACCGGACTATTTGGGACTTCTTTCCCTCCATATTTGACATTAACTTTGTAACGCCCGCAGTCATCGGGGAGATACGTGGCCTTGTATTTGCCATCTCCGATGTTTTGCACGGTGACTTTTCGTGGAGCTTGATCAGGTCCCTGTGAATATAACATTCAGTTCTCCAGCCAAAAATGTCACATCAATCATCGCAGTCGTATTAAATATTACCTCGATTACTTGAAACCCTCTATTTTTTAATTATCTCATTTTTATATGAATTGCTGATTTGGTTTTTTACAAGACAAATTACATCATTCATTAGGACATATATCCACTGTGTTTTCGTTGTATGAAATCTTATAATTTTTTCATGACTCATGTACAAAGCCCATCAAACTGTACTCACCAGCACTTGAACTTCGAGGTCACCATATCCCGCCTTCGATGTATCGACGATAAAATCTGTTGGAAAAGATGCTGTGCAGACTGATGCGACACCGGGGCCGGAGAGGACGACTTTATTAGGATCACAGCCTGGATTCACATGGAAGTTGTAGGGACTCTCAGGGATGCTCTTGTTCCCGTACAAAACATCAACCTGAATATTGGCTCCAGCAGCTGGAGGCATGTACGTAACCTCGTACAGACCATTTCCACGACTCTCAATTTTTGGTTTTTGCATCTGTCCCTTGTCTGTCTTAAGCTTTACATTGAGCTGTTCACCAGGACATTTTGAGGTGTCCACCATGAATTGGGCTGGGACTCCCTCACGAACCTTCTCGGGTTCCAAACCTGGACCGTAAGCTATCACATCGTTTCTTCCGTCAACTGCAGTCTCCACCGGGACTCTGAATGGAGAACCTGGAATGTGCTCTTCACCAAACTTTATGGCCACATCGTAATCACCAGCTTCTGTTGGAACGTATTCCACACTGCAGGAACCATCGTAGTTGTCCTTGCAGGTCATTCTCGCTTCTGATGGGCCCTCGATAGCAAGACCCAATCCACCATTTCCAGCCTCTGCGAACATTCAGTAATCCACGGATTAGATGATAAAGCGAAATATTTTTTATTCAATTTCGAAAGGTATTTTTTTAAATTAATTTTCGCTCTATTTCTGTTAAATCCAGTGTTTTTTGAAATAGTCAAAAAATTATTTTAAGGAATTCAGGATTTTCTTTGATCCGAGATAATGGCGGGTTGAATGTTGGACTTACCACTCGTTTCAACAGTGAACTTATTAACCTTGTCAACGATTCCCTTCTTCAAACCTGGCCCATAAGCCTTACACTTGGTTGGATCACAAATTCTCTTGACATTGACCGAAAACGGGGAGCCTGGTACTGGAACATTATCGTAAAGGATGTCGATTGTATGAGGACCCTCCTCAAAAGGTGTATAACTGACTCTGTAAGTTCCATCGCTCTGCGGTGTTATTGTCTTTTCAGTTTTACCACCACTTGGATTCGTGATTGAACAGGAAAGCTTTCCGTCATCAGCTTTCGTTTTTGATACTGCCCGTGTGTCAACAGCAAATTCCGTCGGAATGTTCACAGCTACGCCTGAAAATAAATACCAAAAAATGAATACCACTCCGAGACATCTAATTATCATTCTAGAATTCTCTTATTCGTCGAGAACAACTAACTAGTGGTGAAGTGATGAGGCATGAATTTTTTCGGTTGAAAAATTATAGAAAAGACTTCCAGAACATTTCGGGAAATACGAATTCCCGACAAGGGGCCTATTCTCTCGACTCTCTCGACTTTGAAATGAAAAAATTGTCGAACGAAAGATTTTCCCTCAAGAATTAAAAATTCCCGAACGAAATCATTTCATCCCTCCCCACTTCACATACACATAAAAAAAAAATCCAATTATAGAACTTCAAAAAAAAAAGCAACGTAGAAAGCACATACGTTTCTAATATTCAATCAACATATAGAGTAATCAACGAAAAATTCAAACGAAAAACTGATTAGTCGAAGGCAATCATAAAAGCAGGAGGGAGAATAGGATAAAAGTTATCTCAATCTCGTGCTGTCAACTACTCCAAGCAATTGCAAAGAAAAAAAAAACTAAAAAATCAGATTTTGCACGCGTCTCCTAACCATAGGGCTGAATGCCATTTCCGGTGACCTTGATCTTTAAAAGATCCGCATCTGGTATGATGATAGCTTGAAAGGGTGATCCAGGGATGTGTCGATCATTGAAAGTGATATTGATTCCATAATCGCCAGGTTCAGTGGGTAGATAAGCAACAGAGCATGTGCCATCACCATTGTCACGACAATTGATGGGTGCCTCGCATGGTCCTTCAACAGTGACACCCAATCCACCCTGGCCAGCACCACGTGTGTCAATGATAAATTCAGCAGGTCTATTGACAAGGCCTCGATGAAGGCCAGGTCCAGTGGCACGTACTTTCGATGGATCACTTCCATGAACACAATTTAATCGGTACGGCTGTGCAGCTATTGGCTCACCACCAAAACTAATTCCCAATAAATATTCACCCAATTCCATAGGTGTAAAATTAACGAGATAACCATCATGAGTTGGTATTAAGTGTGCCATAACACGATTGCCCGATGGTGCTGTTATTGCCACTTGTATCTCAGCTGTTCTGTTACCAGTCCCTTCCGTTATCACTCGAAACTGTTGAAGGCTGTTGACCGGTGCCGCTGCGAGGATTTTTTATTTTTTTTTTCGATTTTTTTTGGTTCAACGGTTGCAGCTTTTTCTTTATTTTCATTTTGTTAGCGAGTAATAATTATTCGCATAATTAAGGGAAGATGAATTATGCGTTTGGTTAGTCATTTCTCCTATTTCTAGATGAAAATTCTAGTCTCATTTGTCGTGTAAAATAGGAAGGTAAATTTTGGGCTTTTGACTCGTTTTGTTGAGAATTTTTAATACTGGAAGACTAGTTGATTTTGTAAGAGCATTAGCAGTGCAGAAAGGTTGCGAAGTTTTTGATATAAATATTTTTAGCCGAAAGTCCAAGTGGTAACTACGTAACTTGCTACCGAGGAATTTCAAACTGTAGGGGTATTCTGAAAATAAACATTTTTGGTTGTAGCGATCCGTTGGAATGACGTTAAACAGTCATACGACACGGGAACACCTTGCGACCCAATTCAATGATGTCTAGTGCAATAACTAGCGTTTTAGGAAAATTTATGATTAAAAGTATCCAACTATCCCCAGATCTCCAGAGTAGAATTACTGAGAATACCGAAACATCGCACCGATGCGCAGTTTTATTCCTAAAAAAAACTTGTTGATTACCATCGTTAACTCAAGTGCAACGGTCTTGATAAACAAAATCCTGTATTTCCGTCCCTAACTCATTATAGACACCGCGTGCCATCCGAGAGGAATTATTTTGAATCATTGGCCCCTATCCAGAAAAATATAAAACTCAAATCACATTTGCAGTAACATCCTCCTTCAATTCCACCTAATTTTCAACCGCCCCCAAGGATGAGCTCCTGTTTCAATACTCGTTAATAAATCAGCTAGTTAATTGCTTCCTGCCTCTCAAAATAAAGAAAGAGTGAGGCTCTTAATGTAAACCCAATTTGTGTCAAGAATATTTGTGTTGAAAGCCTAAAAAAATAGGAGAAACGTAAAACGTTGAATATTCTCATACTCACTGGGCTCTAATCCGTCGACCTTGATCTTGGAGACGTCTACACGGGGCTGAACGTTGACCTTAATTGGGCATTTTGGTACTTTGAGGCCTCCGTAATTGAGATCCACCTTGTAAGTACCTGGTTGAGGTGCAATATAGTCAACAGTGTAAGTGCCATCCTCATTATCACTCAATGTCACTGGCAGATCCTGTCCATCTGGTCCAGTCATGGTGACATCGAGGTCTCCATTTCCAGCCTCTCTGCAGTCCACGTTAAAGTGAGTCGGAGTATTGGATTTGACTCCTTTATCGAGACCAGGGCCAAAGGCTTGGACCATGGCTGGATTAAGAGGCGAAGTCACTTTGACCCTGTAGGGAGATTTCTTGGTGGCGACATTGCCATAGTTCACCATCACCACATGTCCAGCTCCCGAGGTCGGAGTGTAGTTTGCCTGGACCGTTCCATCCTTCTTATTATCAAGCTTCACAGGTACTGGTCGGCCAAGGGCGTCTTGAATGGCAACCTCCAGAGGTGCCTGACCAGCCTTTCGTGGATCTATCATAAATTGAGTGGGTTTATCCCGGTGGACACCTTCGGGTTGAATTCCTGGGCCAGAGACTTCGACCTTGTCTGGATGGAAATCACTAGCTGGAACGATGTTTGCGATGTATGGGGACTTGGGTATGTCCTCGTTGTCGCAGAGGATGTGCACGGCGTAGGGCCCTGGGGCCGTTGGCAGGTAACTGACGTCTGCTGTTCCATCTCCATTATCCTGGCACTCGATCTTCGCTTTGGAGGGACCCTCGATGGAGAATCCCAAAGCACCAGTCTCTCCATTGGTATCGACAGTAAATTTCGCTGGGTGATTGACGATTCCACCATGCAGTCCTGGACCAAACACTCGGATTGAGGATTCTTTGTAGGGACCAACATTCACCTCGAATGGAGACTTGGGAATCTCTTTTCCACCGTAAGTTATCATCACAACGTGTCGACCGTCTTTCACGGGGACGTAGTGACATTTGTAGGTGTTATCATCGACTTTGTTCAGAGTGACAGGAAGGTTCACACCACCTGGACCAATGCACCGAGCATCAGCCACTCCATCTCCAGCATCGTTAGTAGTGATCACAAAGTCGGCGATATCTTTAACGCGAACACCAGTGGAGAGAAGACCTCGACCGTAAGCTCGACACTTCTTGGCGTCCGATACCGGGGCTACATTGACTCCCATTGGACTCTTCGGAATCAGTTTACCAGCAAAGAATACATTCACTGAGTGGAGACCTGTCACCGGGGAACAGTATTCACATCGCCAAACGTCTGGTGATGTTTGACGAAGTTTCACGGGAACTGTTGTCTTAGAACTCTGTGAGGACAAATTATAAAAATCTTTTATTATTTAATCTTCCAGCATAATCATCGAATTATCGGGATACTAATTCCGAAAATAAAATTTTCTATACCTTTGGGTCAAGAATAATGACTTCAGGAACTCCTCTTCCAGCATCTTTCGTATAGATATCGAAATAAGTTGGACGATTGACAACAACCCCTTGAGGCTCTAACCCGGGACCACTAGCAGTGACTTTCCCTGGATCACCAGGTTGGCCCTCCACCAGAACAGGATAAGGACTCTTTGGAATTTCGCGTCCCCCATAAAGAACCTTAACCTTGTGAGGTCCCTCGGTTTTTGGTGTGTACGAGACCGAGTAGGTGAGATTTCTATCATTGTTGAAACGTATGTCAACTGGCAATTTCTGACCCTTTGGATCATCAACCGTCACTTGGACATCACCTTTTCCTGCTGAGAACGTTTCAACGGTGAAATTCGCTGGGGCATCAACAATGGGGCCCTTTGGCTCGATTCCAGGACCATAAGCACGTACCCTGTCAAAGCAATTAATTTCAATATCATTAAAATCATTTCCAATGAGCTGACAAACTAAAGACAACGACTGCCTCGTTGCTCACACGTTTTAACAAGCGTTAGGCCATAATTCATGTTACAACACGCCTGCAAACCAGCGAACCGCAAATAATTACTAATAAAATTTATTCAATTATCCATCGATTTACTGCCTTTGGTTTAATCGTCCAGATTTCCCAAATTAGGTATAAAAATAATTAAATAAAGTGGAAAATAACTTCCACGTGTTAGAATTTCAAACTCTGATTAGAATTTAGGCGTGTTTCGGTTTTGCTTCCTGTGGTGTCTGTGTGATTGGTATTAATGCGCAAATCATTGTGAATTAAACAAAATTAATGTTTAATATTATTGAAGAAAACAACAGTCCTTCCCGACTTACCGGGGCGGAGGCACGCTGCGACCGAAAAACGAAATAAATTCATTACTCATTTATAAAAATTTCGATTCATGAAATTTGACTGATTTATTATAAATTCGGACGTGGAGTAAATCTAATTAATAAAAATATTTGATTACCTGTTGGGGTTGGTGCGAGGTCTAATTGGAGCACCCGGCTTCAATTTTGCGTGTGGATATTGAGAGAGGTACGTCATCATGGATAACTCGTCCACATTGGGATTCACCATTTCTTCAGGACTGATGAGCTGAAGACATAAATTACAGAATTATACGAGGAAAAATGATAAAATTGAAAAGAAATATCAACAAAATAATACCTGAGGAATATTGAGCCAGTCATCAGCCAGGCCCATGGCCTCGGCGGCATTTTGGGCTGCATCCTTGGGATCCCAGTTTTGCCAGTCCGGGCAGAGCCCAGGGGCAACAGCATCCACCAACGCACCCACAGCCTTTCCATCATTCCAGTCTGACGTAAAGTTATTAATTGGCACTTCCGGCAATTTCGATTTGATCCAGTTCATTAGCCGCTGCTTCGGTGTTGCACCTTTCTCCGTATCGTCATCATCACCCTCCCACATGGGCATAGAAATTGAGTAATGCAGGATGAGAGTCCATATTAGACCCAGGATGAGCTTCAATTTGCAATCAACAATGTCCGATGAATCTGAATTGCAAATAAATTTTTCGTTTTTATCAAAAAAATAAATCTTATCATAATAGAGAGTATTGGTGGCAATAGCTCAAGGCATTCGAGGGTATCTGCAGTCTATGATCAGCCAGTGCATTCTTATTTAAATATTAGCTGGAATGTTTGAGAGATTATTTATCCTCTGCGTTTCTATTTGCAGAAAGAATGAATGTAATTCAAATGTGAGGATAAATGCAAAGTAAACAGCGGTGAAGAAGCCTTCGCTTTCGTCACAGACATCTCATTCATTCTCTTCAGTGGTTTATTGACACTTCTCGAAAGGAAGAGAGAGATCGAGTCATTTCAAGTGGTACAATAATACTCCCCCCAGTGACTTAAAACTAAAAACGACAACGCCCTCGGTTTTTCGGCTGCAATATGACACGTACGTGGGTGGTATTTCGCGGGCTCATAGATGAGGCGTGAGACTACCATTGTTAAAATAGAATGTGCTCATTCCTACGTCACGATTTCACCAATGAATCACGGTTCTAATATTCAACGACCGATTGAATATTCAGTGTCATGGAACTCATAGCTACTCAGTGACTAACTCCAACCCACTGCACATGCAGAATTCTTCATCTAGTCATCGCGAGATGAAAAATGTGTCGAGGAAACATCAAAGAAATCTCAACGCTCTAGTCAATATGTCACTGGGTGATAGTCTACTCTGTAAATTCCGATTATGTGATGCAAACATTTTTTTATCGTCGCGACAGAATCCTACTGAAGCCAATGCTCAATTATATTTCTGTGAAATATTTTTCACAGAAAAAGTTTCCAGAGTTTTTACAAAAATTTTCTGAGAATCGTGAGATAAATGATTTGTGACGAGAAATTCTTTATTCACGTGACGTGAAGTCCTTCGTCGATTGTGTAGATTGATAAGACATTAATTAATCATATTACTCATCATTAAGGTAATAAATAATTATTTGACATATATTCTTGATTATTGATGGAATGAATAACAATTAGTGTTTGACATTGACGTACTAAGGAAAAGTCTGGCACTCGGATAATTAGATACACCCGATCAGACATTCTGTCTGTTGACTTTTATTCTTGAAAGCATTTGAGAACCGATAAGTCTCTATATGCCATATTTATCGAGCCGTTTCATTAATCCCCACCCACCGAAAATATGCATTCCATGTAAATAGCAGTGATTGGGTTACCCCCGAAAAATTGCTCTGAGAGCAAAAATTACTCGATTTATTCCTTCTATTTTAAGCAATTACTCAAGGCTGATGTCACGCAATAACTCTCAAAGACCGAGTAACTGACACGTTCTACGTTTAGTTTATTCTCTCATTCCTCTTTTTTTCATAACATTTGAGTCAGCATTCACGCGGATTCATGCCTGTGTGAATTCTTTCTCGAGGGTCATCCTCTTGAGACTCCGAGTTGGTCTTCAATGGCATTACTATAGCAACCACTGGCTTGTGTCAAAGATAATGATTTAGAAGGCAGTGAAAGACACACGAGTGCTCTTCGACTATTTCATTGATGTCGAAGTAGAAAAATCCGAAAGCATTTGGATCAAGTGCTTGGAGCACTGGTCTACCTTAATTTATTACTCTATTATTTTTTCTGCTATAATGACTACATCACTATCCGAATCTCACCAGATTCTCTATCCTACTTTGACATAAAATTCTGATTCGCAGTTATCCAGTAATTAATTGACGATTAATCGAAATAAATGTAAGACCTCATTATCTACCCTTCAATAAAAAATCCTCATTTCTCAGCCCGAGGCATCACACATCATGCTTCAATTTGTGGAGTTTATAACTTGTACACAGCAGATATTCCACGGTGGGATCAAGGCTGAATTTTAATCGAAATGAATAATGAAGAAAAATTGGTAATAAAACCATGCGAGCCAGTTGGAGAGAAACATGTCATCAAATTGGCCCTTGGAATTGAATTAATGTGAGACAATTGAAATTACCATTACCACTCAACTCTCTAGTGAGTGCAATAAAAAAAAAAATCAAAATATATGGGTTAAATTGGGCGTGACGGCCTGATTTATTCCCGGGATATTAATCAGTGGGAATTATCGTTTCTTTCCTTCGTTATGTCGGTTCCATCAATCACCCGGAATAAAGCGTGAATGAAACATTGGGGTTTATCAAAATGGCAGTAAAAATTGTGAGATTTAATGTCTTGTCAAGGTTGAATAGGAAATTTAAAAAACTACCTGAATAGGAGCTAGGGACTGGGTAATTTCTATTTTTGGCCTGAGATTTTCAACGCGAAAGGAATCAAGGACTCGTCATTATCATTATTCCCATCTGCATTTTAAAATGATTCATTAATTCATGACGTCACTCAAATATCTTCCGGTGTGGATTGATATTCGAATTCAACCGTCGAGTTTTGCATCATTTTTCCGGTTATCGATGATACATAACGGAAGTAATAACGTCATGTCTCACAATTCCCATTGTTCTTTTCAATTTCCTTTTACATCGATCTCATTTTTGATGCCAAAAGGAGAAAGTGGACGCACCTTTTATTCTTGCCAATACAAGGTTGCGTTTGGACAAGTGCCGACTACAAACTTTAAGCACATTTTTTACTTCCAATTGGTCTTTAAATTATTCAGAGATAGCATCTGACCCGCATTGAGAAAAATATTCAAAAAAAAATTAAGAATAACAGTGAACAGTAACCCATAATGATAATTCAATACAAATACAATTTTTCTACAACACAGAGAACGATTTTTTAATGATTACGTTTAGTAAAATTTCTCTTCTACTCATCTCCATGATCTTCAGATAATTACAATTTAAAAAAAAAACCCTAACAGGTGTAGACAATTTTTTATCTACAGATGCGTTTTTTATTTAGTAAACAAATGAGAAAATGTCTCTGAACAATATTGTCTCCCCAATTAAATTACATTCCACAATTTCCGATGTAATTGTTATTAAACATTTTCCAGCGTGCACAGACATGATTACAAGATAACTTTTAAATCCCCGGGAGTAACATTAATATCGTATAAATGTTATTAACGCGATGACAACAGAGATGCATTAATTGACTTGAAACCAGACTTATTAAAAATAACGAGGGTCACGAAGTGTTGATAATGAAATAATAAATCGAGATGCACTAATAATGTTGCGCACGCAATGGAGCCGGCTCCAGGGTTCCAGTCATCCCGGGCCACGAGGAATCGATCTCCTCGACATTTGTCCAGTGCAAAAAAAAAAAAAATGAGTAAAAAGCCATGTGGAATGTGGCCTAAGGTTGTGCCTAATTAACAGAATCAGATTCAAATCAAAAGAATAAAACCATCAACATCAGCAATAACTCCACACCTCCCCCCGAATTATCACCGACAAGTAGAAAATAAAATGATATATATTCGAAGCTCACCGATATTAACAATGCGTATTCCCTGGTCATCAAGGAATTTAAGTGCAACAGCCACATTCTCCAACTTTTGCGATCTAAAATTGGGCTTTTTGTTGTGCTTCGGCAATCGTTTCTGAGACAATACCTCCAGCAGACTAACGAGAAAAAGCCCATCAGACAGATCACACTCCAAATCATTGATATATTTATTAACACATTTGAGATGTTTATTTGCCCATCTTGTAAATGTATTTTGCTGTATTCTTTTCCACTGCGCATCCTCAGCAAGTTCCCGCTCAAACATTTCGTCCTCCTCCTGTGCGGAGTTCCCGTCTCTGACTGACTTATCATTCTCATTCATTTTATCGGCTGTTTGTACGCAACAACTACACGTAAATCTTATGGCTGGCGATGGATGATTGGTTTTAGTCGGGTTGTATAGTGGTGGGAAACACTTGTGTGCTCAACAGCCAGTAGTTGTGGCAACCACCAGGAGAAACAGACCTACAGACCTGTTCGGCCACTCGCCACTTATTTTTTCGGTGTTTTAACTTTGCTTTTTAGTTCGTCCTCTGAGGGGGGTGGAAAGGGGGGCTCTATTCCTGTGAATTCCACTCCTCTCTACTCTCTTTTTCTTGATTCTCTCCTTTCAATGGGCTTCTAGACGCATGCGCTGGAATTTCTCAGCAAGTGTGGTTCCTTTATGATTTTCCAAATGCCCTGAGTTATCACCAGTTGCTGTCAAATCCCTCAACCGAATTTATCACCTGCAAATAATTAGAATTCATAATTCTATCACATTATTATTTAACTGTTTGATAAAATATCATTTTAATTTTCCATCAGTCAGACGCATTTTCATAAATTCAACAGGGGAATACCTCGAAGGGGCTTTTCTACTTACAATATTTTTCAGGGAAAAATTTCGTAGTTAGTCAGACCAGGTGTCCTGGGGAAATTAATTATTCCGAATGATTAGGGATTATTTTTGGATCGATTCCCCATTTGTTGGTGGCCCTGAACCAAATACTTGGGATCTTCAGAGCCATCGAATAATGGAGTAGTGACAGAATCCATAAATCAGTCATAATATTATATGATATTTTATGCTCAATTTATCGAGTAGCCTAGAATAACACATTTATCAGTGTGGAGCAGAGAAAAGTTATTTTACGATAATACATTAACATTTTGAATAATGTGAATACGTGAAACAAGAAAATTTGGTGAATCAAAAGATGTGGCGTTTTGCTCGGCCACGGCTCGATGCCAAGATATTTTTAAAATGAGTTTTGAATCATTCCAACGACACTGGCACACTGCGAAGAATCATTTTGAGAAATGCTCACTCTCGAGCATATGCATAATGCATTATGAGCCAAAAAATAATATTAAAACAAAGAGATGGAGAATTAAAACTGGGTTAAGGTGAAAATGATAAAAGCAGTATGAAAAATAATCGTCACTTATTGGATTCACATTTTTGTTTACCAACTTTGGTCTGTCAGTACGTCATAGCGTTAACATGAGCATTGAGATTGTCTCGTTATCACTGAAACACCTGTCTTGCGATTTTCAAAACATTAGCTTTCCTAAGGCCCGTCTCTATAAATACGATAAAAATCGTCAAACCATGAAGTTAATGTATATTATTTCAAATTATCGAGCACTTTCAGCTGCCGTCAACGTCCGATTAGAAATAAAAAATCTCATGTCAGTTACATAAAGCAATTTACGAACGATTGAAGCACTTGAGAATTATCTGAAGAAATATCAATCCTAAAACGCTCCAGGCACTTGACTTTTCACGTTTTTTCGCACCTCAATGAAGTATCACAAATCACATCACCAATTGAATTCCCCGGCTCCCTCAACTCTTCACTGTCGATCCAACAATCGAAATGGAGAGGAATTTCTCGGAGGACAGGATAAACCGTATGATAATAATTAAATGAGAATAATTAAATGAAAATAAAATGACAAAATCCGGTGTTTTGAAATTTCAGGTATTGAATTGTAGTCAGCCGTTTATTTGGCCGTCGGTTGCAAAGTCAAAAGCTGGTCTGAGTGAGAAGACAAGTTACCTCCAAGAATAGTTTGACGATACCACTCTTGTGGGTTTAGGAGTCTCTGTGTGACACCCCGCACTCTCTTCATCGTACAGTTATTCTCCCCTACCCATACGTTTTTACCCCGAAACTTTTTCATCTCAGTTGTGATGGCCATGCAGGAGAAGGGGGAATGAGCGATTCCGAGCTATATATACACAGGGGGAAAACAGTTTATCTACAAAGTGTAAAATAAGAAACATTTGAATTTTTCCGTGGATAAAAAAAAAACGGGAGAAATGTGGAGGGCGAAATGCTTTTTCTTTGCAGGAGTCATTCTTTCAGAGGTAATTGCCAGAAGGTGCGACCTATTGACCCACTAAGAATCACTCATGAAAATCGTGTATTACCTTCAGAATCAACTTTTAAATAACGAACCGTATATGGTTGTACTTGGCTAAATAAGACAGCTACGTGGTAGGTTGAATTACTCGAGTTTCTTACCTTCGAATTGGTCCACCGACTCATCTAGCCATAATCGGTAAAAATTCATTATCTATACAGTACTTTTCCTTTCTACCAATTATCACTGTTGATTAATGCTCGATATATTTTTCTTTCTTCACTGAGAATTAAGCTGGCATATCTGAATTCATCTTTCGAAGAATTGTGAATCCGATGATGTAGAACGTATTTATGTTGTTCATTTATTATAAGATACATTCTGTTTTTTTCAGGTGAAGATGATGTTTTGTATCAAAATGTAAACAATTACGAAATGATTCGAGTTCAGTCATCGTTATATTTATGGCTCAAGTTTATTGGATCTAGGTGAGGCCGTAGATCCTTTAGTCGATCGATATTTTCCATTGGAGACGTACTAGTGTGGACGATGACCGGAATTTCCTATTTAGTCCGCGAAATACTCACGTACGTTTTAAAGGAACTGTTTTTTAGTTTGATAGTTTGTAATAATGAAAATGTATTTCTTGATTTCCTAAGCCTACGGTATAACAAGTAACAAATTGTGTTGGAAATTTGAAATTTACTTTAACAATATTTCCTTTGCTGTACGATCAGTTCTTTTTTGGTATTGATCTTTCGTCCTTTTTTAAAATCTGCTTTTGGAGGAATTTGATCATTTTATTGCAGCCACAACTTTCTTCGCAGCCACGTCCAAGTCGTTCTCCATCGTGAATGGGAGATTCGACTCCTGGAGGATCTTGCGAGCCTCCTCCATGTTTGTTCCTTGCAATCTCACAACCACTGGTTTCTTTATTCCTAGTGTTATCGCTGCTGCTACTATCCCTTTAGCAATTGTCGCACAATTGACGATTCCACCGAAGATATTAACGAATATTGCTTTCGCTTTAGAATCTGAATTAATTAAACGACGATATTTTAGTTTTACGCTTTTATAACCATTTGATCTTCCATTTACCTTCGGCGACAATTCTAAATGCCTGGAATACTTGATCTTGGGTAACACCACCCCCAACGTCGAGAAAATTCGCGGGGTCTCCACCGTTCATTTTAATTATGTCCATCGTTGCCATTGCCAATCCCGCGCCATTTACTGTAATTATAAATAAATAGTAATGTAGACAGAATAGAGAATAGTTGAATATTTCTTTTCCTCGTTATTAATAAAAAATAGTTCTCCGTTGATGACCTACTCAGAATAAACTTACCAAGACATGCAATATTTCCATCCATACTAATATAATTAAGATTGAACTTGGAAGCCTCAACTTCTCTCGGGTCTTTCTCATTAGTGTCCTCAAGCTCAAAAATATCCTTTTGCCTGAATTGCGCGTTGTCGTCAAATGAAATTTTCGCATCAACAGCAACTACTTGCTTGTCCGCTGTCTCAACCAAGGGATTGATCTCGATCTGCAGAGCGTCAATGTCAACGAATAACTTCCATAAGTTCTTTAATTCATAAATCGCCTTGGTCTTAATATCCTCCCCAGTAAATCCCAGAAACTCGGCAACATCTTTTGCGATATTATCATCTATTCCATAGTAAATGTCCAGTGGAACGGTTTTTATGAGCTTTGGGGTTTTCTCAGCGACAGTTTCTATGTCCATCCCACCAGCTGGTGATGCTATCAGGACGGGCCCGTTGTACCCCCGATCCATCAGAATACAAACGTATGTTTCACGTTGTATATCCACTGACTCAGCTATCATGACTTTCTGAACGAGGATGCCATCCTTATGGGTCTGTTTAGTGATAAGTCGGTGCCCCAACATATGTTTCACGATGTCTTTCACTTCTTTCGGACTGCAATGATTTATCAAGAGCTATTCAAAATTTTTATGAGAATAAAATCTTTCAATTAGTAAATATAAAATTAAAGAATTAATATGGAATTTTAATTTTCACGTTTAACCAGATTCATTTAATATTATTCCATCGCGAGATAGAATTAATTACTTCGAGACATCGTATGATTTATATTTTAACCACTCTCTCCATGATTTTTTTTCTTTAATTCAACGATAAAAATTATCATAAAAAGAGAGAAATGAAAACTCAGCTGTTCTCGCTTACTCTTTCGTAAGATGAACACCTCCTTTGAACCCATTATCAAACCATCCCTTTCCTCGGCCACCAGCCAGCACTTGGGCCTTGATGACATACTCGTCGACCCCTAGAATGATTAAAAAAAAATATAATCAAGACATCGGAACCTGAATTTTAAAAAATATTGGGAAAACGAATACATACGAAATTTATCAAGAGCACTGTCTGCTTTATTAGCGTCATCAACAATCGTGAAATTCTGCACAGACACTCCGCTGTCTTTTAATAGTTCTTTGCTCTGATATTCCAATAAATTCAAATGACGAACAGAAAAAACACCAGCTTGAGAATATTTGGTGAAGGACCCCAAGGAGCTGAGGAATTTTCTGGTTAGGAATGACGACATTTTTTAACTATTAAATTAATTGCAAAAGCACAAATTGTTGGATTTGTCGTAAGGTGTCTTTGCAGAGTGCTGGTTACGTCGTTGATAAGTTTCTGATTCTCACAAGAAATGTCGATCCACTTATCACTCTATGTTAATTTTTTTTATTATTTTGTAATGTACCGGTTTCACATGGGTTAAATGTGGGTACTGGAGTCAAAGAGGATTGACTAAATTAGAGGGTCAGTTCTGGGGGTTTGAGTGACCCCAGCTGCATCGTAGTACTGCACCCCGAAAGAGGGAGGGCGCTACGCGCAATGCTGTGGGTCAATTTTATTTACTGCGATATGAATGCGTTTTGTTTTCATTTGTTTAACTGAAATTTAGCCGCCGATAGAACAAGCAGAAGGGGGAAGCCACATTTTGTGGAGTTTCAAATGAAAAAAATTATTCAATATGTTGAATATATACCACTAATGAAATTATATTATTAGAGTAAATGCGTTGTCTTAATGGTAACGCGCTCGACTGGCACGCGAATCCCTTGGGTTCGAGACCAGCATCATTCATTTTTTTTTTTTTTAATAATTCTATTTTTATCTTTTTTTAAATGGCTAATCAATGGAAATATTGTTTAAACAATGAATTTTTGAAAATCGAGAAGATATCCAGTGAAATTGACAAATTTAACATTTTTTTTTTAAATCCTTTTTCAAAATATATATGCCTAATGAAATTATGTTATTAGAATGAGTGCATTGTCTTAATGGTAACGTGCTTGCCTACCACGCCGACGGCCCGGGTTCAATCCCGCCGTCATTCATTTTTTTTTTTTAAATAATTTCAATTTTTTCTTTTGTAAATGGCTAATCAATCCAAATATTGGTTGAAAACTGAATAGCTCCTCGATTATCATGTTCCCCTAATACTTTTACAAAAATTTCGAATTTTTCACTTTCAGTGAAAATTTTAATGAATAGCTCCTCGATTGTCATGTTCCCCTGATACTTTTTCAAAAATTTCGAATTTTTCACTTTCAGTGAAAATTTCAGTGAAGAGCTCCTCGATTGTCATGTTCCCCTGATACTTTTTCAAGAATTTCAAATTTTTCACTTTCAGTGAAAATTTCAGTGAAGAGCTCCTCGATTGTTATGTTCCCCTGATACTTTTTCAAGAATTTCGAATTTTTCCCTTTCTGTGAAAATTTCAGTGAATAGCTCCTCGATTGTCATGTTACCCTGATACTTTTCAAAAATTTCGAATGTTTCACTTTCAGTGAAAATTTCAGTGAATAGCTCCTCGATCTTCATGTTACCCTGATACTTTTCAAAAATTTCGAATGTTTCACTTTCAGTGAAAATTTCAGTGAATAGCTCCTCGGTGTTCATGTTCCCCTGATACTTTTTCAAAAATTTAGAATGTTTCAATTTCTATACTTATACTTTTGCAGAGGGATATTTCGATTGATTATTATTAAAGAAAAAAAAAATTAATGACGCGGGATTGAACCCGGGCCGTCGGCGTGCCAATCAAGCACGTTGCCATTAAGACAACGCACTCATTGTTAAAGTGCAGTTTCATTAGGAGTATATATATTGCAAAAGTATCGTTTTAATAAATTGTTAATTTGTCAATTTCACTAAATATCGTTTCGATTTTCAAAAATTCAGTTTTTAAACGATCTTTTAATTGATTAGCCATTTAAAAAAGATAAAAATGGAATTATTTATAAAAAAAAAAAAATAAATGACGGCGGGATTGAACCCGGGCCGTCGGCGTGGAAGGCAAGCACGTTACCATTAAGACAACGCGCTCATTCTGATAATATATTTTCATTAGTGGTATATATTCAACATATTGAATAATTTTTTTCATTTGAAACTCCACAAAATGTGGTTTCCCCCTTCCACTCGTTCTATAGTCGGCTAAATTTCAGTTAAACAAATAAAAACCAAGAAGCATTCATATCGCAGAAAATAAAATTCACCCCATCGACTTGATGAACACCCCAGCATTGCGTGTTTCACCCTCCCTCTCTTGGGGTGCAGTACTACGATGCCACTGGGGTTACTCAAACCCCCAGAACTGAGCTTCTACTTCAGAATCTCTTTTAGTTATTTAATAGATGGCGTTCCTGTTTTAACCTAACAGTTTCTGGTTAAAAAAGTTGGAGATAATGCCAGGGGCATCGGTGTCGAAGACGGAAGAATCAACATTTCAAGTACAGTTTGCTAATATAAATGGCGTAATAAACCATATCATCTCTGACACACTTATCCATGCTCTTAATTTTTTATACTTTAAAGTGATGTATTAATTGCTCCGTCGATTGACTGTTTACTGATGAATTGCCGCAGCACATCTACAAGAGAAGTCATTAGTGCTTCTGGAATTTCCATTCGGAGTGTTTTATAAAATTATTCTCTTTATTTTCTTATCGTACTCAGCAGTGATTTGAAATATCCTATAAAGACGAGTCTTGTGATTTACAAGAGGAGACCAAATTAAAATAATTAATCGTTCAGCAAATGTCAACGATGGAAGGTTCACTCAGCAAATGGACAAATGTTGTTAATGGATGGCAGTATAGGTGGTTTGTGCTTGATGATAATGCCGGATTACTCTCTTATTACACGGTAATCAGCATTTTTTATCTTTTCTGTTTCATCATTAATCTTGTGCTCGTTCAATATCGACACTCAACAATTAAAAAAAATAATAATAATCGTTAATTTTACATAAGAAATATTATGAAATTTCTTTCAAAATATATTCTTTATAAATGGATTTCTCATAATTATTTATGTGATTTTAGAGTAAAGAGAAGATGATGAGAGGCGCTCGTCGTGGATGTGTTCGACTTCGTGGCGCTGTAATTGGTATTGATGACGAAGATGACAGTACATTCACGATAACAACGTCATCCTCCAAGGATGATCCCAAGACATTTCATTTTCAAACGAGAAATGGTGAAGAGCGTGAGCGATGGGTTCGCGCTTTGGAAGATACGATTTTACGACATTCCCACGCTGTATTTATCATGATCTATTAACAATCCATTAATTCCAGCTTACTGTATTGCTAAGGTTTTAATTTTAATCCACGTTGCAGCGATGGGATCCCAAAAAATCACCACCAAAACAAGATTTCGATCGGAAAGTTGCAGAAGCTGATGCCTATCTGCAATTGCTGATCGATCAAATAAAATTAATTGAAGATAAACAGAAGAACTTTAAAGATGACGAAGAAGATAAGAAGCAGAAATATGCAGCTATACTTACTCAAGCCAATGCTGTACTGAATTCAGTGAAACATACGATTGTACAATTACAGATAGCCAAGGTAAGGGGAAATCGATTTTTTATAACACACTGTGGAATTTAATTAACGTTTTATTTTTCCAGAATACTGCCATGCCTGTCAATGGTATTTACAGAGGGCCAACTGAGTCATCAATCAATACTGACAATGCAACACCAACGTTGACTCATGGTAATTATATCAGTGCAATTATTAATTCAATAATGACCATTTGAATAATCAATCTGGAGAATTGGAATGATTTATCAAGAATTATCAAGAATTCTTTACTAAAATATCGCGCCATTTGAAGACAATATGTGATCCTTGAGAATCTACTCGCTTACAGCCAGAGGAGAACCCGAATCAACAGTACAAACAGGCATAGAATTGGGCTCAGAATGTCTTGAGCCTCGTGTATCAACGAGTCTCCCGAAGAATCTCCCTGTGCCTGAATTTTCCTATTCATCATCCGACGAGGATGAAGACTATTACGACGCAGCTGACGACATATCAACCCCGACCGCTGCCCAGAATTATTTCCCTGAGTGAGTTAATATTGATTAAAATCATCAACAACAAAAATCTCAAACTCTCCTCGTGTTATTTTATTGACAGTCATCGGGGCGTTGAAAAAAACGAGCGCCTGCAAACGGCTCAAGAGTCCAATACTATTGAAAATCGGAGACAACAGTGGCAGTTACAACCACCAGTAAAAACGGATGGCTCTGTGGATTATGATGGTATGTCAATAGGATGTAATTTCCGTTTCCACAGCTCTGAATGTGAATCACTGAACACAAAACTAAAATTCAACAATTATATATTTGTCCGGATAGAATCACCCTCGGCCTTACCGATGCTCCTCTGTATTGATTACTTTTATGCCCGGTTCATCTATATACTATCACATCGCAATATACATAGACAACACATGCCCATTGGTATGCGCAATGGTGACAAAAAATATCCACCTCCCACCCGCGAGATTATTAGTAAAATCTTCTCAGTAAAAATTTCCTCTCTCATTAGTCAATGTTTTTTCTCCTCGATAATCGAAATGAAGACATTCTATGGCAATTCCAGTTGTAATAAAATGCACAATAATATGTGGTCAATTACAATTGTCAATAGTGATAATCTACTTGTGCACGAAACCATTAGACTGAAATTTTTTCATAAACAAATGAAAACCTCACGTGAAGAGGAGCTTTAAAATTCGAATAAACATATTCTTATGTTTTTTTAATGCGGTTATTTTTTAAATACGTACAAAATGATTAGTGTTGATGCAGCCTCCTGTGAGTATCAGAATTCTAAATATAGATATGCTTATTAATTTATTACTTTATGCAATTTTTTTTATTTGGTGTGCCACCCTAATCGATATTTATTATTTTACAGCGCTTTACGAGGAGGAGAGCGAGCCAGAGAGTAAATATTTGAGATATTTCAAATTCGTGGAGACGGAAAACGTAATAAATAAATTAACGTTAATTATGTGGTGACATTTTCAGTGGACTCGATGGAGAGTCATGGCTCGGTGGTGACTCACCTGCTGTCTCAAGTGAAGATTGGTATGGATTTAACAAAAGTAGCCCTGCCGACATTTATACTCGAACGCAGATCTCTCCTCGAGATGTATGCTGATTACTTTGCCCATCCCAATTACTTTATCAGGTAATTGAGCCATCTATCACGTGCACTGGCTTCAGGGGAGTGGGTTCTAATGATAAATTCAATTGTAACAGTATAGCCGACATGTTAACGCCCAAAGAACGGATGGTACAGGTTGTGAGATGGTATCTCTGCAGTTTTCACGCTGGGAGGAAGTCAGGAGTAGCTAAGAAGCCTTACAACCCAGTTCTTGGTGAGATTTTTAAGTGCCACTGGGACTTGGCAGCTGAGAATTCCAAACAGCCAATGAATTCTGAGAGTGATAACAATACGAGGGATGGTCCTGTTTCGTGGTGTTCTGATAATCAGCTCTCTTTTATCGCTGAACAGGTTTCACATCATCCACCAGTTAGTGCATTTTATGCTGAGCATTATGCAAAAAAAATTAGTTTCAATGCCCACGTATGGACGAAGAGTAAATTTTTAGGATTGAGCATTGGGGTGCATAATATTGGAAAGGGTTGGGTCAATGTTTTAGAGTATGGTGAGGAATATGTGTTGACTTTTCCCAATGGTTATGGTAGATCAATACTCACTGTACCGTGGATTGAATTGGGAGGGACTGCTACTATTACTTGTGCTCAAACTGGATATCAAGCGACTGTTGAATTTTTGACGAAACCGTTTTATGGAGGAAAGAAGAATAGAATTTCTTGTCAGGTCACCCATCCTGGAGAGAAAAAACCATTCCTTTGTATTAATGGAGAGTGGAGTGGCTGCTTGGAAGCTAAATGGAGCGATGGGGTTTGTATTGATTATTCTACATTGTATTTTTATTATTCACAGTTATTAACGATTTTGTGGAAAACTTTGACAGAGAACGGAACTCTTTGCTGACGTGACGAAAATTCAAGTTGATAAGAAACTGGTGAAACCAGTCGGTGAGCAGGAGGAATACGAGTCCAGGAAAGTGTGGAGGGAAGTGACTGTTGGGTTGAAAATTAATGATATGGATAGGGCTACTGCTGCCAAGTGTCTTATTGAGCAGAAACAACGAGATGAAGCGAGAATACGGAAAGAAAATAATATTCCGTGGGAAACAAAAGTAAGTTCAAAATTTTTACTGAAATTTTGAAAGAAATCATTCAATCGAACCAAATTGAAATGAATTTTTTGTTGCAGTTCTTCAGAGAAACGAATGATGGTGGTTGGGTATACACAGCCCCCCTCGCCAATAGATTGCGATCAACAACAAATGCGATGCAGTGATCACTTCAAGATTGGATTCAATTTGCCTAATCCATGTATCCACGAATTATCATTTATAATTCGCGACCTAATTGAGGATATATTGAATATTCCATAATTGAATGAAACAGTAATCGAGAGAAAAGAGGAAAAATAACGAATGGTACTAGGTCACTGATATTAATTGGTAGCTGCAAATAACTTGATGACTTGTGTCTCAGTAGATAAGTCCTCAATGGTTAAACGTCACCCACAATATTAATTAGTAACTATCGAGTATAATGTTTACGGAGAAAAGAATTATAACACTTATAACACATCTTATTTCATCGAAACTTCTAGGGAATCTGGGATACGTGAAGTTGTTGTGAACTCTAGAATTAACAATAATGAACATAGAGAAAATGAGACCGATAATAAAAGACGAGTTCAACATTCTAGAAAATATATTTTTTCTGTAATTGTATAAACAGAGAATAGAAAAATATGAGAAACATAATTCGCACAAGCTACAGTTATTTTTTAAATTATTGTATGTAACCTACGTGATAGTTTACTTCTACCTTACGATAAATCGGTGGAATTCTTCGGGACGATATTATTAAATTATCAATACCCGCAATCATACTTTTAACACTTATCCTACAAATCCTCACGTCTGAGTTATTTTTCACAGGACACTGTAATTTTTCGTATCTATACAACACCTTTGTAACGAACTTTTTAACTAAAGTGATTTTAGTCAATTTAGAGGTGAGTGACTCTGTCAGAAGACAAAGATTTTTTTCCACCGGTTTGATAATTAATAAATATTGGCGATTCTGCTCGACAGCTAAGAAATTAATTTCAGTATTAAATATATCGTCGTTAATACAGTGTAGAAAAGCTGCTCTGAAGTCAATCCAAGGATTAGTTTCATTACAATACACAGATGGTGACGATTTCAGCGTAAATTGTAGGGAAGAATTCCAAAATTTAATAGCGTCCCCATGATTTTCCAAATGACAGCTGCCTAGTACTGTTAAACACCTGTTGCACACAATATCTTCCCCAAAAATTTTGTACTTATCCAAAAATATATTCCTACTCAAAATGCTGTAATGAGATCCATAGAAAAAATCGTTGTCACGTGGTTGTAACAATGTCGTTATATTAAAATCATCTCCAGTGTGAGAACAACAAAACCACTGGGAAGGATCGCAATCGTCACTCGGTAATGGAAGTACTCGCTTAAAAATAATATCAGATTTGCTTAGAATATTTTTACAACAACTACATACCAACGATAATTGAGTATTTTTTGGAGGTAGCTGAATGTCTGATTTCTCTGTTACAATTTCCCTCTCTATTTTCTGAGAATCGATGACTTCTGTTGAAAATGTGCCAACTGTTGAATCAACTGGACTAGATTGTAACCTGAATGACACATACTTGTCTGATACATTCAACGATGACAATGATTCTGGTATAATTATTAATGATTCAAGATCGATGTCAAATAAATTGTTAAAAAGTTTCAGGCCAATTAAATTATTTTTTAGACTCAGTTTCATTTTATGTGATTCTATCGGATTCCTCGTTGAGATGAAAACGTTGCACGACTGAATTCTTGGACGTTTTTCTATGGTTATGGACTCCATTCCACTCTGCTTTTACAAGCATTATTTTTATTTGTGAATTGTTGCACAACAATTGCTTATCGAGAGTTGATTATTGCTCCTTATGATTGCAACCTCGAAGACACTGACTCAAACCGACGAATGATGAATTAAAAAAAACCTGAAATTATAGTTAAAAGGCGCAATTATATTAGAATTTCTATCCCATTCCATTAAAACTCCATAAAAATTATATTAACAATCAGAAATAGCAATGCACTTACTTTTTCTGGAGTGAAGTGAAAGCTGAAATGATTGGAATTGCCTCGCAATGACTGAACGAATGGGCTGGTACATTCACATCCAAAAGTTGAAGGTCTTTTCATATAATCAAATATTTAGGAAATATTTGAAAGAAATTAATGAAAATTCATGAAGTCACAAGCCTCAAAATTCAAAAATGTCACGTAAAAAAAATTACGAGTATATGCACAGAGATTGCCAGCGCCTGTACAAAACCTTCTTCATGGTTAGAGCCCGTACCTGTAAGTAAAACAGGTCACTAACCTGAGAGTGTCGATAATTCGAGGAGGTCGTGAGTGTCACTACGGTAGGGCATTTATCGGCACAACGATAACGTCCTAAAACGAACAAAAAAATCGGATATAAAATCGAAAGATGCCAGATCGGATATCTGATGCCCAAATAAAAAAATTATATATCAATCTACGTCGATACAGGATTGATGTTACTTAGGATAAAAAGGAAAAACAAAGAAATGAAATGCAACCTGTGGATGATTATTAATGGAATTAGCGTTTGTTCTCTCGTCATGAGGAATTTTATTATTTTTGTTAGCTGATAAATTGTCTAATGCTAAAATTTCTTTAACTCAGAACCAATAACGAAATAATGTTGCTACAGCACAAACCCAAGTGGGTGGAATTCGATCGCGTTGGTTGAATGTCTGAGTGGTAACTGGTTCAGATTTCTTGAATAAACGATTGTGCTCGTATTCAAGAGCTTCCTGGAGACCTTCATTCCGTGTTACTAATCCTATTTGACACTCGAGATCTCTTTTTACTGATCTGTAACCTGAAATGCAATAATTTTTATTTTATAATTAAAAATCATGACTCATATTTGTAATAATATTAAAAACCATTGGTCAATTAAATAATTTCAGGTGGATTCTACCTATTATATATTTTTCATTTGCTTTATGAAGCTTAATATATACCGAAATTGGAGGATCCAATGAGAGTGAAGCACGGTCTCTTATGACTTGGGAGAGTGTACCAAAGACCTTTGGCGTGATACGTCCAACCAGGACGAATGTACTCCCTCAATTTTATTCGATGGTCCAAACCTCTTCTTTCAACTTCTTTGAAAAACGATTTTTCAATAAGTGTATATGCAGCTGGGATTCCCCCAGCTACACCTTTCGCTCCAAAAAATCCGTTGGCAGAGGGATGTGCTGTGAGGAGTTCGCAAGTACCCTCGCAGTGTCGGATTAACGCCTCTCTGTATTCTGAAGTTAAATTCAAATAACTTGTTGCGATTCTGAGAAGCGATCCCGGAGGGGCTGTTTTCAGAAGATTTAATGTTACTTCACTATCCTGGTGGATATTGAATGTCCCCATCTGGATCAATGGAAATATCCAAGTATCGGAATCTGAAGGACAAAAAAAGGTGTAAAAAATAAAATACCGAAGAATAATCGACATAAATATAAATATCTGAATAATTTGGTTTTCATTTCTGAAAACATGACAATAAATCTCACCTACGGGTTTCAAAGAATTAAATTCTCCCATAGCTTTTAAACTTAATGACTGAATTTTTTCTCGTACGGTTTCCTTGAATGTCCGTACTGAACCTCTCAGAGGATGATGGAGTGATTCAGAGCTGTAGGACATGATATCCCCGGGAGTCAGACGAAAACTAAATGCGGAAACTCTCTGAATTAATTCGTCGTAAAAATCGCAAAGTTCTTTGCAGTCTTCAATCAAGAAGTAACGATCCTGACGATTCGTGAAATAATCGTTACTGAGATTGGCCCTGTGGAAAATATTTAATCGATCATGACTTTTGAAAGTAAAGGGAGCAATCCTGATGACTGGAACAACCATAAAAAATTTTTATTCTTCAATTTTTTTTTCTTCTTTACTGGAAATTTTTTAAATGGAAGTTTTTTAAACTGAGCTTTAATGACTTACCCACTGATAATGAGGGAATCATCACAAATGTAGATTTTCATATGTTGGAGACCAATCAATTCGTTGTATCGCTGAGGAATAATTGCTTTTGATATTCCACGGAGTTGAGGGGTGTGATAGAAAAATAAATTACAATTTTCACTAGTGGTCCCATCGAGCAGAGGAAGTAGCATTTTTCGGGAGTTGATTTTCCCCCGAGATCCTCTCATGTAATCCAAGAGGATATTAATTTTAATATTTCCATTCGTGGCGTCTATCGAAGTCCTTATAGATTTCACCTAGCCAAAATATTTCGTATATTCAAAATAAAATTCTAAAACGTGCAATGGAAAAAAAATCCGTGAACTGGTGATGATCGTTACGACATTGGTGAAACAATGTACATACGAACCTACCAAGTCCTCTTCCAATTGCTGGGCACCCAAATAAAGTGATGCCAAGGATATTCTCCTCTCAGCGTTTTTACATCTCTCGACTAATGTCGTATAAAATACTGATGGCTCATGAATTATGGTAACCTATGGGATAAATTTCTTTTAAATAAATATATATATATAAATGAATTAATTAATTGATAAATTAATAACAGGTAATTTGATAAGTCACACCTTATCACCGTCTACTGGAAAAGCCGGAGCAACTTCACGCAACCAATCAAAATTTTCCATGATTTTCCACTTTGCACCTTTCAGTTTGTCAGGTTGTTCCCCAGGAAGCTCTTGAATATGACTCCGAGAATTGAAACTGTAGAATCTCGAGTCGATCTCTATTATTTGTGTCAATGAACACAGACCTTGTCGAGATCGAAACGAAGTACCACTAATACATTATGATTGGTTATTGGATAACTGATAATAAACTCAGATGACAGTTGTGCCATTATTTTGGTTCGACTTACCGGTTCAAAATGCAAACAATTGGACTCCACATCAGTAGTCCTAATTGTGAGTGATTATTGTAAAAAAATTGTATCACGATTGTCACTGATTGGGAAAAATTTAATCAATAATTAAGGTTATGAAACTCTGGATGAAGCACATGAAGCAACATCGCGAGTATACTCACATTCAAAAGTTAAACGTCTTTTTTATTCGATTTTTTTATAATTAAGTGGCCATTGGTGTAAAATTTTTAATTCAATTATTTTTTAGGGTGAACCCATTGTTTCTCAAAAATTGAATTCTTATTCGATCAATCATTAATCGCGCGTACCTAAGACCCTCTTAATTGAGAACAAGGAAATAATGAAAGAATGAAAGAATGAGCTTTTTCAAAGAAATATCAGAGGCGAGAGCATTCCTGTGAAAAAAGGAAACGATTTTTGTAGCACCTAGAAGAGAGAAATGATAATTGCACATAAAAAGTCGATCGTTTAACGTAATTCAGACAAATTTTATTTTTTCTCTGCCTATACAGCCACCTGTAAACTGCCATCTTCCTCAATACTTATCAATACTTTGGAAGCAGAACAATTTTTTAAAGAAACAATAATAATATTTTTTTTATTAACAAAACAATTCTAAGATAGATTGTTACCTGGAACCATGCGCATTCAATTCAACAGTACTTTTGTCGTAATAATATCAAATATACAGCATAAAAATATTTATCTCAAGGCCCGCTATATTAACAGTCTTTATGGTCGTATATTTCAAATATTCCATTATAAAATTTCTCACGTTATTCTATTCTTCGATAATGTATTCCTCAATGGTTGATTTTTCTCTTTGGTTTTGCCTTCGAAATAAATGTTTGCGAGGAGAGAAAAAGGTATTTCAAACATCACTGATAAAAAATAGGCACCCAGATAAGAAATGACAACAACACCGGAAGTGAGATATCCCTGAAATGCGACAAGTATATATATAATGTACATAATATGAGAGTAATTAAAAATGCAAAGGTGGAAAATTGAAAATTCTCCTCACTAGGCTCATGATTTCCGCATGGTACGGCGATTCCCCGCTCAGATGAAATATACCAATAAATATAGGATTGAGTAAGTACGCACAGTACGATAATTTACTGAATGGCTGCCAAATTTTTAATGATAATATTCTGTTGATAATCCCTGGATAAGAAAGATACACATCAGTTTCATATTCGATGCATTAGAATAACAATAAAATCGTTTGATTACTCACCGCCATGATTTGTACAGCATGCGACTACTAGCCATGCAATCCCGATGCCAAAAGCTGTTCTGTGTAATGCCATGTAAAATGATGTTGGTACGAGGGTTATTTTTCTTTTCCAGAGCCCGAAGAGTGACAAAACGCTGCAAGATATTCCGAGACCCCACAAAAGCCAGAGCGTCGTCTGAAGCGAGTTTAAAAAAGAAAAAAAAATGAGTCAGTATAATTCTTCTGAGTAGATCTCATTAATTTCCAATTACTCAAACACCGGGCATTTTTCAAATGCGATAATTTATTGGACAATTTATTCTGTACTAACTCAATCGAATAATCTCGAGCGTGTTCACCGATTTATTCTCGATTATCATTATTTTCGACGTTCAGATGCAATTGTTTGATAAACATAAATAATTATATTTACTCTTTTGACATGCAATCTCCTCCGTAATGTAACAACCAAGATATAAGCGGTTGCCAATCCTACCAAATACGGTCCCATTCGCATCCAGGGAGGATCATAGAATTTATCGAGAGTATTCAGCTGCTCATCTAGACTGAAAAATTAATCAACTAATTACAGTATTTCTGGAGTAATCTCAATGGACAAGAGAAAATAAAAATGGATTTTTACGTAGGTGCATATTCGTTTGTGTAAGCTATCACTCCGGAAGTAATTGTAGTTCCGATAAATAATGTTAAGAATATTCCCATCCCTACGTAATAATATCTGAAAGACAAGAAAAATGACAATAAATAAAAGATGACTATGGAAATGATTTATACACTTTACCTTTGTGATAAAAACAGTATAAATGATCCAATAATGAAGAATTGCATATCATTGGAAAGATAATAACTCCAAAATAGGCACTGAAAATTCGTTTTGTGGTATTAAAGGTAATATTCAAATCGGGTAATATGGAATGTTTAAAAAATAGTGTACTTACCGTTTCTGAACGTTTAAACAAATTATTTATGTAGAGGATATTTCTCCACCAATAGGTGGGACAAGTTTCGAATGGCCTATCGTGTATGTAAAATTGGGAGTTTTTGTCGTACCAGGAGAAAATCATATCAGCAATGCCAATGACTATCACGTAAGGAGGAGTCAGTCTGCAACAAAAAATGATTCCAGCATGAGCTCATTCGGTAGAGAACAACAATAATTTTTGTATTGCAATTATAAGTTTAGAAATTCTAGGATTCGCCTTTACAAAATATAAAAGATGTTACGGTTTTTGGAGATTGTTTATAGATTATTTAAAAAATTCTAATGTTGGAAATTGCTTGCAAGTGATTAGGAGTCATTAGGGTAACGTTCACCAGTACCGGATGTATCTTCTGATGATTCGATGGAAAAAAATCCGCCATGAAAGAGTCCCGTTCATCGAATCCTGACTTCTTTTCCTCGCATTTTCAAAAAATGTGTACGCCAGTAGAAATCCACTCATGAAGAAAAAAATATCGACGGATACAGAACCATTACTCATAATTTGTAATGGTAACGACTGAGCCAGTTGATATGCGGTAACTTTATTATCTGAGTAGACAAAATTTCAAATATTTATTATTTAGGATTCATGGATTATTTTATCTCGTAAAAATTCATACTCTACCCATGTATGTAAACCCGAATAGCGCCATGTGAAGTAATATAATCCAAGTCATTCCGAGGGATCTTATGCCATGAAGAGCTTCAATCGAATCTTTTTTTATCGAGATTGAAAATATATCTTTGGAATTAGTATAAGCCGAAAAGCACATCAGCACTTTAATAACATTTTTAGACGCACGAGCTGGAGATAATTCCTCAAAAGACCGAGAGTCCACATTTAATGGTTTACCTGGAGAAACACGAAGACAATCAACAAAATTACCAGTTCAAATCGAATAATTATTTGTTTTTATTACCATTGGTCATAATGTCTGCGCATAAATCAGCGGTACGTAGATTCTTTTGATGCACACAAAGATCATATGTGGTTGCAGCAATAATGATTAACGCAGTTACCAACATGAGGAGTCTGTTGAAAGTGGAAATTGCGTGATTGTCATTTAATTTTGTGATTATAAAAATGGATAATTACCCCATAATAATCATACGAAAATTGAAAAAATCACTCAGATCACGTGTAATTGCCTTTACTTCTTGAAGTCTAAAATCTGCATTATTGATATGACCAAATAGAAGTGTCCGTTCCTGGAACATGCTTGTCAAAATTTGACTCAACTCTCCCGTGGTGCATTTGGCAGGAAGACATAATCCCAAGGTAATCAAATCCTAGAATTAAATTACACCAAATGTATAACCTCGTTAAGCAATTTGTAAAATCTTATTTTCAAATCATTTTTTTTACATTCTGATAATAATTGAATGATTTTTCATTTTAAAAAGTATTAATTGCTTCTACACTAATTGAAGTAGAAATATTCTCAATCGTAATGGATGCTTACTTCACCAGGTTGCACGATGTTATATTGCAATGTACTATTATGTACAAAGTATGCAACGAAAAATTTTAACTTGAACGGGACTAACTCTTCCCCTGATTTTCTGTAGATACTATTGTTTTTTAATACTTTTGGACTCAAAGCCAACGATTCACTATTCATTATGATATCACATTGACGTTCATGTCCTAGCCAGTAATTATTCCCATGAATAAACCCAGATTTCGGTTGTCCACTTGAATCCAGCACTGAAAATTTGAGTAATTTCATATAAATACATGCGGAAATATTGGCGTATCGTTTGATTTTTAAAACGAGAGCTTGCAAATGTATTTTTATTGAAATCATTTGATTTGATGATTAGCAGTGATTAATTAATCTGCAGGTCCTACTCACTCCTTAAGCTCCACAACACATGAGCATCGACTGCTTCTTTGAAGAGCTTTAACTCCTGGTGACATGGACTTGAATCAATTAATAAACCGGCTTTACTTGCAATAGCATATGCCGGGATGACATGCGATGTGGCGATAGATAAATTAAAACCATCGGCTCTTCTAAGAATCATTAAAAACCACAGCCCTGACAGTAAATTATATCTGTAAAGATGAGCTTGCCCATTCCTATTTTTTGAATTATACATCTCTCCTTTATTGATATATATCCTGAGTTGGCTATTGTTGTGGAAAATTCTCCATAAAAATCACCGATTTTCTAAAATCTCAGTAATTAAACATTAAAGCAATTCACAGTAATTTAGTCCAAGTTTTTTTCAGAATATCTAGGGAGTTCTGAAACAGAAAATAGTTTTTGAAATGCAGATTGCGGATGGGAAAGCGTAAGTGGGCGTTATTACTTTTAGAAATTGAAATGGTCATCAATATATTAATTACGAACTCTTCAGGGTACAGGAAAATCGGAGATAAGCTTCAAGAATATTCCAAGATATTCGGATGATACAGGGGACAGATATTCAGAGAGGGTGTAGAGATTTTCGCACACCTAGAGGTTCTGAGAAGTAATTCCGAATGATGTTGAAGTTGAGAAGAGAAATTGAGTGAGGTTTTCCGGGAGTTGGTTCACACCCATCATCAGACGATCGTAATGATATTCAACTTTGTCATTGTTGCTAGACTATCTGAATTTATTAATACGCAAACACGAATCGATTTGTCGATTAGGTAAAATGATGCAGACTTGACACGTTTGTTTTTTAAAAAATCTGACTTGCATCGAATTGATTGTTCCCTTTGATGGTGGATTGGTCAGTTTTTGTTATTGCAAAAGGAAATAGAATGATCTCCCTAATCTTGTGGAAAATGGAATTCAATTCCATTTACAATACCTGTCACATCAGGTAGGTAGATACAACAATTTCAATGAATATTTCATTTTTTTTTATCCGGAAAGAATGAGAGGCCATTCTAGTCATTCATTGCAAATTACAATCATTTTTTTTTTCATTCAAAATCGTTATTCCATCCATAAAGAAAATGATTCGTGCACGGCGATTTATAGTTCTCAGAAATTCATTAATTTTCTTCACATTCTTTCACTTTTTTCGAGTAGTAAATACGTTGTACGATTTTTTAATTCTGTATCCAAAGTTTGCGAGATTCTTCTGTTCTTTCATTTGCAATTAATCGAATTGTGTTGAATTATACGTATTAATGAATTAATTATTAATTTATTCGTAATTAAATGCGAGAGGAGAATTTTCGGTGAGGGTGTGGGGAGATGGTTGAACCAGTAGACTTCCAAAAATTTCTCGACTTACTTGTTGTTCAGTGTTTTTGACACAGTTATAAACATAATTTTTGGTATAAATAACAATGCAGTGTATGGTAAATTATTTAAAATATCCTCTCTCCGTGAATTATTAAGTAACAAGTGTATATGATGATTGACTATTAAATCGAATAAAGTACGATCGTGTTTCAGGAAAAAATAAGTGATAAGGCTGCACCAGGTAGTGCCAGCCCTTCGGTGAATCTCACGGCCATCGATATCAGTGATAATAAGTGGTGGAAAATCGATAATCACGTGATCCTCGAATTTACATTTCGGTGCTCATTGTGAGAAATTATAAATTGACTCTCTTCTTCATAATCATTTAATCCTCTGACTTTCTTACCACCAGCTCGTGAGTACAAATTATTTTTTTTTCATTTTTAAGTTGAACGGTTTAATCAATATATAATTTAATGAGCCATTTGTTAATTTACAGAATTGAATGACTCCACTGGAAAAACCGGCGAAGTCTATTGAAAAATGTTATCATTCGGTTTTTATATTTCCGGGCAGATTGCTTGAAAATTGGGAAAAAAAATCACACGTGTGGAAGGGGGGTAGATCGATTTGAAATTCGGAATGTGCGATCAGGATTTTTCAATTATGAGCGATCTCGGCTGCAGGCCCCGTTTTATTCATATTTACGGGCTTTCAAAATTATCGACAATTTCTCCCTTCCGACCTTTCTTACTCACACGATTGATTCTCTGGATTAGTTCCTGCGCCACCGCTACGAGAGTTCTTGAAGATACCTTTGCATATATAACGGAAATCTTCCCTATAGTCTCTGAGTATGGTTTTTCTTCAACGTGTGTATATTTACGAGCGGTCTAGAGAACAGAACAGAATCCCATAATTTCACGTGGTATCAATATATTTTTCGAATTCCCATTTTGGTGATTCAAATTAATAAAAATGAAGTTCAAAAATCTTCGCAAGAATCCATTCAGTGCGACGAAATCACAAGACGATGATGTTGAAATTAAAGAAGAAGCAATTGATGAGAAGCAAGTGGAAGAGGTTAAGTTCCCAGAAGACACAAATTTCAATCACATAAAATGCAAAGCCGTGAGGCAAATGAAGGTACAAAAGATGATGAAGGCCAAGGCAAAGGCCAAGAAAGAAGCAAAGAAAGCGAAAATTCAGTCTGGTGCACCGAAACAAGTGCCGCATACAATTGAGAGTCTTCGAGAGAAAGATGAAACCGCAATAATTGGAGACCTTGATGATGAAGAAAACGCAGAAGTCAAAGCAGAATTGATGAATGATGAATTTGCTGCCTATTACAGAAATGATTATGAACCGAAAGTATTGATCACGTACTGTGATAATCCAACACGAAAAACGAGAATTTTTGGGAGAGAACTCACTCGCATTATTCCAAACTCTCTCTCATTATATCGCAATCGTTCAGGTGTTAAGAAAATGGTCAAATCCGCCACGGCCAGAGGATTTACTGATATTATTGTTATTAATGAGAATCAGTGTCAGCCCAGTATCCTTTCCAATAATTAATCAATTCAATTCAATTTTAATCGAGTATACGAAACGAGTTAAGCTGTACGAAGAACAAGGCTATCTTTTTTAATTTCTCAGTCGCTGAGGCGTGATCTCTATCGACTTTTAATTTTATTAATTTTGTGAATGATATGTGTCCTTAATGAAATAATGTTCAGATGGAATGTTGGTGGTTCACCTGCCCGATGGACCGACGGCTCAATTTAAATTGAGCAATGTCAAAATAACGCCTGAGCTGAAGAGAAGTCATAAAGAGATCAGTGAACATAGACCTGAGGTTATCCTGAATAACTTTACAACACGATTGGGTTACACAATTGGACGGATGCTGGGAGCTCTCTTCCATTATCAGCCAGAGTTCAAAGGACGCAGGGCGGTTACCTTCCACAATCAACGTGATTACATTTTCTTCAGACATCACAGGTATAGACGCTTATTCTTATTGAAACATCCGATGAATATTCTAAACCCTATATTTTAATTGCAGGTACGAATTTAATCTGAAAACAGGTAAACCAAAGTTGAGGGAATTGGGACCGCGTTTCACATTGCGACTAAAATCCCTTCAGCATGGAACTTTCGACAGTAAATACGGAGAATATGAATGGATTATTCAGGGTAAACGCCATGCAATGGAGACGAGTAGAAGAAAATTCTTCTTGTAAGAGGAAAAAATATATCGTTTTTGGAATAAAAATTCAACAACTGGGGAAAAAAATGCATATTTTATTTTATAATTACGTCGATCGTATTAAGAGGACTTGCCCGAATTATCGCTCGATTGTTTAAACTGTTCATAAGTCAAGTTTGTTCGTTTGAGGACGTAGACAGCTGCGTTGAGTCCGCCCATGCTAACTCCAAGCATTTTTTTAAGTTTGAAAACGTTTTTTGCCACTTGTAAAGCTCCAGCCATGCTTCGACGATCGTAAGTGAGTAGAACTAACTGGCCATGCTTTAGTCTAGTCACTCGAGCCAATTCGAGGATATATTTCTTATAGAGGACCCTGTTGTCTGTCATCGAGCCCATCCTCTTGCCGAAGGGCATGTCCGTGACGAAAGCATCAATGCACGAGTTTTTGAATGGCAATTGGGTGACGTCCCACCTCATTAAATCAGATTTACAGGGTACTTCGAGAGCTTCAAAATTCAATCTAGATCTATTGACAGCTTTCTCATGATTATCACCGCCGACGATGAATGAGTGGTTGAATTCCAGAGCTCCCTGAAAATTGGAAATTTTCCATTAGTTTTCACAAAAAGACGAATGAATATTTTTCGCGATTAGAAAGAGAAAAAAAGTGCAGAAATGGGCTGTCTTACTTCTATGGGAATCGATCCTCCACCGCACATTGGATCAACTATTATATCCCCTGGTTTCGGGTCTGCCAGGCTCAATAAATTATACGCGATAGTGGCCCTAAGGGTCGTAGGCCCAAAATATTTTATATTTCTTCGGTGAAGGGACTCCGGTGTCACTCGTAGACCCATTATCATTTGACCTGAAAATTAATATTTTTTCTTCAGTTGAGTTTCAAGGAGTATCAGTGAATCCAACAGGAATCGAAAATTTCTCTCTTTTGCAGAGTGGAATAATTATTAAAAAAACAAGGTTCCTACAAAAATGTCTACAAATATCTGAAGCGATTTATTTCCATTTATTTTTTCATGACTGAATTAATCTGCCCTATTTGAAAAAATTGATTCATGATTTCGCATACCGTGTGTGATTTTACACAAAACCTCCAGCTGATACGACGTTAAATCCACGATCCAATGGTATTGATCTTGCATTTCACCGCCAATAACATAAGCTACTTGACTGGAGTCAAAGTTGTGGGTTCCTGTTCTTTCACATGTAACCCTGAACGAAAGCACATCCTCTTCGTTTCCAAAGGCTGGATTACATCCTCTTCTCTTTGTACCAGCATTTTTCTCATCCACATTTATCGTATTCTGTTCTTTTTTCACTTTATAAATCTCGACAGCCCTCTGGTACTCGTCTATCGTCGGATATAATTTACCAGGAAAGCCGGTCACTTCCTTCCATGCGTCCAAACATTTTTTCAATTGACTGCAATTTCCTACTGACTCTTTGAATGTTTGTAAATTACTGTCTTTATTCTCGGCGTCGAAAACAAAATGATTTACACTGGCGATGACATAAATATTATCAACGGATCTCAATTTTTTCACTTTAAAAAAATCGTTCAAATTTACATTGAAGAATATTTTCCCTCGATCTTTCACCACTCGGAGATGAGGAGATATTTTATCTTTACATTCATCAATCGCTTGCCACTCAAATCCTGTCAATGAATAATTTCATTTGTTAAATTTCAAGGTTATGTTTTAGATTTTTTTTAATTACTGCCGTGATTACCTGTATCTACAGTGGTTTGCACTGTTAACAGACCATCGTCATTCGTTGATATGTCAAATAGCCTTTCTAGATCAGATTGATTCTCTTCCGACATTTGGAATTAAATTCTCCGGTTATCAGAATGGACAGCCTGTTGCGTTCTTGTACTGTATCACGTGTACCGCTACAGGCAATTTTAATCATGGCAACGAGAGATTGAGTTCAAGAAAAAATTTGTTTGTTGCTTGAAATATTTATTGAAATTTAAAAAATTCATCGTCGTAAAGTATTTACATGCACTTCACAAATTAGTTTACGATTCTAGAATTTTTTTTAATATAACAAATTGCTCTATGAATTATTTCAATTTTTGTTATCTTTTATTTAAATACAAACACAAAGGTCCTCCACACCTTATCAATCCATTCGGTTGATCGTGTATTCTATCTAATATATTAATATACAATTATTTCCCATTATATTGCGATTTCGATCTAAAGACAATGGTAAAAGTGTAATATGAAATAATTTATCACTTCAAGACTTATTGTACACGAGTACCCGTTCACTTAAACTTCAAAACTATCCAAACGATGAAAAATACGAATATAGAAAATAGGAATAAATAAAGAATGTAGTAATTATGGCCAGCTTTAGCCATACGAATTACTCGGGCGACTGAAGACGAAAGCGAACCACTAGTCCTTTCAAAATCGTCATCCTGAAATATATATATTTACATATCAGGGGAGCATAAAAATTGAGGAGATTTTCCCTGAAAGTGAAAAATTGGAAATTTTCAAAAAAATATCAGGGGAGCATAAAAATCGAGGAGATATTCATTGAAATTTGAAAATTCGAAATCTACAAAAATACCAATTTACCATGCCTCGGAGCATTTTATCTTGATATTTAACCTCCGTTCCAATGTCTATCGACAGGCTTTTGAGGGCGTGAATTTTATCCTTGAGTTCGTCCTCCAGTCTTTCATTCTCATCCTCGAGGAGATTTCGTGAAGTTGTAGGGAGAGGCTCATAGCTGTAACCAGCTGCAGTACAAAATTCCAATTAATAAAAAAAGATCGTGATAAAATTGATTGGTATGGCATCGCTCACCCCGCTCACCCGAATGTGATCTCCTCATTTTTCCTTAGTCCTTCTGTTTCACAACTACCAGTAGACCATAAATATATTCATTCGTGTTTTTTCGATTTATTGACACTTTTATCGCAAGTCTAGTTGTTCTCTCTGTCAACTGATTCGAGATTTTCCAAGCTCGAAGAATTCCACGTCACCAACTTCATCAATTCTTTGTATACGTATAAACACAGATTAATATTGTGTAGTACATAAACCTTATCCTAACCTCTCACTTATTCCAGCTCCTCCAGCTGTCGTTGGCCGTTTGACACATTCGGCACGTAAAATTTTCACAACGCATGCGCATGTCCATGTGTTCATTCAAACACTTGTCAGGTGACGGCAATGTCAATAGAAAAGGACAAGACATAACAACATCTTGTCAGATTGACGTGAGGTCACTGCACCAAGTCTTTCCTTTTCTCTGCTACTCACCTGCTTTTTAATTAAATTTTTCAATTGCATTTTATTATACTCCAGAGAATACATATCACCAAATAATTTAATTGAACATTTGAATTAATGATCACGTAATGCAATGTGCGATGTAAACAAATGGATTACTCACTTTGTTTACGAAAATATCGGTACGAATAAACATTTTAATGACTGAAAGATTTATTGATTTTTGATATTTCACATATATAAAGGCACAAACAATGAAAAAAGTTATTTTACTTTGAGTTTTTCTAAATACTCTCGGCTACATGACTAAACCACACTTCACACACTCGTATCATAATGAAGTCAATAACTTACCTAGTGTTAACATCTCGATAAATTGATCATTTTATTTTACGTAGGCGTATCTTTTCATTATTTATTTAGTATAATGATGGAAACGTATTTCTCGGATGAATTACCATCACAACTCAACTTAATATTCTATTCACAACCCTCCAATCATAATGAAAAAACTTGATATTTTTTCCACCAACACGTGTTTCAACTCTACCTCTCGACAAATCGAATATTCAACAATCTATGATTTCACCTCTTAATTCTCCCACGCTAAACATTCAATGTGTGCTATTTATTCACTCGTATCCTATCGAATAATAATGGGATCAGAAATCAGTCTGACGATTTACCAGATATAGATCAGTATACAACATCAACGTTAAATAATTGTTTTTCGTATTTCGTTCTTGATCCGTTATCCTCTCAATTTTCCATTCACTTATTTGCCCTGCTGGCGTCCAGCGATTGATAATTGCAAGACGATAAAAAGTTTTAATAAACGACACAGGGAAAAAAAATAATGATCTGTCCCCAACGGCCAGTAAAAACCACATAGGCCTGTCTAAAATGTCTACTTTGAGCTTTTTATTCTCACCACTGGAATGTTGAATGAAATTCTCACCCTGTCATTCCTCTCACGCCATCCACCAATTTGGCATTTGGAAGACATTACACCTAATTTATTTTCATAGAATTCGGGACGTTTCTGACAGTTGAATGGAATCGAATGTGAATAGTGAGTGGGATTTCAATGAGGCTAGAGAAAATGAGGAATGCAGCACCAAGAGATTTCATTATACAGCACCCTGAGAGAAAACTACTAATTCTTGGCGTGAGATAATTTAGTGACTAGTTTTCTCCTGTGAGAAACGCAACAATGTTCATGTAAAATGGTATAGAAAAATAGAGATGCTGTGGAGAAAGAATGAGATGTTTTACTTGGAATATTTGGAAGTGGTGAGAGAGGTGTTGGCGGAGTGAAATCTACGAGAAGGTGCTGGACTCACTGGAGCCGATGGTGAGGGACCAGTGGGCGTTGTGGGTTTAGAACCCCTTCGACTCCTCCGTATCGAGGAGTACGGGCTGGTGCCTCGATTAACATGTTCGTGGGCGTACAGTAAAATGCCAATGTCACGGTGTCCAGCCTCCAGAGCTATTTTCAAAGCAGAACTGCCATCAATATCAGTAATAGAGGAGTCACAATCCGGATGAGATAATAACATGCGAACGATATCTGTATGGCCGTGTTCAGCTGCACACATGAGAGCTGTACTGCCGTCCTCATCCTGGATATTGACAGCTGCTCCAGCCTCCAGGAGCAGATGGGTCATGTCTCTGCGACCGTGGGAAACAGCTAGCATCAGAGCTGTTTGTCCATGCAGCTTAGCCCTGATATTGACATCGGCAAGCTGGAAGAGCCTGTTGGCCACGGAGGCGTGTGTTGAATTTCTCACTTCAGCCAATGCAGCCAGCATTACAGCTGTATATCCCGCAACATTGGATTTGTTAATATCACAGACCTTCGAGTCAAGTAATATCGAGACCACGTCGAAATTTCCATGAGACACTGCGTAATGCATCGCTGTATTTCCACTTGAATCCGTCATATTGACGATGTACTCGAGAAGAAAACTCGAGTACTCCTCGAAGCAATCGAGATAGTCCTCCACATCCAGGGGATTAGCATTCACTGTACTAGATATGTTGAACCATTCCTGTTGGATTATGTTTGATGCATTTTTCGTCTGATGCGAAATATTTTTACTCGGTGATTTTCGCAGATTGTCGTTGAGCACTTTCATGGCAGCCCTCATCTCCTTCGAGGGCTCTTTTTTCACTCGGGATTTGTCTCTGATTGGCTCGAACAGGGCTGAGTCAGGAAGGGCTTTCTCCTCTTTGTGTCCTTCCTTTTCAGGCGATGACAATGTGCTCGATTTATTATTCTCATCGCGGTTCTCCTCGGCTTCAAGGCGCTCCAGTCTGGAAAAAAATATTTCAACTTTTTCATTAATGCGCTTTTCCTCAGCCAAAATTCAACGAGTGGAATTTCAATTGCGGAAGTCAGGTGGAAAAATGACAATTACCGTTCATCATTAAACGAAGACGATACAATTTCGATTATTTCAGCGGTCAATGCTGGAGAATTGTACTTCAGCTGTTGTTGTTGAAGCATCGAGTTATTCCGCGTTACAACGGGTAAAAGAAATTAACCGTACCACTCACCGTTGCATTGAATTAACGTTTAGTTGTCCATGCGTAAAAGTTATTTTTAGGTTTTAGAGTTATTCGAGAAGGTAGGCTATGAATTAAATTAAATGAGTTTTACTGTGTTTGTGAAGGAAAAGCGAGAGCTTTTTCATGCCTATTGAAGGATGGCAACTATATGACTGAAAATATAAGGGCTAGTTTGCACGGTGAAGGGATAGCTGTTCACGCAAGCGCCAAGTGTACTTTTATACAGTAGCAACTCGGTAAAGTGAAATAAATCGAATATTTTTTATTATCAGTTTATACATAAAAAATTATCAATTTAATAAAAAAAAAAATCAATAACCAATTTTTTTGGGGTTTCCCCATTTTTCTGAACAATGAAAGTTTTTTTATATTTTAATCTGAAAGAAACAATTTTTTCGATCGATGAATATTTAATGGAGCTATAAAATACATCTCATCTCACTTTTCCCTTTCGCTACTGAATTAAAGGGCTGATCTGCCCTTCATAGCTTTTGAGTTCATGCGAACATTTGCGAGTATTAATTATTAATTAAAAATAGTTGCACTTACTTATTGCTCCTTGATTCATAATTATCTCTGTTATCGGCGTCGTATCGAATGATTCCAATGGGAATTTTGGTGTACGTATCTTGTCTCTTGAACTGCCTTCTGAAATCTTGCGAATTGAGGGGAATGTGAGAAGGTCGTGGTATTTTAGACGTGACATTTGCGCTGGGGTTTTCAACATTTTTATAATTATTATCGGTGCTGCTCGACATCTGCTTGGCGAGGGACTTTATTGTTTCTTTGCAGTTGTCACAGTAATTGGCAGCGCAGGATATAGCAATGTGTGGTTTGAGAGAATCCCCAACAGAAACGTCAACGAATTTTTTTTTAATCGGTGACGTTCCAAATTCACGGGTTTTCGGTTTGAGGCCGGTGGTGTCTGTACTCCGTGCAGTGGTTTTGATAAGTCCTTCGACGCTGACACCTATGGATTTCGTGGTCTTACGTTTTGGCTTGGTATCACCGTAATTGAACGAGTGACTCCGAACATTCATCAAGTTCAATGATACCGTTTGGATTGAGACAGGATCTGGTCCAGTGGCAATCGAACGTGTACCTGGTCCAGGTCCCACCTCAGTGCCAGTCTCTGAAGTTCTCGGTTTAGCAGTCACTCCTACATTTGATTTCATCCTAAATGGTTCTGACACCTGTACCTCCTGGTGCTTCTTCGTGTGAGTCTGCAAGATAGTCTGAACTCCTTTTGTTGATGTTTTCTTTTTCACAGCTTCCTTATACGTATTGATGGCATCCTCAACAATGAAAGCTAAATCATCGGGGGTATAGATATCTTTGCTCCTCAATTTTGTTTCAGTACCCACCGAAAATGTAAGTTTAGCTTTATCTGTAATTGTGGAACTATCTTTGAACTGCTTTGTATCCGGCTGGATATTCTCCACCTTGAGTGGTCCTCGCCTCAGTGAATTCTTCCGGTATACTCCAGGGGAAGTGTCCTCACTTGTTTCACTGCTCCTCGATAATCTTGACAAACTGCAAGTGTCACTCGTTGAAAACGAAAATTTTGTACTTTTATTCAGGTTGGGGGACAGATTTTGCCTGTAGTCTAGATCCCTCTCATCGATTCTGAGGGCTGAAAATTTTCCCAATTTAGGATCACCCAGTGGTTGAATAGGGGTACTCGTAACCATCCCCACATCGCGTGTACGGATCTGAAAAAAATGGAGGGATATTTCATTACGGGATGAAATATTGTGCAATTGTTTCCACTCGGTGTGGTCATAATATAACTCATTATACAATGAAATTCCTGCGAACGGATAGCATCGAGTATAATTTTATAAAGCAAAGTTAGAAAGCACAACATTGAGTGCGTGCATTCTCCATTTGGAGCGTATCAATGATTTTTCCAGTAGGAGAATGGTCACGCCACCAACACTAATTACCCATACATTATTCCAATAAATTTTTACCTGTTGATGAGATACGCCTACGTCTCGTGTTACGATGCCACACATTGTCCCCATGTCTCTGGTGGTGTTTGAATTTCGTGGAGTGTATCGCTCGGAGAGAGATTGGCTCCGCAATCTTTGATCATTTTCCTCGCTCAGTCTTGTTTTATTAAGCTCCTGCACCTGACACTGCAGATTCCGCTTCTCATCCTTGAGAATTGATACCTGAACCTGCACATGAAACATAGTTTCAGGTTTGATGAATCTCACGGGATTCATTTGAATTTCAATTCAAATCAACGCCGGTTTATTTTCAACTGTTCAGTTTGTCTTTCTCCGTTGGAAACTTTAATGCCACTGACTGGAAGAGAGGATGTGCAGGTACACAGCTCCCGGAAAGATAGAGAGAGAGAGAGTGAGAGGGGAGGAAGGGGACTTGACCCTAGTGGGGGCAATGAAAATGAATGAATTTTCACCCACCAATGGAGGACCCTTTTCGAGAATTTAAAAGGTCGTCGAGGATTGTCTTATAATACCATCCAAGAAATGGCGCAGTTTATTGCGGTATGCAGTGGTTCTCCTTTAAAATTCATTCTAAAACCGGGAGAAAATCATAGAATAAAATAGAAATTTTCCCTATGAAAATAATTCATCGATTAGTAAAAATAAAATCATTCTCTCATCTTATTTCTATGTAATATGTCAATTATTCCTAGCTCGGATGATCGACAAATTTTTTTTCAGCAATGTTAAAAAAATACTTTGCTTTATGCAGCTTTCGCGTCTTTCTAGCTCGACCATAATCCTCCTGTCTAATTTTTCTTTGAAAAATTAATAAGACTTTCTTTGAAAAATTAATAAGACGTTACGAATACCCAAGTTCTTGGGTAATTTTTTTATCGTTGACATTCTTATTTGCAATAATAGATGAAAATGAGGCTTTTTATTTCAGACATTTTGAAATGATATTGTTATTTAAAAAAATTTTTGTCAGTAATGTGAGTCAAAATATTATTGAAACGTGTTGTAACTTGTATGTATATTACCTGTAATATTGGTATGACCTTGACTTGCTCTTCCAATTCGCGCATACGTTCCAACGATGCCGCCATTTGTTCCCTAATGTTCTGAAATACCAGAATGAATAAAATAGTTTTTTAATGTGAACCTGATTTCTTCGCACTTGTAATGCGAACATACCTGAAGGGCCCCAGTGCTGTTATTCGAATTACCACTTCCAATACTCGCGTTATCAAAATCCATAGACCGATCCACGTGAGCTGCATTTTGGATGGGGGATATCGGAGAGCTCCCGTCTGAAAAAAAATTAATTATATGAGATTACCACTACAAGAAATATTAATAAAAAATTACCCTTGAAATTCCCGCTAAAAAAATTGAAATTTTTAATACCCCTAAAGTGACCTGAAATTTTTTGAGAATTCTTCTTCGATGAATCAATTAATTTCTTTCTTTCTTGCAATTTCTCAATCTATAAAAAATTCAATTATAACTGATTTTTAATTTTTACAATGAAAATGAAATGAAAATTCATGCTAAATAGAAATTAAATTTCCATTTAATTTTTGAAATTTCATTCATCCGCATGTAATTCAAAATTTCATTTAAATACCCTCGTGACAGGAATTTTCAGAAATGACGAGTGAAGCCTCGACACCTGAATAATTCCGACGATTACAGTTTTCATCTCGTATGAGAGTGAAATTATTGGCGGGAGCTGCTATAATAATTGCACATTATGTATGTGCGATAAATTGATAACCCGGAGCGGTCGAAAATCTGATTGAATTATCCCTCGTTAAAAAACACGAGAGAAAAAAATAATGAATGCATCAAGACACATGTACATTCGTGCATTTTCCCTGGGACTGTATAAGTGCCTTCAAACGTATGTGGATTAACGGAAGACTTGATAATGAATTGAGTGTGTTTGGATGGAGATAAAGTAAGCAAGTACATTGTAGTTAACTTTGCCCTCGCAATGGACGTTAATGGAATATCTAGAGACGGTCAACAGCACGTGATTCCAGAGACCAACATGCATCCTCTACGATTTACAAACAAAAAATTAAAAATAATCATTATATATGAATATCATCACGTAACAGGTTGAACGTCTCTTAGCATATTCATGTTTTGTTTGCTCAAACTGTCAACGTATTTTATCCTAATGTGCCTATTTTATCAGCCAGACTCTTATCTCGTCTCTACATTCGCCTGTCACGAAAATAATATCACGTAAAATTGAACACCGATGAAATTTCATTACATCCAAAGCACGTCCTGATCAAAAACTGCAATTAATCCTCTCAACTCACGATATTTTTTCTTCTTCATCTTGCAGAAGGGTAATCTCTTCATGAAGAAATTCTTCACTCCCATTTTTTTACGGGATTTTCGCTCAATTTTTAATGACTCGTTGCGAATTTCTTTCAGAGGTGTAATCGCTTATCCATGAATCCGTGAATTTTTATGATTTTTTACACAAAATCATGTGAAACGGCGCGCACGAGTGATAATAATTGTGGATTCACTTTATTTTACAGTTGATTTCGGCAGATTTGGGTCACTGGATTTTCAATTCGTTTTTTTTTTCAGCGGAGAATAAATGGAGCTTATGTTTTTCCGTTGCGGGGTCGCGAACGACTGTTCGGTGGAGTCGAGCTCCCTAAAGAAACAGAAGCCAAGTGTCCATTAAGAGGGGAGAAAGGCGTCAATTGCTATAATGCCTTTAAACAATATCATAATCATGTCGATTTTCCCACTTGCAACCAGAGAAAAATATTTATTAATCAGTCGAATGAAGTCTATGAAAGCGCCTTATCTGAACTGATTGGCGATTTATACGTTCTATCAAATGATTAAATTGAATACATCTGAAATAATTTGAAGAGTATATACTCATTAATCTATATATCCATTAATTCGGTGATTAATTAATGAGTACTTAAAATTATTATATTTTAAGCAGGACCCAGTTCAAGTTTTTAAGCGCTGGTGGTGAAATTATTGCGATGGACTTTCAAAATAGAAACAGTTGTGCACAAAAACGGTCGGCCAACAGGTGCGTTCGACTACAACACGCCATATGTGAAGACCAGTTGTTGCAAGGTTGCACCAAAATCGTAGGGCACTAATCACACTCAATCACAATGTTTAAATTTTGCAACGAGATTCGAAACGCTGGGAATGCACCGCATTTCACCAAGGGCAACGTCTTTTCTATTTATTTTTATTAGAATTTCCATTATTCGCTAACTTTCAACAATATTCTCGAATACAACACGATATGCTAATTGAATTGAAAAATAAATTGACTTAAGCCTGGCATTTCTGCAGCTCTACTAATTCTCGATGGTACGCAATGAGTTTTAAACAGAGTACGACGAAAAAATCGTCGAACCGATTCACTGTGTTTGGAGGCCACGGAAACAACTTCCCGTGACGACTCGATATTTTTCCCTCGTTGAATGACCAGAGCAAGTTAGATGACAATTGATTTTTAATAATTTTCGGTTTTTCCTTGCTGTTCTCTTGAAATTAGTCGAAACAGGACAGTGTTATCTGTGACACCACTTCAGATATGCTGATAACAATACTTTTTAATCTTCCATTACTCACTTTCAATGATTTTTCATAATGACTTTTCTTTAATTTTCGGTGAAAGCTCATCGAATGGCGCCGTCCTAAAAATTGCTGAGATATTTCATGAGATATCAATTTTTCTTTAGTCGTATGATTGAAGATCTGAATGAAAATATTTACTCAGCAATTTAAATATTGATTGCAACAGATTGAAAATGTTACTGAAAAGATACTCTCAGTATTGCATCACCTGGATAAAAAAGGGGTAGAATCGGAGTAAAACTGGAATTGTTATACTTTCTTTTTTGGAATGGTAACTAAAAATACTGAGAACGGTAAAGCTCAAAGAATAGCATAATAGTCGGTCTAATGATGGGAGCGGAAGCAGGTGGTTCCAGCCATGCACTGTCGATCACGACTCCTTCTGAAATTCAACGCTATTTTATCGGTGCGGTATCTTCCTTTCCTTCGTGAAACAATCGTCCTCCACTTCACAACGAGAATAAATTAGCACAACAAAAACATCTTGGTACTTTCATTAATCATTGATTGAGAATAATTATCAATAGAAGAGCCTGAGGAAAGGAAAATTCTGGTAATACCTGAACACTCCATGGATTTAACTGAGTATTTGCACTCGCAATAATTATTATTCCCGGTGTGTGTAAAATTAACAATGGGAGACGGTATGTCATGTGTTGCAGTTGGCTGTGAACGGGTGCACGTTGTTTTCTCACTGATGTAAGATATTCCCAAGGGAATTTGTTTCACAGGACTGATTAAAGGTTGGTGGGAAAAAATATGAGAGAAAGCGTCATGTTCATCAGGTGATAAATCTGACACCGCGATTTCAGTTGAGAGCATCTGTCTGTCTTCACGTAATGAGAAAGACAAAACTGTTGGAGAAAATTGAAATTTAAGGGACAGCTTAATGGCTATTTTTATACGGAAAATAGATTTCTTCTTTCAGCAGGCATTACTCAATTCTAAAAATTTTATGTATGTGTGATTAAATGGCTCACCTGTCTCAGCCTCTTTTTTATATTGATTTTTCGGTTTTGAGGGTTTGGAGAGTCTTTTGAGAGTTGCCTCGAAATCACCAATGGCGTCATTCAAGTCCAGGGCCATTGACTTCTCGACATTTCCTGTCGATCGTCCAGAATGACCTGACCTTGGCAAGGTCACTAGGTTGCTTCTGGGTGAGATAGCCTCGTTCTGCGATAAATCAGATAGCTCTGTTTGAATATCGTTGAGAACCGGATCGACCTGAAGAGATGAAAATAACCCCATAAAACTCTTATTAGTATTGAATGATTCCAGAGCAAGCTGAGTAATGATCAAATTGTTTATTCATTCCTCCGATAGCTCATGATATTCAACTGAATTTATCGTCGAGATGCGCACGAACATTGAGAGTAATTGCGCTATTTATTTATTCAGTGTTATGAAGACACTCGAGTGATCCTTACCAGACCTAGCAGAATTTCCATTGATTGGCATTGCCTCCGTTTTTCTCTTTTCTTACGTCTTTCCATAGTAGATCTATCTCCACCATTTCCAGCAGCAACGGCTTCACAATATTCGACGAAATCCAAATCAATATGATATCCAAAGGGACAACAGTGACATTTGGATCCAGTTGAGGCTGTGGAGCCAGAGTATCCCTCTTTTCCCACTGAAAAATAAAAAAATTCCTTCGGATATCAAAAAATTCAAATTCATTCCTTTGGCATTAGAGCTTGAAATTAAAAATAAACACTTTCAAATTATTCTTCAGCTTTTTGTTTGTGGCAAAACGTGGGAGATACTCGGATGTTATGGAGACATCATAGGACAAAGATTTGAACATGTTCTGAATGAATTAGGATGAAGTATCGCAAGGTGACTGACCACAGAGGCACGTAATAAAACGAAATATGGTGTAACGATTGGCGAATGTCCAGCCTGGTGAGGGGTAATAATAATCTCCACAGGGAGAGTTCGTTAGCCGGATGGTACGGAGGCTCGAGTGCAACATCTCATTTTCTTTCCTCTTCATGCTATCTTACAAGGTATTTTCTTTGTAGCAAATTCAAAGGCACAATTTTGGTAAATGACTAGTTTAGTTACTTAAAAAAAATTTTAATCGCAACATATGGCATTGAAATCCAAGGTGCGTTAATTATTGAGGAGGTAGAGGAGGTAGAGGAGGTAGAGGAGGTAGAGGAGGTAGAGGAGGTAGAGGAGGTAGAGAAGACTGGAACATTTTTTTCCGGTGATTCCAAGTCGAAATGTTGATCAGCGGATTTTTATTTCTTAAGCAATAAAAGTTGGAGAATTTGTTAACGTTTTTTTTGATAGGTTCCACGATTCTTGGAGTACGTGGTGGAATAATGAGTTGAGTATAATTAGAGCAAGTGGTGATGCGAGTGTTCCCATTATTAAAATCTCTGTAAAGCTATGAGAATGTACTGTGATGTGCACAGACTTATCCAGAATTAAATTAGTTTCGCTTGCTTACCGTTTCCGTTGAAAACACGGGCCGAGGATACGGTCAGCGCCATTTCTTCAGGGTCTCTAAAGCTTCCTCGTTATGAATTCATCCCCTATAAATATCAACATTAAAATATTATTGCAGATTACAAGCAGTCGTCCTAACAACAATCACTTTGAATTCACTCGGTGAGAGGGAATATATGAAATTTAAATCTGAAACATATTCTAATTTCGAATGCTCGTTTTTAATTTTTAGAGTGAAACCACAAAAATTAATTGAATTGAAGATGTCCTGCCGTCTTTAGGTAATTATAAAATATAAAAACGGTATATTTTTCGCGTTAATCCGACCAATAATTTATCAGAAAAATCAAAAACTAGATTTCGAGTAAAAGGGGACAGATAATCCTTGAAGTCACTTTCCTGGAATCCACAATTCTGCTATCAATTGCATAAAAAACATATCGTTAAAGGATAAACTGTAAAATCACCTTGTGTATTTATTGAATTGGTCAGGAATAAATTGCTATAATAAATGGGAGAGAAATGGCTAGCCTCTTATAAGTTAAATTTCAAACAGCAAATGTGAGATTGTTGGGAGTGATATCAGTGCGTACTTCGATAAGCATGAGTAATACTAGTGATAAGTACTATCGTAGATTTCGAAAATTCATCATTGATCCGTGCCCGCTCGTGAAATGTGAGATGAATAAGAATTAATTGCATGATTGTGTGAAGTTCAATTCAATCGTTTTTATTCCCTCAATTTTCTCAACACTCTGGTCCGGAAACGATAAAAAGGTTGACTTGTATTTTCGGTACACTCAAAAAGACGAAATGAGTTGAAGGGAGTGAAAAAACTCCGGCGGGAGAAGTGACGAACAAGAAGAGGAAGTCATTGGTCCTAGGAATGACAGATTTCAACGTGCTGTCTAAATATATACCTGGTTAACTATCTTTGTCGAAAGCATTGCCAAATCACAATTTTCCTCTCGTACTCGGCCAATGTCGAGGCTAATCACTCAAAATTCATTGATCATTTCTATTAATTAATTAATTAATCAAAGTAATTATTTTTATTTCAATTATAATACAATAAAAATTGTATTTCAATCCACTTTTTATTCTGAAAAAATATAAAAATATAAATATTAAAAAGAACTTTTGCATCGGTGATGACAATTTCATTGAAATCATCATCACCGAAAAAAATAAAGTTCGTGAATTCATTTTTTTCTTCACCATTCATTCATTCATTGCTTAATATGAATTATATTTAATTATAATTAATATAAATAATTAATATAATATATAATATATAATATAATTAATTTAATTATATTTAATTATAATTAATTAAATATGACTATTAAATCGAGTGTATTAATATTCTGATTTCAATTACCTCAGGTACACTTGAAGTGAATACAAAATGCAATAGATTCAGGTACATATCCTTATCCGGACTCACATCTTGAAAGTAGGTAAAGACAATAAAGCCTACTTTACTGCTGATAAGAGCCTGTAACGAATGCCTTATCACAGCCCGGAAACTCCTACATTCAAATCCCTACCTTTACTCTCTGTGTGCATACAAAACACTGTCTTAAATCAGAGAAACTCAGAAAATTCATGGAAAAAATGGCAGTAGTTCCTACAAGAATAATACTGACTTCAATATAAAAATAAAAATGTTCATGAAAACTCAAATTAAAACCATCTGCAAATAAATCGATATAAATTTCCAGCTTTTCCTCGATTTCCCGGGCTTTCCGAAATAGCCTGGAGTAGTAGATAATTTTTTATAAAAAATTCTATCATTTTTTTAATGTGAAAAAAATATTTGTTTATTCAAGGGTAGAATTTTTATTCTCCGTGGAGTGGTTCGAGTATTGTAGAGGTTTTGATCACCTCGTGGATGACCACATGGCAATTAATTATCAGGAGAATTATATGGTTTTACTTAATGAACCTCATCGCTGTGGAGTCAGAAGGGCGTAAGACTAATGTTCATGCAGGCTAGTGTATGTTTTACACGGAGAATTGTGCAAATGGCCGTGAATTGAGTTGAGTACGTTCAAAAAAGGTTTCTCTGTGGAGATTTATCATACTCCTACGTCATGGAGAGCGTTGTTAAATAATGAATTCAAACATGGTATGCATTCCAGTCCAACCTACTAATTTGTATTAATAAAAATCAGGTAGTAGGAGTAGTTGCGTTAACGAAAAACCCTCAGATGGATGGAGTTATACGAAAATTGAGGACGGCTTGATAATTTTTTTTATGGAACTTGTACATGTGCTTCCGTATGTCGACATGAACATGGATAAATGGTAAATGTACAGAGGTGAAAGTCAAATTTTACTACTCCCATCACGTGCATCATAAAACACGTGAGGATACATGTGTGATTAAAATACTGGGAGCATCTCTCAATTACGCATATTAATGGGTAACATGAGATGCTAGTGAGCTCAGGTTCCTATGCAAATCTCCGACATAAGAGCCATGGGCATAATCCCTGGGGTTCATTGGAGCAAAATAATATCAATTATTTTTTTTGCTATCTTAATTAGGAGTCAATTACCGAGGGATTGAGTGTTTTTAAGTATTTTTAAATCGTTCTCCAATTTTCAGGAGGCTGCTCCATCAGAAAAAATGGGAGAACAAATGGGTTAAATAATTATTTAATATCAAGTTCAAATATTGTAAATTTGTTTGTGTACATAATTCAATTTTTCATTCCCCAGGAAATAAAGAAAAATCTGGAATACCTTGTTCAGGTGTTCTATGCACGTTCCATAGACTGAAGGCTTCCAACTGCTTTAAGAACTATTTTTCGAATGTTTTTAATGCGTTGTTATGCAATACCGTAATTGTGTATACATAAGGAGGCACGAGGATGAAGCTATTTGCGGATAGCCGATATGACTAGCGTAATCGGACAAAAATCGACTACGAAACGAATAAAATTCTTCAATTATTGATATACACCGTTGGTGATGTGCGTTGATAAATCAGTGCGTTGAACGCACAAGTGATCCGTTTCAATTATTTTTCCAACGAAGACGAATGGTGAATATTCTTCACTTTCAGAACTATATCAACACAACAAGAATAGCTTGGCCCGTTTGTTAGAAGCCATGGAGTCCCTTAAGAGCGTACAAAAACGCCCACAATTGTCACGATTAAAATAATATCACTCATCATGTGGTTAGAAATTAACGTTAACCCACATTCCATGTGATTGATAATTATCCCAGAGTTGTCCAAGCATGATATATCGATAACGACAATATTTTCCGCCTCATGTTTGTTGATTGCACGTCAATTATTACCTCGTATTTTTTTCAGAAGGCGGTAAAGTTGAAAAGATGTCGACGATAGCCTCAAATTGTTATTCCGATGATATTTCGATAATGAACGTTTTCTCATCTGCGGTTTACCTTCGTCTGAGTATGACATCAGCATGAATTACCATACGATTATGGTAATACCATTTTGAATAATCGAATGGGTTGACATTCGAGGTTCAATCCCTCCGGGTGTTTATGTGGTACAACTATGATTATGAGGATCACCGAAAATTGCCCGAGGAGTCGATGAGTATTCGCCAGGTATTCGCGATACCGTAAGTTGAAAATGTTGGCTCACGCCACTATATAAACCAACAACATTGAGTTTACGTTACCTTATAGAGCTGTTCGAGTGGGACAGGTACAATCAGATGGGATGTGCATCGGAGGATCTCATGGGCATCATCGGAGAAACTCAACATCGGTGGAATTTTTCACAAGGTGTGCATCACTGATTTTTGTAACACAAGAGGTGAATTTTTGAATGTGGATTCTGTGAGATCCGGTACGCGACTCTTGAATGCTGGCATGTAGCTGTGCTGACAGCCCCTCTCTTGCTCCACCTCGCCTCCATCGAGGAGGCTGAGTCCCCACTACTTTACACTTTGGACCTTACCTCATCTTGTGTGTATGTAGATGCAGGAGTAAATCGTTGCTAAAATTTCGCAGGAAGAAACCGACCTGCTCATTTCTTTGAGTAGAACCGTCGGGGAAATTTCACCAGGGAGAGACTCCAGTCAGATCAACTCCATTGGTCACAATACAACGGATTTGTTTTATTGTTAATAATTTGCATTTTGTTTAAGGCTGGCCTCCACCTGGTCTGTCCAACAATTCAAATTGTTGATAGTTAAATGGAGATCTACATTTCTAGAACTTTTTCAGAATTTTTTTTTCGAATTCGAATTATTCAGAAGTTGCTTTCCTTTCGTTTCGCTTTTTTTTTTACTGGAAGAAGCATCTCGTTGGGTACAACTAAATCGGTCTATCTGTGCACCTGCACTGTCAGGTGATTCTAAAGTTTTTTTTAGGCCGGCACTCCTCGATTTCATGGACACAAACCCATAGAAGTTGGGAAGAAAGACAGATAAGATAGCAATGTCAATTTTATAGAATCCGATAATTCCATGGAGAGGAATATGGAAGTCCTTGAAATTTCAATTGAACTATTAATTTTAGTTCATTAGTCTTGAAAATATTTCGAGTGTAATTGCCGTAAAATTCGAAGTTCCCAGAAATTTTCTGATAAAATTACAAATATAATATAATATAATAATTCGCCGCTGAATTTTCTTCCACTAATTCATTTTATCAGAGTAATTACCGTGAAATTTGCAGGTTTCAGTAATTTTTTCGTGGGATTGTGTGGTCCAGAAGCTCGAGCTTTTCTCTGACACAGCGATAGGTCCATCAGGCGCCAGATGGTGATCCTCTTGGGTACAAAAATGGCAGATTCCCTGTTATATTTCTAGATCCACTTCCAGTACACGGTAATTGCATCTAGTGGTTCACTCGCCCTCTCAACAGAGCATTTACCCTGCAGAGCATATCATCCAGTGAGTCGGCAACTTTTAATAGGCAAGCTTATCCGTATAAGTCCTTGAGAAAGCATTAGGATGGGATTAGGCATGACAGAGGCGAGATTCACTCTGAATGATAATGAATGGGAGATATTTGTTGAAAGTATTATACCTCGAAATGTCTGTCATTAAAGAGTTGGAGCTGATTAGCCATGTATCTGTGCTCGTTTATACTCTCAATGATCAAACCGAAAGAAAGTATTTAGTTGTGGGTGAACCGGTTTCTCCAGCAGTTGAGGTATACTTCAATCTTTTTGTGCGCCATCCAGTTCTCTCGTTGTATTATTTAGGAGAAACCACATGACAGATCGCATGCACAAGAAAAACTATTCATTCTATTCGATTTTTCATTTATTTTTCTGCTGAATTTTCCGGTATATATAGATTAGGTAACGATCATTTCCACAATAATATACTGATACTGATCGATTTTGAGGTATTTCATATACAACACCGTAGATTTACATGGCTAGTTCACAGAATGGCGTATTCTCGAACAGTTATAAGATACGAGCCCATAATAACTTGATAGCGTGTGAAATTAATTATTACGCACATCTTAGGAGAGTAGAATTAAAAGAACAGGTTTAGAAACAATTAACCAGGTGTACAAAATAAATATAAAACGTTTATATATTTTTTTTAAATAAAAAAGGCCACAAGAAGTTCTAGAAAAATGTCAGCAATTTATACGATAAGAGAAATTTTGAGAAATATCTGAGAGTTTATAAAAAATTAATTAAATTGAAAATTTTCGAATAAATTCTGTAATCGTCGCATCTACGTTCTTCATCAGCGAAATTACAACAATAAAAATAATAAAAGTGCATGCCGATCGATTATATGAGAAGAATTTAAATTCAAAACACTGAATGAATACTATTACACTACAGATTTTTTTTTTTTACAATTTTACCCACAAGAAAACGAATTGAATCATTATAAAAATGACTTTAGAATCTCTCACACTCGTTTTCACCTGAGTTTATTTATTCATTTGTAATATTAATTGAACTAATGAAAAATAGTGGGGCTTCGTCGAACCCAAGAATTCAGGGCAAATGCACAATTTCCATTTTTCCCATTTGTTCCTTTTATTCACTTGATCGTTGTTTTTTTTTTTAATTCGCAGACTGAGAACAAAATGGCTCAAAGCATTTAAGTAAAGCTGCCCAACTGAGGCTCGTTGTTAATTCATATGGCAAGCATCGCTCTTATCGTTTTGCCACACGACATTTACTATTCAATTTCGAACTCTTCCCTGATTACCAATATAAATAAGGAAGCTCGCATCAATACGCAATAATTTGGCTACCTCCGAAGATTGAACAGAAATCAGGGATAAGCCATTTGTTTTGGAAAATCTCGAGTGTGTATATTCTCGAATCCATATCCACTGTACAATAATATTACTATATTACGCATTAAATATCACAATCCATGATAAAAGTCGTACCACAAACTTGCACACATACACATTATCGTTTATTCCTTTTTCGCATAATTTTTCTCTTGGAATACACTTAAAATAAATTCTTATCGAGGTATTTTAAACCCAAAGGTATCTTAAAAGTACTTTCAATCATTCATCTTCATAGAAAATCTTGCTTTCAATGTCAGAGCAAGACGATGCACGATGTATGAGCGTACGTATACAAATGTTACTACGATACACAAAACCTCGCACATGGAGCAGTCTTAAATTGTTTTTATCCAATTGAAATACATTTTGTAACAATGTAATATATCCACAGCTTTCTACTAAATAAAATGGTGTATTACACTGAGCGATAAAAAAAATTTCCAGGATCATTTATTCATTGGATTTTCATTCACTTTTTCCTCATTTAATTACAAAATCTCTTTTTCTTATTCTCCCGGTATTATTAATCTCTTTGTCACTTAATTCAAATAAATCACAAGCTTTTTCGAATGAGGGCGAATAATTAGCAGAATAATATGCTCGAAGTTAAAAAAATTATCGATTGCAAAGTTATTTTATCCTAGGAAGTAATTTTTTAGCTCAGTGATTACAGATCGTAACTGAACGGAAGCATTCAGAGTCATTTTTTAATACATCAGGCAAACAATATCTCACTTAGTTTTTCTGTTTATTTTGAGCACTCAATTGGATTAAGTTAACGATAGAATAAATGTATGATGAGAAATACATTATTCATCAATACTTTTTCTACGTGGATTCACGTGTGCTCTGGGTATCGAGGCCTTTATTAATGTATTTCATTGAGGGTAATGACTCTGGGTCTTGTAACGTCAGCCCTTTTAGGCCATTTTATGTTTTTGTGTTGTGATTCTCGGATTTAGTCACACACTTCAATGATACACTACTGTTAAATGCATGATTCGATAGCCAAATTATTAGACATAAATACAGGACGTCTGTGGGATTGTGACGCATATTTTCCACTACCCGTATCGATTCAATATGTCATTCTATCGGTGTGAGTGTCTGATTAGTTATTAATTATTTACAATTATAAATTATAAAAGTCGATCGTCATTCATGTGATATGAAGAAGCAAAGTATAAAAAACAGAAGAGATCATGAAAATAAAAAAATATAATCAACCCTTTGTTATGCATTCTCACTGGGAGATATTTCTAATGAATCGATGATGTATTTACAATTCAAAAAAATATAAATGAAATAAAAATATATACAAATTTAAAAAATGGAAAATCATGGGTCAATTGACGAGGATAGGGTTCTACCCCTATGTGTTTCAATCCAAAATCTATGATCAACGTGATCAATGTTATGACTATTCTATCATGTATTCTTACTTTTTCTTCACTTTGTGTCTAGTCGTTTTTCACCTATCCTATTATGAGTTATCAGGTCTCTTGGTATATCCAACAAGGACAACTTGAAGACATCAATGATTCAAATGTGTACAAAAAGTTGTTTTGGGAGAAAGAGAAATAAAGCCATTTTTCAGGACAAAGCGTATCAATGGAAAATTATTCACCGCATGATCAATTTTATACTCTTCGAGATCAGTGGAATAACTGACGAAAGTAAAAACGTTACCTATCGATCGACCTATCTCACACTGAGAAAAAAATTATTCCAGTATTATTGAAACGTAAAAAAATGTACGTTTGAAATTATCAAAATTAAAATATCTTGGACATAAAAAAAAATTAAATAGTTCCTCGTTTTGTTCAGTGTAGCAGAAACATTACTTAAAATTAAAAATTTAATCAAGATGAAATTCGAAATAATCCTTGTCTTCAAGGTATTTTTTTCTCAGTGTAACGATCTATCGGTGTTTAAGAAAATGTTTCAAAACGAAAGTATTCAAAATTTCTGTCATAAACTCTCCTTTAGTCGAAAATAAAAACATGAGTGTTGGAACTCGCTTCGAAAATTGTGGGATACTTTCGTGCCATTAGAACATATCGAACCAAAAATAATAAAAATCCTACTTGTCAGATTTAAACTTACAATTTACACCCCCCACTCGACGGGCCCTGGACTCGACACTCAAGCAATTGTCTTAGTAATAAAGAAGGCATGCGATTATCATGAGCAGCAACACCACGGAGTCCTCAGCCCGGAGTGGGTGGGATCTTATGTCAGTGAATATTAAAGTTATACTGTTTACGAGTTGATGTGATACGCAGCCAGCGGCTGACAGCCAATGGCTCTGGGTGACAATTAGACCAAGCAATGTCACTGAAATGAGGATAACGGGGTGAAGTAGTTTCCACTTGAATAGCAGACGAGTAATTATCAGATTGAAAATCTTGTTTGCTCTTTCTTGAAGTACGTCCAGCCACTGGACTGGAGGTGCCCGTGTGATTATTGAATCTCTTTCCATTGGCCAATTGTTGTTTAGGATGATCCATATGATCCTCAAATACAAGACTAGGCATAGAAGCCTGACCCTGATAATTCCTGGACATCGGTGAGTGCATTAAACTGCTTGGCCTCGGAATTTGCATGATGATTTGTGATTTCGTATCTTTGAACATTGCCATTGGTGAGTACAGCGTCATACTCTCGGTATTAACATCCGACAGAGTTTCGCCCTCGAGAACAGTATTGGGCAATTGGGCATTCGGCGGTGGCAGTGGTGTTTGAATAGCTGGAAGTGAGGACGAGGTATTGACAGGAATCAGTGTGGCAACTGGTGATGCATCATTGCTCGTTCCTATTGGAGACAGCGAGGGTAAAACAATCGAGATCGGAGCCATCGAACCTGCAGATAATGAGGCTTTCGCTGCTGCTGCCGCTGCTGCAGTCGATTCCAGTCTCATCTCCTCTTTCACAAAATCCTCTTCCAGTTTTGTCTAAAAATAAAGAAAAAAAACGAAGGATTTCGTATCCATGAGATTAGTAGATTCTGGTGGATGACTGTTGGCTTAAGTATCATATGTTGTCGGGCCGTAAAGTATGACCCAAAAAGGAACCATGCCTTACAGGTTTAGTGGAGCCATGCGGGGCCAGACACCGATAAAGCAAATCAACAGCCTGTAATGATAAAAAACAAAAACAAGTATCAACCGACACCCGGCCATAAAATCATTATTATTTGTTTTTTTTTATCATTCGCATGTCTTTCCTATAGCATTTTTCCTTTATTCTTTGAGGGCACTCCAAATGGCTCCATCGACTCTTCAGGAGCCTGATTTCCCTTCATTAATTTTCACACGTTTCGAATTCATTCGATAACAACAAGAAAAATTTCCCTCAATGAATTTCCAAGAACTGCATTATCGAGTACTACTGTATGGAAAAAAATAAAATATAAATATAAATCATAAACTCGAACGGAAAATTTTCTTGCTGGTCCATAGTCTCCGTATTATCAGTATTTTGTTTTTATTGTATTTCCACGAGTATTTTTCCTTCATTCGCATTTGGCACTTCCGATGGTTGACTTGTTGAGCATGATTTCCATTTCCCTACTCGCATTATTTCCCGTCATTCAAAATTCACGAATAATCGAAACTCCTACCGTAAAATTTCTCACCAGAGATTTTTCCGTGTGTGGGGGGCGATATTATTTTTTCTGTGCTCTCTCGCGCTTTTTATATAAGTGTAAAAAAAAAACGAAGTACAAACGAGTATAAATAGAAAAGATAAATTCCCCAAGTGATCAGTAGTCTTCGTACCTTCGGCAGTGGATAAGTATCCGGCAGAGATAGTACAGGTGGTGAACCAGGAGCATCATTATCATTAGCAATTGTCAAATTGGTATTCAATAGAGCTGATGCTGTGGAGAGGGTAACAGTTCCAGTGACGGTGATCTTGGAGGTCCTGTTTGGAAGATCCTTGGACGCCCTGTGCTCAGCGAGAAGTTTGTCGAAACTTTTGCTCCGACCGGCGACAGTTCGTCGTAACGAGACGGTGTGTGCTTTGCAGGTGAGTGACCTAGTGCAGGGCTTGCCAGTCTCTTCGTTCCAGACTCCACAATGTCGATCTGGATCGTACTCCCGGTCCTTGAGGAGTCCTCGATCAGCCTTGAGTCTTTTTCTTTTCGCTCCATTATTACTCGTTGTGTTACTGGCACTGCTGTTGTTCCCTGGACTCTTGACTGGACTCGATGGCACAGGAGTCGAGGCACTAGCAGTCATCCCAGATGAAATATTTGATCCTACAAGACTGCAAGAGCCATCGAGTGGTGATGTCGGCAGTAAGGCTTGCTCGGCATTTCTCTTCACTGACGTGTGATTGATTTTCGAACTGTTACTAGCTGTTGTTGCACTCGTGCCGCTGGCACCGTTGCCGCTGTTATTGCTTGCAGATGAGCTCTGAGATGGCTGAGGTTTCTTCGTTAATTTCGATATTTTGCAGTAGGGAGTTTTCACGGTTGTCTTTGATGCTGGCGTTGAAGGCGGTGGCAAATTCACTGTATCCGAAGAATGTCTACTCTCTGTTGGATTACATTATTTTTAAGAAAATAAATCCCTTGATTTACTTGTAATTATTTTAACGACCAAAGTGGAATATTACCCATGTGCTGTATAAGTGCTTGAGGCTTGACAATGGCATTGCACAGCTCACATACCACACCGTAAAATGTATCCCTCTCTGGACAGAAGCCGTACAAATCAATGTCTGAAAATGCCAAATAATTAATTTTTAGTCTTCTGAACTCATTCGCAGGATTTTTTTTTGACAGTGATTTTTTTTCTTACCATCTGCCGACAGCCGTGTAACGCAGCTAGATGGTTCAACCTCTGGCTCTTCATCGCCTGTAATACAATTTTTATATTATTCTCCTGATTGTGTTTTTAAAAAAATATCGAATGTTTAAGTATATATTTGTTCAATGGTATTCATTTTGATGAATTGAAAAAAAATTGAAAAAAAATGTGGTGGAGCGTTCTAGCCACGTGAGAAAAGAAAGTCAATACTCCTCGAATTCTCGATGAAATTAGACTGCCATCGCATTAAGAAGGGTGAATTTCTCCCCCTGTATTGACTTCCAAATGTGTTCTATCAATTTATTCATCCAGTTATGAATATTTTCTTCACACATAAATGTTCCATTATACCTCACCTCGGGTTGTATTTTTTTATTCATAAAATAATAAGCTATTATTTAAAAAATGGAACATCTCCTTGGAGATTGTAATCGAGAGTATGCCTGACACTGTCATTATTTCAAGACATACACAAGATCATTGAATATGAAAATAAACAAAAATAATTCTCTCCTTGAATCTCAAAGCAACAGACTCTCTATATTTGTCAACGAATACGAATAAACTAATGAAAAAAATGAACAAATAATTATGTAATAAGCTGAAAAAAATAATAGAGTTTTTTTTCAATCAGCAGAATGAAATGTGAAAATATTTTTGATGGAGGAATTTTGGTTGGGACTGCGGAATACGGGCATAAATATTGTATCACATAAATGTGAAACAAAGAGACAAGAGCCCGGTGGTTGTAGGTTATGTTGGTTTGACGCCTGCTCCAAAATAGCCAAGTGTCATGAAATAATTTAATGAAACTCTTGAAAATTTTTGTGAGGGAGTATAGAAATGTGGACTTACTGAGTGGTTTGTCACGTCCAATTCTTTCAATCCAACTGGACCAGGGTTGGCCGTGAAAAAACGTTGGGCTGTCACTCCCCGACATTGTCACGGCGCGGTTGTAGAGCGAATGAATGAAAGTACTATTTCTCACCCTATCCTGATGCTCTACCTTTAAATGCCGGCGTACCTATTGAAAATTCCCCTTCATTACCCTATTTTTGTACGAAATCACGCTTCATCCCCATCAAATCATAAAATTTTGTATCGAGGGTGTAAAAAATTGACGAATGTACGACAAAATGGGCAGTCAAAAATTAAACAAAACTCGATGCCCCCAGGTACTCGTAATCCATGTACTTCCGAGTCGAGATAATTTCTCGTCCTCAGTAATTTAAAGGGTCTAATAATTTTTCATGCGTATTTAATTACCTGGGGAAATGGAGCTGAAAGCAAAATTTTGTATCCTCGGCTCGAAATTCCATTTCACTCTTACCCCATGTTTTTTTTATTTTTCGTGTAATTGCGCTTATTGAATATCTCTTGAAGAATTTTCAATGTCTGGTAATATTATGGCTCCAATATTCTTATATATTCTCATATTCTTATATTCTTTCTGTTCAACATTATCCCCGAGAAGTGCGAACTGGAAACTTTTTTTGGCTTGTCAGGATTTTGCGTAATTACCTTTACATTTTCAGATCAAATATTGTAATTAAATTTTTTGAGCGGCAGGATTTTATTGTCATGCAATTTTTTGAATGAACAAGGTCTTTTGTAATACCAAAATAAAAACTCTATGAATTATACAATACTTATCTTTATTAATACTCTGCACACGATTTTCATACATAAAAAGGGGCTTTTGTGTAAAACAGATGTAGTCGTTGGTATAAACAAATTAACTTGTGGAGGTGAATTTTTTAGGGATACCCGGTAACTCAGAGGGCGGGGCACCGATGTGTTCCTGAATTTGTTGCCAATTTTTTAACCAGAAAGGTTGTCTGTCCTCGTCCCACGATTTTATCTGGTCAATGTCAATCCATTGTCCATTACCCTGTCGAGACGTGCTCTCCAGTACTGGAACAGCAGCAGAAGAACCGAGTCGATTATCCACTGGCTCCTCAGTCATTTGTTGACCCTGCAGATATTGTGGAAGGACAACTGGCAAACCATTGCCCGAGCCTGCATATGTGGGTCGTCGTTGTGCATGTGCAACAGCAATGAACATAAAAAAAAATATCACGTACTTCACCTGTGAAATAAAAACCAAGACATTAACATAAATTTTACAAAATAATAATTATTCCTTACTATAATAATCACTAGAGATAATTCAAAGAGGTAAACCCGTTCAATTAATTTCTAACACAAGAATTGTTAATTAATAATCAATATATTCGTTACTCAGTAATTTGTTGGAGATTAATTAAATTGATAAATAAAATATATAAACTTTTTTGTTGCAGCGGACTTTAAGGGAAATATTGAATTGCATACCATGATGGTGCCTTTTAGTATTCTATTCGTCGAGATTTCACTGCCGATGATTTTCCTCAAGTTGATGGAACGACGTTCGACTCAAATGTGTGCCATTCGGATATCGGTTTGTTATTTTATAACCGAGAAAGTGATGCTCATTCCTCCCACTCGTTTCCATTGCACTCATCCACTTGCGCGCTTGGAAATTCTGCGGACATAACACACCTCGAATGATATATAACTATAAGATTGACACAGTGATAACACCGGGACGATCATCGGAAATCCAACTATCTTATGAAATTGTCGGGGGTATTTATTTCATTTCGGAGTACTGGGGTCTGACAATGATATTTCGGAAAAACCCATGATAAAGAGGCTGATGCCATGAACCTAGAGGATGTAAAAATGCAATTCACGGAACGAAGAAGTATTGAGTATTGTGTCATTACCAATAGTGCTTTTCAATTGTTCTGTCAATCGTGAAGCGGAGATGAGTCAGGATAATTATCTTTACTAAAATATCTTCAAGTGTCGGGGAACAATCGTGTCCGTATTGATGTTGATTTATCACGTGTTGAAGATTTAGAATTCCTTCAGAAATTAGTTTTTCCTAGGATCATTCATTTACTCATCCTCATCTTTAGCTTCCCTGAAAAAAAAATCTCTTATCAATTATATCTAGTTTATTTATCAACCAAGAGAGTATATTTGGCAGGTGAATTTTTTTTTCTCGAGGGGTGAGATATGCAGACATTTTTCTAAAGTATTTATGTGAGTGAGAATGATATTCAGGAATTGGCAGAATTTTTATTTATCTTTTCGAAACTGCAGAATTCCCCCGGGGATACCGTTATAATGTTACATAATTGAAATACTGGGATAGAATATTTATCTATTCAAAAACAACTTCGTAGTATACCGTTTACACTGAGAAAAAATTATTCTCGCCAACTATTCGATTTATAAATTCATGGGAGAAGTTTTGGAGTTTCCAGAATTCAACATTTTTTTTTTTCAATTATTCAAGAAGTTTATAACTATAATTTCATGATCTTTGGGGCAAACAAATACGAAATTACAATACACATACGAACCATCAATCAACAAAAAAAAAAAAAATAAATGAGAATTCAACGCGAAAAATTTTCTCAAATAATGAGTGATGATACTATATACGTAACTTGAGGTCGAATTGGATTGGATGAGATTAATTCTCGGCAATTCGAGTATCTCAATGGAGACTATATAAAGCACTAGCGCAGAGTGTCCGCGGTCGGCTTGATCATAATTTTCCATCAGCATCATGATGCAGTTCCAATTGATACCATTTGTCTTAGGTCGGTAGTCATCCAAACCGTGAATGATATCAATTGTATTCCACAAGTGTCTAAATAAATGACTGACCATTGTTTTTTTCTAAAAAGCTGCACTTCTGAACAGAACGGAGAACAATGGATGGGAGCACGGGCCGGAGTACGAATTTTCTGGTTTCTTGAAGATGATAACTTCCCTGGAGAAGGATATGGGTACAGCACTAGGTACGGGAGTGTATTTCAACCTGACGTGTCGTCCACGAGAGCCAGATGTTCTGAGATGTCAACTGTCGAACACCACAATCACTCGTCTCAGGGTCCAGGCCTTCAGCATTGATCCTGCGGAAACCGATCCCAACGATACGCCCAGAGTTTTTAGCATCACAAAATCTCCGTTTGAGATAAAATTCAATGAACGAGGAATTGAGAGCTTCATCACTGAGCGCAAGGATGCACCAATTCCTTGGAGTATCAACGAGATTGGGTTGATCGCTAGTCAACTCAGTGTTGGCATTGACAGCTCTGACGAGTTGGGATCATCTTACAAATCAGTGGAAAACTTCACAATGGGAGAATGCGATTTTAATTACACGATTACCCGACAGACAATTGATGAAGATAGTAGAGGTACACGTGACTTCAGCTTGTCTCCCCTGGGAAAACTCGAGAAATTCAGTGGTGAATCGATTATCGTGACCAAAGAGAGAGATTTCGACGGATGCTCCAGGTGCTTCGAACCATTCTTCGGATCTCGATATACTTTGGGACTCCTATTGAGGGATGTCATCACAAAATTGGTAAATATAGAATTTTTAGAGTAAACATTTTAATTTAGGATGACTCTCTGCTTTCAGAAAACATCGACCAGTAGAATTTTCATATCTAAACAGCATTTTACATCGGAGACTGTCAACGAAAGTGAAGTGTTTGATACAAATCGAAAGATGTTGGGAAAAATATTGGACCACATGAAATTGACTTTGAAATCTATTTCTCCCGCTGAAGAGAAACTTTCTCCATTCTCGGAGCCATTCGTCTTCGGTGGACTGGTGGACATTGCTAGAATGGCCAAACCCTGATTTATAATATTTGATTTCTTATAAACATGTTGTAGTTCAGGATTCAATAAAAATCACATTATTTTATCTATAAACCAAAAATTATTGATCCTTTTAAGAGGTAAATCGTATGAATTCGAATTCTGTAATTATCATTCTGCCCTACAAAAATCAGTCCCGTGTAATTCGCTACCTTTTTTAAATTCTGAGATACTAATCAAAGACAGACATCCAGATGAAATTTCTTTGAACTAATTTACCTCTGCGCTGCATCTATCAAATTGACGATGCGTTGAGTCATCCATCAGAAGAAACTACGAGACGATTCGGTTAACGTTATGGGATAATTGAGCATTTTATCAAATGATAAATGCGAATATCACTAACTTTGAGGAAAGGGCAACTGCAGTGAAGGTCAGTCAGTGGATTGCCTAGGATAAAGTCAAAATGTATGAAATAAGAACAGTCATGTCACGGTGTAAACGTTTTGCAGAATTGTACAAAATTGTCTAAATAACTAGTCTGAAGTGCAGTTCATGAGACTAGCATTATTGTCATGATCGTCATGATCGTCATCATCGTCATCATCCTCATCGCCGTTTTGTATAAAAAGGGAACAACTCTGGGAGGAGTATCTTCACAGCAGTGAGGATTTTGCTGTGGCAACATGAATATCATCATCTTGCCTCTGCTAATCGGTAAGTCGTCATATTCAATTTGCAGCACTTGATCTAATCCCCAATATTGCACAGCTAATCAATTAAATTTGAACAATGAAACTTGGCGACATGGGCCAGAGATACGTTACAATGTAACGTACAATGCGACCACAAAACAATTATCTGATGTTACAAATGGAAAAGATCGAATGGGTCTCTACAATTTGGAAACTCAACTCAAATGTTGGCCTCGTGGATCGAAAATTTTCAACTGTCGATTGGACAAACCGATGAGTTTTGTCAGCTTCTTCAACTCATCAACGGAAAAGCCACTGGTGTCGCCTTCTGATGATGGAGAAGAACAGCTGGCGAAGTACAACTTTGAAATGAAATTCAATCGATTCGGGATAAAACAATTGTTTGTTCCTTCGTCCATCTCGCCGATGGTCCTGGATATGATCCGAGCTATTGCAAATCAATTTCACACAGGAATAGATCTCACTGATAAATCAGAGGGCACATACAGGGCTTGGGAAAATTTCACCACAGGTGATTGTTTCACTTCTTACACAGTAAAGCTGTCTGACGTAAATGAAAAATCAAAACTCGATAGTCAATCGAATAAATGGCAGCCTCAATTCACCACTAATGTAAGGAAAATACGGAATCTGGAGAAGTGCAGGATGACGGCACCTTATTTCTTCGGCAGTCGAGAAAGCTGGCGGGATAATCAGAGACTTATCATCAAACTTGTAAGTATCAGGATATTGATAAATTATTTAAAAATATTGGTGATTTCTATTTGTCGTGACGAAACGAATTTTTATATTTTATATTTCTTAATAAAATTTCATGCTCGGGTTCTATTTAATTGAAAACAATTGATCAATTTATCATTTCTAGAAATCATCAGAGAGTTCAATAATTGCTAACGAAACGTACTTCAGTTCCGCCACTGAAACACTCCTAGAGCTTGACAATACGAAATCTTTACCCTCTGGAACAACAATAATGAGTGAAAACATGTCTGTCACATTGGATTCAGTAGTTCCAGCGGAGGAGGAAGTGAAAAAAATAAATGATCCAGCATCCGCTGGAATAGTCACTGGAAAATGGATCCACGATGACTTCTCCAAAGAGAGCATGAGTGAGGAATGATAATTCAGTGTAACTGAAAATATAGTATGCATATGGCTGTATCAAAAAAAAAACTAAAGATAAAACTGAAAACAAAAATGTAGCCATTGTATATGGAATAAAGGGAACACGACGTGTGCGTCGTGCAATCAATTTTGCTTGTACAAATAAATTGAATAATGCCCCCACTTGGATATGGCCAATTGTGCGATATATAAAAGGGCTTTTGAGTTATGCAGAGCCTCAGATGAGGGATTACCAGTGGTACCAGTATGATCGAAACTTTGATACCATTTATTTTGGGTGAGTTTTTAATGACTGCATCGCCAGCCCTATCCTATTCAACATCATTCAACATCATTCACCATTATTCAACATCATTCAACATCATTCAATAATTATTCTTTAATTTCAGTTGCACAAGTACCCATCGACACCTACGATGTTTACTACGGATTGCAATACACTTTCAACGTGTCCAATACCCTGGAGTACGACATTGAAGGTGTCACTCAACATTGTAACATTGTGGGGAAATTAAAGTGCAGAAATTCGGGAGCTTACAGTTTAATTTGCACCCTGACTGATGCATCTAGACAATGGTATCAAGAAAAAGGGAGCAACATCACCTACCCAGATAATCCCAAATACATCACATTCCCAATTTTCAATGCAGGCCCGTTCGAAATTCTATTCAAAGATGGAATGATTCATAGTATTTTTGTGGATGCAGATCAATCGATTACCGCACAGCAGATCTTTATAATGGAAATTTCAGAATTGTTGAATGTTTGGTGGATGAATTTGAAGGAATCACCGAAGGGCTTGCGACCGGTGATGGATTACAATTTTCCCAAGGCTTCCATTCCCGATTGCCAATCCATTATCAAAGTCACCACGCTAAAAAGAATTAATCGGAAGACAGATTTTGGAATTAAAAGCATAGGGAGAAGATTGAACATCAGTTCGGGAGTTACCTATCATTTTCGAAAAACTCAAAATGCACATCTTCCATGCTTTAAGAGTCTCTATTTATGGTATGAACCCGATGCTAATCTACTGCCAAAAATAATCAATCCAACTCGTATCAATGCCACGTCGTCGATCAGTCGTGTCGTTGTATCCGAGAATGAATTCGTTTCTTTCAGCGAGAATTTTGCATATTACTGTTGTCATTACAATATTCATCAGAGAACCAGCGTGACTCTAGATTCAATTGATAAAGCTACCAGCGATCTCCCCATCATCAAAAATCCTATCGAAGTGTTCAAGACTGTTGAGTCAAGTTTAGTTTCCCTCAATCTGTAACTAGATAATTAAATTCTATGTATTACATATCAATTCAATTAAGTAATTACGGGCAATTTTTTTTAACAGTTAAGATTCTTTTAATATTTAGATTTTATATGTTAAATGATGACAAATACGCTAGTATAACAAAAAATTCAATGGAATGGTAAATATTGAGGTAAAATAAATTCAAGTAAGTAATGAAAATAAATATAAAAATATTCTTATCATTGATATTACTCGGTTGAAATCCGTGTGAAATATGAGCTTTGACCGATGATTCTCTTCTTTTTCCTTGATTGCTTCAGTGACTGATAAATGCATCTTCGACAATCTCCAATGGCGTGGCTGCTATACCCACCAATGTTAATCTATATCCGATTCCATCGGTGTGCGTGAATACTTGATATGCTGAGAAAGCAGATATACGATGAGGAGAGGGTAACAGCACAACCAGGCGAGCATGCCAGTTTGTCGCAGTAGCATCACAACTATGGAACGATGGATAGGAAAAATCGCTGTTGTCACTGGTGCGAGCTCTGGAATCGGTGAAGCCATTGCCAAAGTCCTGGTGAGAACTGGAGTCAATGTTGTGGGTTTTGCACGACGTGAAGAGCGGCTGCAAGTCATCTCCAAAGAGCTTGATGGGTCCAAAGGTTCGCTTCATCCGGTTCGAGGGGATGTGCGGAATGAGGCGGATATCTTGAGGGCCTTTCAATATGCCAAGGATAAATTTGGTGGAGTTGATATCCTGGTGAACAACGCAGGCATTTGCCAACACCAAGCTATTACGGGTAATCTCTTGTTTATTTATTTTTTAAAAGCTTTTGAGAATTTTAAGAATGTTGCCTTTTAGCCGAAATGATCGATTTTCCAACATTTTTGCTTTTTCTGATAAATTATTTTGTTATTTATTTATTTTTTATTTGTTTTATTTCATTTTTTTATTTTTATTCATTTATTAATTTTCTTGCTTTCTCATAAATGTTTCGAAAATTAATAAAAATGTGGAAAAAACTCGGGATTATAATTTCTCTTTATACTTGAACACTGATGACCCACTTTAATCTCCTAAAATAAATAATTGTAAACCGTTTTATAGTCCTGGGTTAAATCACGCAGAAATTCCGGTTCTAAAAGTTTCGAAAATTAATAAAACTGTATAAAAATCTCGGGATTATAATTTCTCTTTATATTTGAAGACTGATGACGCACTTTATCCTCCTAAAATAAGCGATCGTAAACCGTTTTATGGGCCTGGGTTAAATCGCGCAGAAATTCAGGTTCCAATGTTTAACAGCAAACATTGAAGAGAATTCCAAATGTAACGAGATAAGTGGCCAAAAGACATGTCTGTACCGGTAATTGCCGATTCGGTTACTGAGTGATGTCTGGTATTTTTGCAGAGGCATCGACCGAGAGCTTACGAGCTCTTCTGGAAGTAAATGTTCTTGGTGCAGCTGTATGTGCAAGGGAAGCCGTGAAATCCATACGTCAACGAGGAACAGAAGGTCATATTATCAATATCAACAGGTACATGACGATCGTATATCATTATGAATTGAATTAGCAAACTAATATGTAATAGAAGATCGTCTAAAAGGTGAACGATTAACCGCAATATTCCTGAATTTCGAAAAGGGAAATCGTAACTTTAATAATTCTCCCTAGAAAATCATTATTTAATTATCAAAATAATTAAATACTATATTATATTATTATAGTTTTATAAAAATATTTCCACGCAGAGAAAAAATTTCTTAACGAATCATTTAATCAAGGGGGAGAGTAATTCGAGACGGGAAGTAAAAATGTAATTATTTTATTTGATTCCTTCTTATTCTAGTATACTAGGTCTGGATGCAACGATTGCCACGGTTCCAGTCAGCCTATACCCAGCGAGCAAATTCGCTTTGCATGCAATGACAATTAATTTGCGGGAAGAAATTCGCCAAAACAGAGATAATATAAGAATGACTGTGAGTGATCATGGATTTTTTATTTCATGTGATTTAACTTGACATTGAGTTATCGGTTTTTTTACAGGGCATTTATCCGGGCCTCGTGAAAACCGAAATCCTGGAAATGTCTGGAGCGGATCCTAGAGTGTATAATAAATTACCGTACGTTGAAAGTGAAGATATCGCTGATGCAGTTATTTACGCTCTTTCAGCGCCGTGTAATGTGCAAGTGAGTCGTCTGATTCATTCGTTTTTTTTTTGAATTTATATGGAAAAGATTAAACGATAACTTCGATATTATTTAAATATGTTTCAGGTGGAAGAAATTAAAATTACTCCATTACACGACAAATACTAAATTGTATTACTCTATAGTAAAGTCATGTAAATGGATAATATCCATTCATCGAGAATATTCTGCATATTTTGAAAAAAAAAATTAATAAGGATTAAACTGAAAATTACGCAACCACGGTATTTTACTATTTTTTATAATCAATTAATTTTATCTCGTGCACTCCAAAGATCTGGACTGAAAAAAAATTGGTGAATAATTTCTTGAAATTAAATTGCTTTAAACTCATTGTAAATTACTGCATTAAAACCAGGGAATATCAATGATCATTTCGCAATTCCTCAAATTTTTCTGTGTAGAATATTTTCTAACAAATCTAATGGCATGATGATTTATTATAATTGTTAATTTTCTAAAGCTGAATTTTTCCCGAAGAGGATTTCCTTTCTACAGTGGGCGATGGACGAGCCAATGGTGCAGATCAGAGATGAAATTCGGAAGACAAAAACAAAAAAACACACCAAATAAACACTGTACTTATAATATGTCTGAAGGTTATTTTAAAAACACAATTATTCAATTGCAAGATCATTGCGTCAGTCAATCCGTTGAATTTCGCGAGTGCAATTGAGTAATTTATAAGGTACGCCCACCATTTATTCGAGTATATAAAAGCTGTTGCCCGGATATGAACCAGTTATTGTCATTGTGAGAACCATAGCAACATGAAGAGCTTAAGCGTGATACCTTTCATTAGTAAGTAGGATTTCCCATCCCATTAATAATAATCGCTAATTAATTCTGGTGAAATTCCAGTTGGCCTGATTGGATACGACAAGTGCGTCCAAGATTCACCAGACCTATGGAAATACGGAGCCGAATATACATATCGGATGAAAGTCAACAGTTCATTGACCTACGCACCTACAAAAAAAAAATCGTGTTCAAATAATACAATAATTTTCAAGTGCAGATCATTTTCGGCAGCCTCTGAGGATCAAGCGGATGCCCTCCAATGTCGAGTACAGAGTGGAAAAAGTTATCAGTACAACATCAATAATTCCCTGCAACCACCGAAATTCGATTCCGAGGAAGTGCAATTCAATGTTCAAATAAAGGATAAAATATTCGAAATGCTTTACAATAAAAATGGTATTCACGAATTGAGAACAGATCCGTCCACCACTGGAGCTGAAACCGTGATATTTAAAACTCTAGCCCATCATCTCAATCTTGAAGCGAGTGATTTCGACCAGACCGAGGACAGCTTCACCATCTACAAGCGAGAACACTCAATGATCGGTCTCTGCAAAAGTCAAATTGACATATCAACGAAAATAAAATTCAAGAGCGAGCAGTGGACCAGTAGATGCAGTGATAAAATTCATTTGGAGACATTTACTTATGGAGACAAACACCCGCTAATTGTAATCAATAAAACCAGAGATACAACGCAATGTACCTTCGGTATACCCCATTTGTTTGGCGATAATCAGCCGAATGCTAGTTATAACATTTCAAAATCATCATCTTTCACGGAATTCGTTGTAGCTCCCCAGAGTTTTGGGAGTCTCACCGTGAGCGAAGGCACGTTATCAGTTTCACATTTACCACAGAAAATAATCACCACCGAGTTCATAGACGTCCGTTTAATAAGCATAGACCCTGCCACCGAGCCCCTCAAACGCATCACAGAAATCCACAGCAGTACCGCAAAAATCGTTGAACTATAATTAAACTCTAAAATAAATAACAAAACATGTAATTCAAGTGGTTGAATAAAAACGGTTTGATTCCGGCTTTTTTTTATTTAAATATGTCAGCAACAAAATCATAACTTCAGTTACACATCGTGATAGCTCCATAAAATATTCAATAACTTGAAAAATAAAAAATCGTTGAATATCTCGCATACTTATGCATGTGCATGCGTGCTTATTAATTTTCCATTGTTTTTCATTTAAATAAATTCATTACAAGTACCCCTTCAATTATACACTAATTATCGTCTTTCTATTTAATCCAGACGTGTATCAAAAGATCGGTATAAATTCATTTATAAATTGTCCAAATTTCGTGGACGTCAACCGACGAAGAAATGTATTATGCCCTAAAATTATATCATCTATGATTTTACGCTGTACTAATTTACCAAAATTTCTAGTTTTTTTTTCATTTCGAGGCAGTCTCTTGTTCCTGACTCATTTATTTTTACGTTTACATACTAATACCCTATTTTTTCTCTTTTCCATTACCACCCAAGAATGATTGAAGACTGGTGCAACTCCATCATTACCAATTCGACAAGTATAATTAATAAGTACTGAAAATTTATCGTATATTGCGAAACGAAAAGCAATTCACAATGCTTCGATCATTGAATTTTAATTATTGAAAAGTTCATTTATTCTCAATGGCACTTGACATGATTAGTGTGCGTCTTGACTGAATTCTATTTATATATAAGTATATTGCAATTTCAATGTTAAAGAAAAAAATACATTATTTATAATCATCATCTGAAGTAAAAATGTATTTGCTACTTCGTTTAGGCTCTTGTGTATAAAGTCTTATTATTAGAAAATCCAATGCTTCGATTTTCGTGTATCTCAACAGATACAATAATCCAAATTGATTGCAATATGTTACCTAAAGTAGAAAAAAAAATATATATATATTTGATACATAGATACGGTTAGCTGGAAGCAGGTTTGTAAATCATAAATTCGCATGGATCTGTGGACAAATTCCTATAGGAAAGTAGAAGTTCATTTTTAAATACTTCTTTCCATTGACACATTCTTCCGGCCTTTATAACTTGATTCGTGTATATATACATTATTCTAGTGTCGTTGGAAAAAGGACGCATAGGTACGAAATTATCGAACTTTTAATATTGCTAGTTGGAATTATTGGTTTCGTTATTAAGACTATTGATGCTGTTTTGCTTGGAATCCATGTTGGGTACATAATCCTTCGCCATCAGACAAGCAAATACTGTCATTACCATCTTGGGTTTCACTTCAGCGATGTCTTCTGGAAGTGCGTAGACACGTGCACCACATTTTCTTGCCAGAGATATAGCGTATTTAGCGTTATCTAGGTTGTCCTGGAATGGAGATAAGATAAGTAAGTAAATATGGTAAAATTAAGAATTTTTTGAAGGGCGATACGAAAATTAACTGAAAAATCAAAAGAGAATATGGCATTGCTAGTATTTTTAATATTTAATAGTAGTAATGTTGTCATTTTAATTGACAGGCAATTTCGGCCTCACACAGGAAAGCTTTTATCTGAAATCTACAACACATATAAATCCATTTTAGCATATACACAAAAAATAATTTACCTCTTCAGTTCCAGTCGACTTGACGAGATCATAGTTAACACTCCCCGGTTTTATAGCGTCAATAAGATCGATGAGTGGTCTCCCATCAGCGATGGCGTAATCCTGGAAACCCTTGATGCTGCTCGGTTTGCCAGCAGCTTGGAGCTTCGAATTGACCCACTGAACGATTTCTTTCTCGACGATGGCACTGCCAGGTGTACCAGCAAGGCTGGATAGCAATGACAAGGTGTAGGATCTCATCAACTGCCAAATAAGAGCAAGCGTGAGGGTTGCATTTCCATCATTGATATCCTGTCCTGCAATTCCAACGAGGGAAAAGTTCATTTGCTTTCCCAACTCCACAGCATAATTGCAGTTTTCCAATTTCTCCATGAACTTTCGAAGTTTGGTAAATTTTTTATGAACCTTCGGCCACTTGACTGTTCCAGGCTTGATGATATCGTACAGCTGGAAGATAACCAGACCATCAGCAAGATCTGAATACAACCAGTTGACGTGGGGCGACACTCCCATCGAGTTCATCCAATTCCTGTACGTTTTCTCCTCTCGTGTCTCCTCCAGAGACCCCAAACCCTCAATATTCGTCTCCGGCTTGTCCAGACCAGGATAATTATTAAACAAATTAGCAACAAAGGCAAGATTGAGTTTGTAAATTCCATTGACGACATCACTGGGCGTCACAAAACTCCTGCAGCCAATTTTTCCAGCCTGCTGTAGCATTATCTCAGCCCTAGTCATGTGATTAGGCTCCATCAGAGGCTCTAGTGTAACATTAGAACTGTTGGGGGCTATTTGTTTGATTAAGTGAGAATAAACCACAGAGTCTGTGATGTCTGATTGAAAATTGTAGCACCTTCTGCCGATATTAGCATTATCCAGATGATGATTCACCCAACGAAGCAAAATAGCCTCTGGTGAGAGTTTGAGAAGATCCTCGATCCTCTCACCATGCAGAAGAAGTGTAGCCAAGCCGGGACAATTTTCAAGTGTTATTTGATTGAAGAGACCGATTCGGATAATTTGCCAGAGGAGACCAAGAACCAAATGGGGTGAGCCCTTTGTCAAATCGTGGGCATCGATATTTACTATGTTGCATCCTATTGCCTGAGCTGATGACAAGGCCAATGTCAAATTTTCATGCTTCTTGTAGAGAGTCAGATTCTTTTTATTTATCGTACGCTCATCGATCGTATCTGGACAGGAATGATTGATAATTTTGCACAGAAGGATACCATCCTTGACTTTGTCGTAGAGCAGTCTCCCTTCTGAATCGATAGGCAACAAGTGTTTGAGATCTGGATCGTGACCAAGATTTGTGTTGATCCAATCACTGAAGGCCAATTGCTCCTCTAATCTCACAGAGTGAGTAGTGCCTTCACTGGATGCCTCGGATATTCCACCGAGTGTCTCCAAATTTTCTTTTTTCGATACAACAGCTTTAAATGTAGATCCGAGCTCCTTGGCTTTCAAGTCTCTGCATAGCTCCTCGAATTCCTCGAAGGAGAGACGGCCTTTGTGCTGGAGATGCTGTTTGTCGTCGTATTCCTCGATCATCTGACGGACTTTGTAACCTGGCATTTTAAATCCACAAATATGTAACGCGCTGTGCAGCTCTGCCAGGTCAATGAAGCCATCTCCATTCTCATCAACCTGCAAATCAATTATTTAAGTTACCGATAAACATTCGTATTTTAATAACAATCTGAGGAAGAGAGATCTTTTCATTAAAGTGACAACAATTCCGGTCCATTATTCACACCAATCAATTGAAATTATGAAAATATCTAGTTAGGGCGTTGCCTATTATCTGATCAGCTGATTGATATCATCAATCGTTGATAACTCACTAATTGAAAAAAACCCGCGAAATCTTTCAAGTATTCTTCGATGACGTCCCATTTTTCAATCTCCAGCATTTCCATTTCTGAATTTTTCACGTGAATTATTTCAATTTCGAATCTGCATTTGAAATCGACACTTTGCTTTCAAAGACCTTATCAACGATTACCGTCGGAACGTTAAACAACCTGAAGCACACTCACACGTTGAGAAACTTATCATTGTTATCGAATCAGTTATTTGATAAAGATATTGAATAAACATATCGCAGGAGATTGACACATATCTGATTGAATTTATCATTAAAAAGATGGGAGTGATTTTTTTTTCTGCGGTAAAATTTGGAGATGTGAGATTGGAATCAGGAAATGAGTAGCTTTGAACCGTTTCATTCCAGATACGCGCTCTTGGAGAGCATCCATGGAATGCATTGTTTCCAGTTTTACACCCACATATTTTACAGATCAGTTGCTATTCCCAGGGCATAGAACTATTCTTACAGTTATGACAATATTCGTAAGTTGTGCAATAAATCTCGATGAACTATCCTCAACCTTTGTTCTCAATCCTCTTTTATTGCATTAATTGAATTTTTTCTGTGAATTTTTTTCCTCCTATCCATAAGCAAGATATGGAATTGGATCGAGCACTCTGGATATTAATTTTCTAGAAAATAATTAATCGTGAATCATTAATCATTAATCATAATGTACATTCCATCCAATTGTCGTGTGAACACTCGAAGAAAATTTCGTAACCATTAATTATTTATTTGTAATCGTTAATTTATTTATTTATTTTTATTAATTTATTTCCATTGGGGATTCTCTCATGAAGTCGCGGTTGGATAACGAAAATTGAGAATCCCATTAGCCTAATATCGATAAGAGGCTCATGGCCGTGGATCTTACAATCGGCATTCGACATAGAGAAAACAGCCAAGGCTTTTCTTACATCGAGTAATGCGTAGGTGGAATGAGTAAAGAAGAATGGAAGAACCGTCTTGGTGCCGAGGTCATTGCATCATCAACCTTGAAATCAACTGCGAATACAAACTTTGCATAAATATTATATACTCCCCAGGTAAATCTCCAAATTGATTTCCCCACAATTTCCTAAATCCTAAATCCACGAATTTGATAATTCGATTTGCGATTGAATATTTATTTATTACTCATTATCAATGACGATTTAAAAATAAATTGTTGATTCTGAGATCTGTTCACTGACTAACATCCCGGAATTTGCTAAAAGGGAAACTATTATAAAACCGAGAATTTTTATATTCAATACAACGAAGGAAATCGCTGGACATGAGTCATCAGTGCACAATGTGCATGACTGTCGTCAATCGTAATGACCGTTTTTACATTGTGATGGTTTTTATGGCATACTAAAATCGGGATTTCCCATTTTCCAAAAGGGCGATGGCTGGATTAATGAGTAACACTTAGATACGCTTCATAAAAAATTATTTAGGTATGCGAGCTATCGGAGAGGAACCGCTACGTCACACTGATAAACAGTTATCCATTTTATTACTTTTTTCATGTAATCACTCATCCTTTACATGTTGTATACGCATCACCATATAGGGTGTATTGAAAACTCTAGGTAGAATGATACTAATCATTTGGGAATTGACGGGAGAAATAATTATAATCGTTGAATAAATGGAAAAAAGGAAAAAGGAAAAGGGAAAAAGGAAAAAGGAAAAGGAGCTGCATGATTGAGAATGGGGGTATGATAAAAAAAACATCCATCTGCTTGGATGACATTTTTTCGTCATCACTTGAATTTTTATTTTTAGTTCTCTGTATTTTAGAAGTGAATATTTTCATCGCATCAGACTGAACAATTTATCTGCAGTTCGGATGTAACTCTTGGAGTGCAAATAAATTCGTTACGGTTCTTTAATTTTCATAGCGAGAAATCATGAGCACAGTATGATGAATCGTTGAAGAAGAGCAATTATTAAAGTGCTGGAGGGTAATGCAAAGTTCAGCGTGGGACTGGAAAAATAGAAACACACGTGAGAATGAACTTCTACGTAAAAGCAGTGTAACAATGCTCTGGTCCCTTCATGGACCTGAGAATGAGGTTCAACATTCCTTTTTCGATGATTACCCCTTTTCTTCTACTATTCTCAATTATAAAACCAAATTTATCCGAGAATCTACCATTAACAATTCAGATTTAAGATTATATTTGTAAACAACTCACATGAATGTATTTTTTAAATATGAAATATGTATGAAAATTGAATTATATTGGTTCAGAGATGTTTGAATAAAAAATTAATAAACGAAAAAAATTGACAATTCAGACAAAACGCAGACAAAAAGTTTTTCCACTTCCGGAGAAATGAATCAAGTGATGATTCAGGGTAGGAGATTGCGAAAAAAGGACTGACGTGTTTCATATGATTACCACAAATTGAACAAGTATGTTTATTTATAGCGACAAATAAATCATCAAACTTATGTGGATAAATGAAAAATGGGTAACGACTCGGTCACCATTTTCCTGACAGACAAAATTCATTATTGAATTAATTGAGAATTTTTTTTGTACACCGCAATGTATTATTCTGCACATTCTAAGCAACGCAGCTCTATTTAAACTTCTAAATGACAAGTCATTGATAAGAGTTCCACTGAGGAATAAATAAAAGTGACTGCTTAGCGATAGGTCCCACCTACGATCCACTTTAAATTTCAGGGTCTCATACTCTGATATACTAACGATGCCTCACGTGAATTTGAGAGTCACACGTTTATGCCTCACGAGGAAAATCTCAATGCATACGTGGGAGTCAATGGATAAACTATAAATGGAGATCATAAAGATCAATAGACAACGTTGCCAATGGTTACCAGTCCAACATCCCAGGATTGAATTATCCCCCACTGGTGGTACCTACTGGAGGGTTATACTATATTTATTCGTCGACGTAGACCCCATGCCTTATGTCGATCCATTAATAGAATTAAAACCATCAACCCTTCCGGAACCCTCAGCCCCCCCACGTTCGTCAACTCGTGGATTTCGGGGTCTTTCCTCAGGTTCAAAATTCACTCTTCGGAGGGTTTTTATTATAAATATAAAATTTCGGATTTAGGAACAATATAATTGTCACAACTGAAATTTAATTAAAATTTTTTGAACACGAATCAATTATATTTGGGAATAATATTTTTTTGTCTTGTATATCTACTTGAAATAAATAGAAAAATATTCTTGAAATGTGAATGTTAATTATCAAATGCTTCTTTTATCTATCATTTGTTCTATGGAAAAATATCCGGCGTTGGAGAATTAATGGGATAATGGAAAATTCTTTTTGAAATAAAAATGGAATGCGTCACGAATCAGTGATTAAAAAAACGCGGGTTTTTCGAATATTTAATTATGATTTATTTATCAACTTTATGATATGGGGGAAATGAAAATAATCGAGCATTTTTTTTTAAACTTCCAGTTATACGATTTTAAATTGTTTTGCTGTTATATTTATTTCCCGTGGTAACAATGCAATTGACGCAAGCAGATGGTATGAATCAGAAGCAGATCAAAGTCAATTGAGTTTGGAAGCCGCAAAAAAATATTTCGGACAGGTTGCAGGGGTGGAAACGACGTAGACAAAACGACGAGGAAGACGTACAAAAAAAAATCCCTCCCTCAAATTTCCTTTTCCCGGAAGTTGTTTTACGCCCTTCCTAGTCAACTGCGGTGTGCAAGATAAGAAACGGAAATTCATACAAAATATTTCATATTTGTTTCCCTTTAATAAACAACATAAAATATCATGGACATTCCCAATATTTACGCGTGCGCATGAAATCCAAGAATATTGACAAAATCTTTTCCCCAGGACTACTCCACCCACATGAAACGCTCCCCAAAAATATAACTTTACAAAAAAAAATGATAAAAGATGATTAAATTGATTAAATCTCCCAATAAATCAGAACCAATGATAAACAATAAAGGAGATCAACTGCTGTCAACTGTAACTCGCGTCAACAACAATAGATTTTCCGTAGATTCCATAACAAGCGAAACACTCCATCAAAAGCCATCAAACGTTTATAAATAAATTACAAAAAAAACCACAAAATTATCCATTCACTGAGTACCGACAGATGTATAATCCCCGCAAATAGACTCTGCAGACATTACCACAGAGTGCACACCATAACCATTGAATCAATACAGAGGGAATGTAATTATGCGTTATTTATGCGATAGCATTCACATCAGGCGCACCCAATGAACAATCTATGATTAATAAAAATATGATGTGTTAATATTAACCGCTTGAAACTCCTTCAGGAGTTCTATGCGACTGTCGATGGCCATGTTGTCGAAATCCATTTCCACACCTTATCTTCTTGATTTAGCTGTCTGTCCTTGTTCTGTGAGGCGCGCCGCACACAAACTCTCCTCCCAACCACTAATCAATCACAATTTGAAACACGTCAAACAACACAACGACACACCTTCCAACGGTTTGTCTCGATGCCAATCAACTGGTTACTGGATTGCACAGAGAAATAGGTTATTTTTTCGTTATAACAGGTTAGCCAGTGATTGAGAGTGTTGGACGCGTTATACCGAAGGTTCAACCGTGAAGAGAGGTAAAGAGCCTACTCCAACCAACTCCGTGGCTCGACGCGATGTAGGGGCTTAGGACTGGGGATAGCATGTCACCCCACCACCCAACATCGGCGACAATCGCTGTGATCGGACAACCTCGTATTTTCCAGTGTGCATGCATATCTCAATTATTTTCAAACCGTATTTCAAACCTGCATTTCAATATTTTATCTACTACAACACATTCTCATTTTTAACATTATTTAAATTGATTTTGCATTCATTATTATGTTAATTGATCTTTGATTGTGACGCGTCATTTATTGCTTCACCTATCGTACCTCGCATGCCTCGGAAAAATTCGAGTGATTCGCGGTAGGAATTTCAAAATTTATTGGTAAATTGAGATTTGAAGGGTTTAGAAGATTTTTTATTTTTACTTACCTTAAAGCAATTGTTGTGAGTGTGGGGTAAGTTGGGGGATCTTGAATTTTTCAGATTTTAAGGTGATTCATTATCTTCATCATTTCATTGATGTAGATAGTAAGACTTTTAATTAGACTTTGTGTGATGGAATTCGATGAGTCACGAATGACCTGGACATTGATCGGACTGCCAGAACTACATATTTATTTTCATAACATGTCAGCAGTTTTTTTTCTCAACTGGATTTTTGAGCCTCGTTAGCTGTCACTTGTCGTTATTGTCACCTCGATTTTCTTCTGGATGGATGAACGATCTATTAATACTTATTATTAATTATTATAAAAATCAATGGATTGAGGGATGATTCATTTTACAGAAACCCCGAGTTTAATTGATTAAACAGGAAGACTACGGAACTGAGTCATCGGTCATAAAATGCGTTGGTTCCTTGGGATGTAATGCTTGAGTCATACAGGAATGTAAAATCTGGCACTCAATGAAATTCGTGAAAAAATTCACTGAAATCCAAGGCGAGAGTTCAGTAACAATATTTTTTGAGATAATTATTTCTTACATTTCTCTGTTATTAAAACAATCTATTTGTGGTATTTACGAAACATTAATAATCATATTTTTCGATTATCTATTATGATAATTCAGGAGTACCTCCAATTATAGAAGCGTAAATATATATAGGCAATGAAGATTTAACTGAAATCCTACAAATTAAAGATATCAAAATAACCTGGATAATTGTAACTTAAAATATTTTCCTACGGTTGTTTACGTAATAATAATAATAATGTTTACTCATAATTTGTTTTAGTACAATGGGTATGTTTCTATTTAAAATACACTGTAATAAATGTTCAACGTCAAAATTACGTACTTTATTTATGGATATTCTTGAGGGATGCTCAATGATCTCTCCTCAATATTGAACATTGCTCATCACTTAAAAATTACAAGACATAGTTGATGATTAACGATGTATCATTGTACAAACTTTTTCAAACTCATTAGTCAATACGCTCCCTCACAATCCCTTCGTACATCCATAGACTTGTCATTTCTATACAATACGCAAAAATATATAGCCCTGTTCGAAGAATCATAATCGTACGAATATTATCACTAATAAATAAATAGAATACATGTGTATATGCAACACATCGAAATGGTGAGTTAACTGCATATTTACAAAGATCTATGTCCACTTTCTTTAATTGATATTCCCAATGTTGATGGTGATGCTGATGTTGTCCTAGGAAAGCCATACAATGTACAACTGCTCGTTGGAATAAGCACACAAGTTTATGTAGAATAACAAGAAATAAGAAAGCTCGAACCAATTTAATTATGCCCACTGCTGCAATATATGAATTATCGGAGATTACTTGAAGAAGGCAGAGTAGATATGATATATATTTTGTTTTTAATAATAATATCTGAGTGTAAAATTCTTTCGTTACAAAACTCTTGTCAATCTTTCTCCATACATTACATCTAAATAATTTCTTTCTTCTTTAATACATGTCTCAGTCTATCTACACACACCTCAAGTGGAATCAGAAGATATCCTTCAATACCAAAAAATGGTACAAACAATTGCATTAGTTTTGAAAATTATTCCACAAGTCAAAATTTCAGTTTCACTTAAAAATTTTTCAATGTACTTGTGATGACCCTAGGATATTGACTGAATGGATGTGAGTGTATTAATATTCTTAATATTTTCACTGATAATTGTGCTGGACCTGAACAGAGATGCGGACAGGCTAATAGGTCCTAGCGAAGGACGACACCTCCTGGATGTCCGGTTCATTGTCCCCACTGAGATATCCCTGGGAGTGAAAAATGGAAACAAGTGCAGCTAGTGCTCGTAATAATGCCAGCTTCACTGACAAGCACTATGGTAATGGTGAAGAGTAAGAAATGTCGGGTAGGCGAGTTTTCAAGCTCTCAGGGAAATTTTATTAATCAATTTTTGGTCTGTCACTATAGAATATGTGATGATAGATAGATGAATGTTTGCTGCTCTGTTTCCTCCACACACTAAATGAGCTTATAAACTGGACTACACGATTTTTTAAGTGCAAATACGTAATAAATTAAAATTATCAATAAGCCAGCACGTGTAAAATTTTTCAGCAGTTATTCTGGTAAGTCAATATTTGTACATATTTTTCATATATTTATCACCTATATAAATCTACTCATTCATAAAGCCATGTTGAACTCTTATTTGGAAACAATGAAAAGCTAATCGCAAAATAATCGTAAGAATTTCCAGCCATTTGGACCAAGTCATTTCACAAAATATATATAATGGAAAAAAAAAAAGAAACTTCATAATGAACGTAAAAACAACTGAATTTTTCTACGGTGAAATAAACTAATTAATCGATAACGAATGAAGAACAAGTGTGAAGATGCACATGCGAGTAGCAACTCAATTTAAATTTAAAAAAAAATCATAATGGTGCTATCCGTTATGAGGATATAAAGATATAATAAAACGAAAATTGCAAACGAAAAGATCGAAAGTTATCTGACTTTTCGTACCGTTGCACTCTGCTCGGCATCTTTGCAATTGCTACAGATGTAATCGTCCTCTTCAGTGAGTTCGGTGCGATCTAAACCTACACAGTGCATGTGAAACCAGCCGTCACAGCCACCGTCGCATTGTACCCAATCAACTTCACGACCTTCAACAGACAAAAATCAGTGTAACATTAGTGATTAACAATAAACATTTGGGAAAATATATTGTGCTGGACTGAGATGAATAATTCAACGCACCACTTGGTCGTAAACAATTTCCAGCTGCACAATCGTCTTCTTCATCAGAAGTGTCTTGTTTGGTCTTTTTCCTGTTGCCCCCTCGCTTTTTCGGTATCTCTTCACCCTCTTTTCGTTTGATCTAAAAAAAAAAAAAATATGTTGAGTTGGTCATGGTTTTATTATCATTTCCAAAGCGAATATATACGAAATCAACTTGAAGTTAATCGGGCGATTTTAGTAATGAATAAAAAAACGAATAATTTATACCTTTCTGGGGCCTCGCTTGAGAGTTCCTGGTGGAGTGACAACTTTTTTAGTATCCTTGCTATTAAAAGCCTTCTTCTTAATAATGGTCTTGTCATCAACAGGCTTCTGGCGACCCATCTTCTTGAGTAACTCAAATTCCTCGGACTTCCTCTTTCTCCCACGCTTCTTAGGATCTTTGGAATCACTATTAAACGTTGCTTGGACCTCTTCGAAGGCAGCATACTTGCGTACACTGCTTGGACTATTGGTGTGACTGAGAATGCGCCAGATGTGTTGTGTCTCTTCGAGAGCGACCTCAAGGAGATCGCCTTCCATCATGAGCTCATCCAATTTAGACCTCGCACCCTCAGAAAGGGTAACTAAGTTCTCAGGATTTTGAGGTGACAGTGATTTTCGTTGGAATTTTGATACATACGAGTATGCATGCTCATTAGTATTGAAAGTACTGCACGAGGGCTGGTCACCATCAATTGCAACGATTTCGTCGTCATCATCGGCTGTACTGAGAGCACTATCATCAGAATGGACTCCACTCAGTGGTGCTATAGCTTGCACCCGTTGATGCAGTTCTGGATTGTTCGCTGCTTTCTTCAATTCACTACTTATTATTTTCTCTGTTTTTTCACGTGCAGCAGCTTCAACGAGCTTCTGAGATAGAACTGACAGTTTAGCTAAGACAGACGATATTTCTTCAATCGCAAGTGCCTGTCTGGCTCGATCCTGCCAGTTCATAGCTCTCTCAGTTAGGCATTGAAGGGCCTCACCCTCGGGCAAACGAATTTGAATTTTTTGTAAACTAACTAGGAGCGAAAGAATGGTCTCCAATCTTGGCCGTCGAGATCTTAAACAACAGGGACAGAGAAATTTAGTCTCCCTCGTTGTTGCAACTTTTGCTTTGTACATTGTTTTTGGAAGTGGCACGCAATTTGAGTGGAACCAGTCCTTGCACAGTTCACACTGCAACATCAATCCAAATCTTGGTCGCCTGCAAACGCAATACCTGGAGTCCTCATACGTAGCCTTGGACATATTTCTCTCCCGTAAGTTACGCATGGTCTCCATCTCTCGTTGTTCAGCTAATTTGAATGCGGCAACAACATTGGCAGAGTCACTCGAATCGTCCAATTTCGTGTCACACACGAAGACCGCACCAACAGCCTCGTCACCCTTGTTTTTCTTTGTTTTGAGTGCTTGAACACCAACTCCAATCCTCGGTGAGAGTGCCTCCATTAAAGTATAGTGTGAATTCTTTCTGAGAAAAGTTCTCGCTGTTCTCTCCTTCCAAGTTTTAGCCTGTGACAGAGTGGACTCGAGCCCTGGGAGAGCATCGAGATGCAATGGGATATTTCTACCTTTCTTAACAAGCTCCTCCAGTGTGTCGTAATATGGAAAACTGTCTCTCTCCGAGACTTCTTTAACAGTCTTCGTCCAGTTCTTTGTTTTAGTGAGTATATCCTGTAAGCTGTCGAGACTCGGTAAGTACGCATCGATGTTATCAGCCTCCTGTATGAACTCCTCAATCATGACGATATTCTGACGACTCTTGGACTGCAGATACCCCTTAGCTTTCTCCTCCCATTTTTCAATGTTAATAACGAGCTGTTGTAATTTCGATAGCATCGTTTCGATGCTAAAGTGAGGGGGAATTGTCATGCCAGTCTCAATTAATTTGGCAAGATCCTCACGTGTCACAGATTTTGAATCATCCAGCATTGATTTTACCTCATCCAACCACTGTATCTGTCTCAATTTCTGCTTGAGTCTAACTAACTGTGGCAACTCAATGCAAATTGAATCCCCAAAATCAATGCATTTCTCCAGCTTCATAACATCACAGTCGTCAAACTTCGACTCCAAGTCTTCAGCATCCTTCTGAAACTGCACAACTTGATCGAGAATATACTTAACCCCATCAGACTCCTTCAACTCACAACATAAATTCGTTATTTCTTTGTAAAACAATGTCAACTCCTCAACAGTCAGCTTGTATTTTGTATCCACCGACTGTCTTGTTCTCGTCCGCTGTTTGTTATTCAACAATTGTTGTGCAACACTAGCACATTTCTCAGCATCCTGTACAGCAGTGGTGAGAGCAGTTAATAATTCACTCTCTGGAAATTTTTTGCTCTCAGCCTCACTCAGCAACTCCTTCAACTCACTCAATTCAATTTTTTCACCCTTTGGATCCATCGCTTCCTTAACTTTAGTCACCCACGAGTCGAAGGACTCAGCTTTGAGTTTCAATTTTTGCAGCATTATCGGCAATTCATCCAAGGTATATCGATAACGAAGAGTGTGTTTTTCCGGTAGACAAGAGCAAAGATCAGTGAAATGTCTGAGGCATACCAATTGAGAACTGTGACACGAACAGGTCACGGCACTAAGGAAACATGTAGTCTTGCATGCCTCACACTGTCTCTCATCATCTGGTAGCAGTTCAAATGCTTCTCTCTCTGCTTCAGTGACACCCTGAACATAGGTTAAACATTTATTCAGTAAAATAGGCTCACTATTTATTAACCTATCATCAACGATCAATCCAGTATAAAAAATCAATTCAATGACAAGGAGAATTTATTATCCCCATATTTTTACGTTAAACATGAGATATGATATCAACATCTTGTAAGTAACAAAGAACCCACGGAGAACCGCCTGAATCGATGTAATGATCGATAACCATTCGCTAAATCACGATACTATTCTCCCCATTAATCGAAATATTCAATTCCTAGAATTGCCAACGAATTCTCAGCGTTCAGATGCTACACATAACCTCAAAATATGAAAACTCACCAACTGCTTAATAGTTGCAGGAGTCTTGACTTTTCAATTTGATATTGTGTATTGTCGATTACATAATCAGCACAATACAGTCGTATTTGAAGACGGTAACAAACAGCTTGAATATCTTACAATGAGATGATGAAAATTGTTAGAGGTGTGCCGGGGTTGGCTACACGAGTGGAACCAGAAAATTCCAAAATTTGAGATGCAAAAGAAATAATCTCGACGGATATTGCGCGCTTAGTAGCGACCGGTTGACGACAATTTAGTGCGCGCAGACATTTTCTGGAGGGGGATAAATAACTACTGAGGTACTTGTAATGTGTTAAAGCTCAAGACAGAGATGGTGGATACGTTTAATGGACTGCTAATAGGTTCAATATGCTTTCTCGATTATTCGGTATATATCTCGGTATTATTATCACTGCTGTGTTAAATTTCTTGTTGGCTAGAGTGAAGTAGCGATGGACAGTTCAGTGGTAAAGGAGGCAGTGAGGAGAGGAGGGCAACAATAATCTGCTAACTTCACACGAGTCTATACATGTGTTGTCCTCCTCTCACATATAAACAATAATATAGCACACCCTATCTATCTTTTCGCTGTGGATTATCATCATTATTATTATCGTTTTGAATTTTTTCTTTGTTGACTCCTACTCACCCACTCGAGTAAATTTTTTCTCAGCTTTTTCTCGTCCTCTACCATTTGCAGCATGTCTTGGTAAGTCGCTGTTGCTATACCGATGTCCAGGGAATCGGGATCCAACGACATTTTGCAGACCAATTCATCGTGGGAGAATACACAAAAACGTCGGAGGTTTGAGTAGTGGGCGATACACTCTCTGCCAATTTTTAACTGGAAAATTGTCAGGAGAGAAAGGAATATATATTTTTAGAATTAGATGAGATTGGTTGACACTTGATTTATTGATTCAGTAGCAAAGAGATAAAGTGTTGAATATCGATTGATCTTGAAAATGATTGATTATAGGGGAGAATATGAGAAATGTCTTTTTCTTTGAAATTTCATTATTCATAAAACAATTTTTCAAGTTAGCCCCTCGCTACTGAATTATTCGATGGATTCATTGATTAATTGGATAAAGACGGAGAAATTTCCTTCGTTTCATTCAATTACTTGAATTGATTATCTTAAAAGGTCAATGAGGCTCCACAAAATTATATCGTATAGATAATTTTTTAAATAAAGAGATAATTACCCAATCAGCGGGGGCAAAATTAACAGCTTCGGCAAAATTGTAGCCTTGATTGAATCCTGCGTGATATGCTCGTGGGAAAGTCACAACAAATTCCCCGGCATGCTGATCTGTTCTGAAGACTGGTACATCTGGAGAGAAATATATTAATGTATTGTGATGAAAAATTTAATTTAGACGGGGTAATTATTTATCGTAGAAGAATTAATTCACCTGCATTAGTCAGAATAGTTGGGTTCATAATGGTGACAAGTTGATGAAGCAAGTCTGGTTGACTGTGAAATAATTCTGGTGCAGCGGATTTCATGGAATGCTCAAATCTCTCAGCCTCAGAGCCAGGTACACCGTACCAGGTTTTTGGCTCGCCCCAGTGCAGGTAATTAATGGAATAACTCCAGTGATCCTCATTGTGCCAGCAAAAAGTGGCGAAGCACATGCCAACGTACATCCAAGGAACCTTCATGCCACTTATATCCGCATTTATGTGCCCCAGAACACTGCTCTGAAGTACTGGTAGATTATTAAGATTCCAGGCAGACTCAGCGTATTCCTGATCGCACGTAAACAAATTGACACTGGTCTTGGTGGGAAAGCCTGAGCCATGATCCATCGTGTGTAGATCAGCTCCATACTCCACAGTAACATCTTCATCTATGGAAGAAACAATTCTCCAAAATTCTTTCTCAACAAGGGAAGTTGGCACCATGTGAACTGGCATATTGAAGTAATCGCTTTTGAATTGATCAGCCATTTCGCCAAACTGCTGGAGTGTGTACTCCCTCTGCGCTTGTTCAAAGCCAAATGCCTCCATGGGTTTTGATACCTCTTCAGCAACACACTTCGGACATCGCCAGTCCCCTTTTGGAATTTCTGTCAACGGAGGCAGTAAGCAAAATGTGTGATAGCTGTCATCACAACCGTCGCAGAGTAACATACTCTCCTCCATATCCCCTCGACCACAATTGTGGCAGATGTACTTAGCCAGGGGATCAAAGTCATAGTTCTGCTTGAGCCCACGAGTCTTGTTCGATTTTTTGTTCTCTTTGGTGAAGCCTGCCATCTTCGGTCCAGCTCCATAGAACTGGAGTTTCTTCAGCTCTTTGCTGTCACCATCAGGATCATCCTTGAATTCATTATCCGAATCGCATTCCTCCTTGCAGTCCTCTTGCTTTATGGAGACATCGAGCTTGTCGTCTTGACCATTGAAACGCTTTGATCGTCTTGAAAATTTAGCAGGAGGCGGTTTTATCTGCTGTCTCGATATAATTCCGTGCGGTTTGTAATCACGATCCTTCTTCTCGTGCACCTCTGTCTCGGGTTCAATCTTTATATCCCCCAGGGTTTTACCTTGTTTGAATACATCAAAGGGGTACAGGATCCTCTCGTAATGATTTTTCAAAATACTACCCACACTCCTGCCTGAGGGGTAACCCAATTTATTTGCTATTTTCGCCCATCTTCGCTCTCTCGTCACCGTTTCGATCCCACCTTGATAACAAAATTATAAATACTAATTATTGGCTGTTTGGCGGTTCCTATCGTAAATGAGATTAAAAGTTAAGTGGATTCTTCACCTTCGTCAGTGATAATTTTGTGTAGCGAATACAGGTCGAGAGCTTTTCTCTCCACCAAAGGGATTTTGAGTGACGACCCCTGCAATTCCCAAAATTTAGCAATTTGATCTAAAAAATTGAGTTTTATTCTGGTTTTCGCCTCCAGCTCGTTCAATCTCTGTATCCTCGGTGTGAATTTGAATTTGTCAACATCAACGGCAAATGGTGGTTGCCAATTCTGGAAAAAAAATGGAGAAAGTAATATAACGCAATATATCAGTATTGCGTTTTCTCCTAAAATATGAAAAAAATGTCAAAATTGCCCGAACGATAATTACAAAGTGGCAGAATTTGAAGCAACAAGGGAATTAAATTTTCAATGAGTGTCATGTGCATTTCCTCATCGTGATGAAAAAGGGGACAATCCTATGATCTTATCCTTGCCCTGACATTGTTCAATTTGTCTCGGCCATTTTATCGAGAAAATTCGAACCGTACCGTGCGCCGTAAAGCTGTATTACTCCACGAAAATTGGTACGATTCGTTTTTACCACGAAATTTGACACCGACAAACCAAATTGAAAGATACATTTTCGATAATAAATGATGATGCAATGGGTGAATTTTTTCCCTTTGTCCGATCATCCACCTCGTACATCATACATGCTACCTCAGTCCTTTACCCCCCACTTTGCTTTCTATTGTCACGTACTACCGCGACGCCTCGTTCCTGTTATTTCTCTTCATCTTCCCTTATGTTTTGCATATTCCCCATTTGCATGCCCCAAAGCAATCAATTTCGTATTGACACGCGTCGATAAAAACTCCGTGAGTGATAAATGAAAAAAATGTTGACGCGTGAAGCAGTAGGACAATAGGAACATAGCACTTACGGGAGGTGGTTTGATCTTGCATATGCCAGATTTCTCAGCAATTGGTCGTATTTTAGCAATGTATCCAAGAGGATCGAGAAACTCCTCGGGTGTTGGTTCAAAAACAGGCGCCTCAGGTGGTATACCAAACTCAAAATCCGTTGCATTGCACCCACTCGATGTTAATTTATCTCCCATAATGTCCCTTGGATTCGCACCCCGATTGAGTCTCGTGCTGTCCATGTTATTCACATCTACCTTGGAGACCATAACTCATGTGTCGTAACTGCCACTGGATGAGACACTGGGTACTCACGTTCAGAAATTATAACTGAAAAGGAAGAACAAAAAAAAAAATGGAACTCCGGGCAACCGCTTTTCCTCAGATGCAGCCCCTCCGCCACTAATAAATGGCGATGGATAGATGATGTTTTCAGTGCTCTTGAACAATCCCACTTTTTCCACGCTCTCCTCACTCTGGCATTAATTCATTGAGTTTTAAATGTACTCCTTGTCGAGCCATGATTGTAATTACACTATTGGATTTTAATATTATCTCAAAGTTCGTCGGAGATTTGAGTTTGACAACGGTGAAACAGGCACTAACGCGTCACGTATTTACTTGGATGAATGAAATCAGTACATCAATCTGATATCACCCGCGTCCTCACGATTATCCTATTTCCTTGGGTGGATTTCCGTGGCTTTTTTTTTATTGCTCCTGCCTATGCTCCCATTAGCGGACTTCTCATCGGACTGTCGTGTAACATGTATGTATCTTACGCGCAAACTCAACTACTCTTTTTGGGTGTCTCTAGTGGCTCTGCAGCAACCAAGCAACAACCAAGCAGCACTAAACAGCAGCAAGAAGCCTCGCGCACGGTTAACTGCTTTCAGAATTTCCTGTTTCCCCTCTCACTCTTCAAGTATTCACGCAACTCCACACCTTGTGGCCTATTCCCTTTAATCTCAGCCCTTTGATGAAAACGTCAAATTGTCATGCTCCAACACTCTCCAATCAATCCAACAACCACATTATTTCACTCATCAATACTGCCAATCATCATTCAATATCGAACTCATTCCTAATCACAAGTTGATGTTATATTTTAAATGGTGATATTCTCGATTAATAACGCTCTTTACATCTGTGATGCCTCAGGTTTTGAAGGCTTCTAGAAATAAGCAGTTCGTACACGACAGTCCCATTTTTCAATGGACTCAACAACTGTTTCCTCATGAATTCACTTCTTCAAACTCGGGGGACCGTCACTTTAATATAATCCTGGTATTATCAATATCAATTTTTATTGATCACACAATTCACGGATGTCTCAACTTTCACAGATAGGAGGAGCGCTGCTGCTGAGTGTTGGCTATTTTCCTCTCATTGGCTATAGATGAAAATCAAGAATCCAATAGCGAGTCCAGTTGTTCACTTGTACCAACGTTTAGTGGATAAAAAACTCAGTTGTCCAGGGGAAATCGAGTCTTTTTATGTGGCAGAATGGAGATGTGACAGGGTGTGCCAAAGAGGATGGACTAAGGTAGAGGGTCAGTTCTGGGGGTTTGAGTGACCCCAGCTGCATCGTAGTACTGCACCCCAAGAGAGGGAGGGCGCAACACGCAATGCTGGGGTGTTTTTTTTTTATTAACCAAGTTTTTATTGCAATGCTGGGGTGTCCATCAAGTCGACGGGGTGAATTTTATTTTCTGCTGTACGAATGCTTTTTGTTTTTCATTTGTTTAACTGAAATTTAGCCGACTGTAGCACGTACGGAAGGGGGAAACCACATCTTGTTGAGTTTCAATGGAAAAAATTATTCAATGTATTAAATATATACCACTAATGAGTTTATAATTTTAAATGAGAACGTTGTCCTAGTGGTAACGTGCTCGACTGGTACGCCGGCGGCCCGGGTTCAATCCCGGCATCATTCATTTTTTTTTTTTCATAATAATTCCAATTTTTTATTTTTTGTTAATGGCAAATCAATCGAAATATCGCTTAAAAACTGAATATTTGATAATCGAGAAGATATCCAGTGAAATTGAAAAATTAGCAATTTTTTAAAACAATACTTTTGCAATATATATACTCCTAATGAAATTTGATTATTGTAATAATGCGTTATCCTAGCGGTAACGTGCTCGGCTACCACGCCGACGGCCGGGGTTCAAGCCCGCCGTCATTCATTTTTTTTTTTTAATAATTCCAATTTTTTCTTTAGGTATGTATTCACTGCAATTGAAAAATTCGAAATTTTTGAAAAAGTATCAGGGGAACATAACAATCGAGGAGTTATTCACTGAAAGTTTCACTGAAAGGGAAAAATTCGAAATTTTTGTAAAAGTATCAGGAGAACATGACAATGGAGGAGCTCTTCACTGAAATTTTCACTGAAAGTGAAAAATTCGAAATTTTTGTCAAAGTATCAGGAGCACATGACAATCGAAGAGCTATTCACTGAAATTTTCACTGAAGGTGAAAAATTCGAAATTTTTGTAAAAGTATCAGGAGAACATGACAATCGAGGAGCTCTTCACTGAAACTTTCACTGAAAGTGAAAAATTCGAAATTTTTGTCAAAGTATCAGGAGCACATGACAATCGAAGAGCTATTCACTGAAATTTTCACTGAAGGTGAAAAATTCGAAATTTTTGTAAAAGTATCAGGAGAACATGACAATCGAGGAGCTCTTCACTGAAATTTTCACTGAAAGTGAAAAATTCGAAATTTTTGTCAAAGTATCAGGAGCACATGACAATCGAAGAGCTATTCACTGAAATTTTCACTGAAGGTGAAAAATTCGAAATTTTTGTAAAAATATCAGGAGAACATGACAATCGAGGAGCTATTCAGTTTTTAACCACTATTTCGATTTATTAGCCAGTTACAAAGTGAAAAATTCGAAATTTTTGTAAAAATATCAGGAGAACATGACAATCGAGGAGCTATTCAGTTTTTAACCACTATTTCGATTTATTAGCCAGTTACAAAAGAAAAAATTGGAATTATTTAAAAAAAAAAAATGAATGACGGCGGGCTTGAACCCCGGCCGTCGGCGTGGTAGCCGAGCACGTTACCGCTAGGATAACGCATTATTACAATAATCAAATTTCATTAGGAGTATATATATTGCAAAAGTATTGTTTTAAAAAATTGCTAATTTTTCAATTTCACTGGATATCTTCTCGATTATCAAATATTCAGTTTTTAAGCGATATTTCGATTGATTTGCCATTAACAAAAAATAAAAAATTGGAATTATTATGAAAAAAAAAAAATGAATGATGCCGGGATTGAACCCGGGCCGCCGGCGTACCAGTCGAGCACGTTACCACTAGGACAACGTTCTCATTTAAAATTATAAACTCATTAGTGGTATATATTTAATACATTGAATAATTTTTTCCATTGAAATTCAACAAGATGTGGTTTCCCCCTTCCGTACGTTCTACAGACGGCGCCCTCCCTCTCTTGGGGTGCAGTACTACGATGCAGCTGGGGTCACTCTAACCCCCAGAACTGAGCCTCTACTTTAGTCAATCCTCTTTCCTCAGTACGCACCAGGTTTCCTTCTCAGTGGTAATCGTGAAAAATTTGTGAACGTAAGTGAATTTTTGGATTATGTAAGGACATGTATGTGTTGTACATAAAGTTGGAGAAATTAATTGTTGGAGTCTTGATAGCAATAAATAATCCATCAGGAATTGATGGGGTGACGAGAAATGTTCGGGTCGTGATTGTCAATAATTATTATCCTGGTGTTCATGTATTTTTGGGAATTTGTAGAAGTTGGGTTAATGATGGTTGATATGTCAAATCAAATAGCTGCTGGACTCTTGTCGATTTACTGTCATTTTTCCGAGGGCTGTGATGATTGTCTTAAAAATTTGTTATCTTGTTCTAGGTTGCAAGGATGGGAAAAGAATTCGGTACGCTCGCAAAGATCCGGGGAATTGTCTATTTTAGACTGAGCCCTTACGAACAGAAAGCCTTTGCTGGAGCCATTTCTCATGGAGTACCCAATACCATTCGGAGAATCAGAGAATCTGCACTTCGAGTAGTACCCCGTAAGTATTTCTCATTATTCAACATTCACATTTTTTTAATTAATTCTGTACTTTTTATTATTAATTTTTTATTATGAACTCGTCTTTTCAGCCTTCATTGTTAGTTATCTGTTGTACTCATGGGCGAACCAAGAGCACGAACGTTTGGTGAGGAAGAAGCCTGGAGAATTCGATAATGATGTGTAGAACTGACATTTCGAGTGTTATATAGTTGAATAAAAACCTGAGAGCGATGAAAAAATTAAATTGAGGCATTCGTTCATTGATATTGTTGTTAGCAATGAATTTAAATAATTAAAATTATTCAACAGTTTGAAAAAACTGTCACCTGTGTATTCTTACCTTTGTACATGTAACCTTGGTCCTTCAACGAGATCAGAAAGTCCGAGAATTTTTAAATTATAGAAATAAAAAGTGGTAAAACTTCAATTTGGAACAATTTATTGTGAGGAAGGAGTTTATATTTTTAAAATTTCTATTCCATTCTTTTTTCACGCGAAATATTTCCACGAAATCACTCTCTGAATTTTCGAGTGTATATTTACAATGTATTTTCGGTATAAACTTTTACCTGGTTTCAAGAAATCGTGGAAAATTCAGAGCCAAGAAATATATAATCTAAATAAAAAAAAATTGGTTTTCTTCTAGTAGAAATCCTATAAAAACGAAAAAACTTGTAGACTTTGCATAAACAATCAATAAACATCCAACCTACAATACTCCTTCAACTAAAAAAAAAATGCGATTCCCAGAGAATTTACTGATCTGTTCAGTGAGTTGTCAGTAAAATCTCCAGAGTAAAGGGACTCATGGGAATTTTTACCCAAATCTTTTTTATAGACCCATTCAAGAATTCCCAAAAAAGTGACCTCACAAATTTCGCAATCTTCTTCAATTCCAAAAATATTGAGACTTATTAAGACTTTGTTTTCGGTAGATTTCAGTTAAAAATTCTTTCTAACGAAAAAGTGACAGGTGTAATTCCGGGTAAACCCTTGCCTGAAAGAATCATGAAAAATTTTTACCTGATTTTCCGTGTGCTCATACGCACCTGAAAGCGAGGTATTGTCATATAGTGTGCGCTCCGTGGAGAATCTCAGGTGGGGAACCAATCAGCGGCAACTAGAAAGAAAGTCAGCGTCGAGGCCGTACGGTAACGAGTGCTGACGAGCCACAGGTAGTAGCTCAGGTATTTTCAGTAGACGATGAGTTCCTAAGTTCCAAAGAGCATCACTCGGTTCAGTGTCACCACGAAAAAAAAAACCTTCCATCGCAATTCCCCAACAATAATTCACCTACATGCTAGTCGTGTAAATAAATAAAGGTAAGTACACAAAGTGAGTGTTTGTTAAAATTCTATTAATTACCAAAAATCCATTAGACTCGTGATAGACGATGGCAGATGAATAGGTGCGAAAGGAAAATTGGGGAATAAATTCTTCTGCAATGATGGATAATGATGGATAATGATGGATAATTATCGCTGATGATACTGTGCATTCTGGGGGAATTGAAACGGTTAAAATAATATGTGATCCATGTACTTATGTTTCTTAAGAAAAGTGGAAACCCCGTTGTTACTTGATAATATAAGGCCCAGTGCATTGAAGTGGCGCTCCTTGTTCCATGTGTTTCTCCTCGCCAACATCGATTGACCATCCCATTCGTTAATCTTTCGATCGATGTATCTTCCAGGAAACACAGACCTCTGAAAAGTCAGTTGATTTTTCAATCCCATGTTCGACCTATCGATCACGTTACCTCGGTCTCGAGGTAACGACTCACCCTCCCATGTTTGAAATTCCAAGAGTACATTGGAATTTACAGTAATAATCCGACCAACCAGAGATCCTTCGGGTACAGTTAGCGAGTGATTTAGAATAAAATCAACATTTATTCCTGTAATAACCCAACCAGCTGCACGTAATGCCATCGTCAAATCAAATGAAAGTGCGAATCAATGGAATTTCATTGGCGTATTTAAATCTCGATTCTGTGCGCCTCCAGGATTCTCTCGGATTCGACTAATCATCGATATGCCTGTATTTTAAAATGTGAAAAATCATTTAAATTATCATTAAAAAAGGATAAGAATGTGTACCGGCATCGAGTGAGAATTCGTAATTGCTACGTTCCAGCCGAATTAACGGTACCTCCAGTCTCAACGCATATTCCTTTCGTTGCATGCCACACAGTGCTGTTTCTTAACTGTTGGAGCTAAATTCTTGATTGTACCTTCATTTTGTTGCCACCATATCCTCAGTCATTGTTATCGTGAAGCTGATAAGAAACATATCTGACGGATAATTTAAAAAATAACCAAAGAATAAAGACAAATACTGATTCAAACCGATCTCACTGGCAAGTAGCTTATCAATGTCATAAACTAATGCGATCACTTTCCTCCAACTCTTCGTCAACACAATCATAATCCCGTATCAGCCAATCTAGAAATAACTCTCCATAGGTTCCATAGGTAAATGCCGATTGGTACGTGTGCCGAGGAATCGAATAAATTTTCCATGATAATATTCCAATGACTGGAATTCCAAACATGTCTGAATATGTTTGAATAATACCACACGAACAGCCAGTGATTTATCTCTCCGATTTTTCCCATACAAATCTATCGACACAACCATGGAATATAATCAAAAATCCATAATTAGACGTACCAGGGAAATAAATATATTTCACATAGAGAAGATGGGAAACGCGTTTCGGAATTCTTGAATTTTATGCGTAGAAAGTTGCTTGTGGAATGCGACACGGAGTGTTGTGAGAGTCGCCTTGAAGAGGTCGAATTAAAAAACAAAAAGAAGCCTTATATACAAGAGGAAAAAAAAAACAACCGAAAAATCACTATAAGCTTGCATTCCAGAGGGAAAGGTTGCACTCGGCTTCCCTCATGGCTGTACAAATATATATTTGTGCCCATATTCACATTTCTTCTTCATACCAAGTTGAGAAGGCCCCACACACCCGGAATACCTTTCATTTATATCTCCTTCATTCACCTCAGCCTGAGTCTAACGTAATCCCAATTACAACTGATAGTCTGTCTCTTTCACAATCATTGATTCATGGTAATATCGATCTTGTGGAGAACTCAATCAACCTGTTCCATGGCGCTCTCAAGGTAGTCAAATGACTAATTATTTACTCCACTTAACTTGAGTAGATTATTTGTATTTTTTTACTGCCAAAGGACTAGCCTCATTTGTCGTGGGTGCGACAGAGGATTGAGAAATTCACAACAATTTATTGTTCGTCTTATTCGACTCCAGCTCACACGTACCCCATCCAGTGATTCTGTATTTATGATGGTGTAACAGACGTTTATAAGATGTCACAGCTTCTCAAGGTCGTATATCTCATATTCTAGCCTCAATAATCCATTGCGGTGTGAATACATTGTATTTTATTCAGTTTTCTCACCTGGGTGTGTCCATCTATCCATGATTTCATTTATTTTATCAAGTTGCTGTGCCCTGCACTCGAGTTTTCACAATTCTAATTCATAATCTCCAGAATTTTAATTTCTCCACTGATTATTTCATTTGTAAACGAAATTTCAATTATTATGGTAACTTTCTATGAGATTGAGCGGTTCATCTAGAATTTTGGAATTTTCTGGAATTTTTTGGATTTTTTTGGAATTTTTTCAAATTTTTTGGAATTTTTTGGAATTTTTCGGAATTTTTTAGATTTACCTTTAACTCATAATTCTCAAAAAATGAAGACACTGGACAATTAAAATAATTTGGACTCTGCAAATGATGAATTATTGTAACTGGCAGTTAGTCAGTTACCACTGCCAGTTGATTCCCATTCTCCTCAAAGTTTGATGCAAGTGAAGGGATTTTGAGGGTAACGAACAGACATGACTTATAAAAAATGAGTTTATGCATCGTAATACACAATTACACCATCGATACAGCGACAAAAATGACAATAAACAATGCCAATCGGTACATAAGCATCGCAGAGTAAATGTGTAATGGTACGGACGGATAGACATAACGGTCAATGAACTACGAGTGTGTAATTCTTCTGTAATTACGACTAGAGGATATGCAGGCATACCTGCAGAAGAAGATATTCCTGCAGAAGGGAAAAGTACAATTCCTCGATAAAAATTACCACATGCACCCCCATACAGAAATTATTCAGTACATGTGTTAGAGTGAGTGTTATCGTATTTCATCAAGTTTATTCATTCATAAATTTTTACATAGATGGAATACAACCAATGCCTGGAATGCAGTCGAATGGTGAAATTAAAATGACTCAGTCATCCGTGAATCAACTGTACAGACTGGCATTATCCCTATACTGACACGGGTCAGTAATTATCGATGATTTGAATGAGAAATGTGACATATAAAGATCACACAGGACTTGGGAAATTCATCGTCAACCTTGCCATATCTGTAATCAATTTTTACTCGATACTAGCCTCGTGTCAGATTGAATCTTGATGAACGAGTCATACGCAATTGACCGTGTGGGCATACGCCCGCTCAACTTTATTCAATACTCATGTCTCTTGTAAGTGGCTGCATACCATCATCATAATCATCTTATTTGCTTTCATGTAATTAATCGCGTCAACGATAATATTTCCCATGTCATCGTTCAATACGTCAATTTCGTCATTGAGCATTTTCATCATCCAACTTTCACTCCTCCATGATTATTATACCGGTATTTAGGGTACCTCGATACTTTGGCCTTTTTTTTTTCTTTGAAATATCTTTTAATGTTTCGAGTTTAGCTTGCGTTTTAATAGTCACATAATTGTAAACCTTGGAAAAAGTGAAAAGTCCATTTATTTCATGGGTTTATAAATATTTGGATAATAATCCATTAGACTTGTGATAATCCACTATTTTCCGTCCGCTGTAATTGGGGAGAGGAAAAATTCATTCAGAAATTTTACTGGAAGTTAAATGAATCATTTTTATTTTTTATTTTAACATTCAACATTTTAATTCGATGAAAAATTCTACAGAAAACTGAACACCGTCTTATCATCGAGGCAATAGGTGTTGCTTTGAATTAGGCCAATTGTAATTTCATTTTATCAGCGAAGCGGTAGTTTAGCTTTCGTGTCGCCAATTATGGTGATGTGTCGTACCTCTTCTTGGCTCATTCTCGCTCAGCCGGATATACAATACGTCCAGGTCATATTCCAGATTTGTATTGGTGAATGCAGAGCCCGAGAGACATCCCAGTAATTACTTGATATTCAAGATTATGGTTTTATGAATATTATTTGTATTTTTTTTTTTAAAAAAGGTACGTCAGTGGGGAGCTTACACGACAATGCCTTACTACAATAGTGGCCACACCCCGTCTCCTTATGCAAAAGGTATTGTATCCAGAGGGAAATGATAAAATTAGCAAGTGAATAAATATTTAATGAGTACTTGTGAAATTGATAGATGTGATGAGCGGCCCTTCCAACTCCTCCGGTAGCAGAGGTGGTCCAGGGACCGAACCAACTTACATGATGGAACACTTGGCGACTTTCACAGTGACTAAGGAAACTGGTATTGTTTATCCAGCTGATGGCATGCGAAGACTCCTCCAGCTTGAAAAGAGCAATGGGATATGGAGCCAAAAGATGCAGCTGCGCCTGGAACGCAATTGGGTTTTGATAATGGATAATGAAACTGGGGTACTTACGAAAATATTTATATCACCTCTGACTAGAAATTTATCATACAATTTGGAAATTCGATACGAGTGGGATTGATTTGAATATCTCACGTAAAGTCTCTCACCTACTGTTGAAATAGTAATAGCAATGAGGAATGATGAATAATTAATGTGTCTCGCAGGCGGTGATGGAGAGATTTCCGGCGGCCCTCATTCAAGAGCCCACAGCCTTCACCTCGAGAGATCCAATGGAGATGTACAATAATATCCTAGTGTTTACAGTGGCCGACGACGTTGGCTCAGGACAGCGAGCCGAGATGCACATATTTCAGTGTCAGAGTGTCTCAGCTCAGGATCTTGTGGAGGACCTGAAGATGTTGCAACTGGGAAAACTAGTACCAGGTGGTTCGCCTCGTGGTCCAAGGGGTCAAATACCACCACCTCCAGCACTACCACCACCAGAGCCACCGTTAAACGGCGTCAATGTTCGAGAGCAGGTATCAGCTTTCAATGCAAACAGTAAGTTCTTTCAGTATCTTTGACGTTTACAACCAACGCATCATAATAAAAAATAATGAAAAAGAAAAAAATATGGGAGGATTAGTAACGGATATTTCCATACGCTCGTTAAAGGTCCCACTGATCGTGAAGAGAATAATGACGAGGTGTCATCGACATCGTCGGAGAAGTACGAGAGAGATGTGACGATTCTCAATCACTGCTTCGATGACATAGAAAAATTCATAGCTCGACTACAGCATGCAGCTGCCGCCTCCAGAGAGTTGGAGCGTCGGAGGCGCAATAGAAAATCGAAAAAACGTAATCTCGGTGATGGAATGCTGACAATGCGTGCGAAACCACCACCTGAGATGGAGTTCATCGATATATTTCAAAAATTCAAACTCTCATTCAATTTGCTGGCTAAATTGAAGGCCCACATTCACGATCCAAATGCACCAGAACTCGTCCACTTCCTCTTTACGCCTCTCGCTCTGATAGTCGATGCATCTCATGATACTAATTATGATCCCAATTTACCCAGCAAGGTGGTATCACCTTTGCTAACACGTGAGGCTGTTAATCTTCTGATAAACTGCGTTACATCGAAAGAAACTGAACTGTGGCATTCACTGGGAGACACTTGGCTGATTCCTCGAGATCAGTGGAAAGGTCATGCTCCATCCTATCATCCGGTATTCATGGACGGATGGTCACCGGAATATCCAATACCTGAGGATCGTGATCATGATCATTTGGCATCACTGCTCAATGCTGATAAGCAGAAGCGAGATGACATTCCTGAACAACAGGGGGATAATTATTATGGACATCGTGATGTCGAGGAGTCTCACTACAGCAGTGATTATCTCGAGTATGAGAGCCGTGAGGAGCGCGGGAGTAATGATTATTTCGACAGGGAGAGAAATTATGGAGCGGGATCGGAACTTTATAGCCGTGAGGAGAGGGATAGAGTCGATCAGACACGAGCGCACAGTGACATTTCGGTGGATTCCATTGAACGCACACCGAGAAATGCCTCTGGCATCGATAGGGCGCAGGAAGCCTGGCTGGATGATCTTGTTGGACGTAATGCCAAAATTGTTCAAGTCACTTATCCTAGAACAGCTAACAATGATAAGGAACTGACGGTTGTCAGAGGGGAGTATCTCGAAATTCTTGATGACAGTAGAAAATGGTGGAAGGCGAAGAACTCTCGAGGGCAAGTGGCTCACGTTCCCCATACTATTGTCACTCCACATAATCCCTCTCATCCCCCTGATGATATTTTTAATAATCCTTTGTACTCTACGCGGTATCAGAGGCAGTCCCATGGCTACAACTATGAGGTGAGGAAAAATCAAAATCAAATCAAATTCACTTTCATGATACAAGTTGAAAATTATTTTTACGCATACCGAATTATTATTCCACGATGATTATTCATTATTATAGGATTCAGAGATTGAAGGAACGAGCACTAGTCCCGGCCCAGAAGCTACTCATCGATCACACGCCATTCCTCCACCTGCACCAGCTGACTGGGTACGCAAAGAACGTCTCGGCAAAAAAGGTGAATTTCGATATTTTTAAATTCAACTTTGTTCACTCAAGAAATTCCCAATATCTAATGACAGATCGTCTCAAACTCTCGCTATTTTATCCGTGTACATAAGATATCGTTCAGACTGAAGCTCTACCATCGATTTTTTTATCGAATAATTTATTCGAAAAATGTAGAACCAAACAAACAATCTTTATTTCCAGTTACAAACGAATTATAAGAACCATATGCAGTGTCACTAGTAGAGCCTTTAATGAGGCTATTATATAATATATTTTTCCCTCTTTTTTCACCGATAGTAAATCCTTTACTATAATCAGGATTGAGAATCTTTTAAATTAAATCATTCCAGATTACTTTGTAACGCTGCAAATTCCAGAAATTAGCAAGCGTTATCATTAAAAATAATGCAATATGCCTTGTATTTATCAACTAACCAAATTTTAGTTTTTACGATTTATCACCATTATTACGATTATATATTTTCACGAAGTCTTCCGCATTAACGAATTTAAATTTGAAATCTTAGCCGATGATTGAGGTATTGCAGAGAGTTCTATTATGTATATCTAGAAAGATTGAGTAATTTTCCCTAATGATAGTGAAGACATCTTGAACATTGGTGAATTGTTAATACTATTTTACATTTCATGCAAACGAATTGTCCTAGTAGTATTTGTTATGTTTTTGTTGAATGTTCCGCAATTGATGTTTGTTTTTGTACACAGAGGTGGGTAATGCATAATTTGTCTTCAATACAATAGTTAAATTCTATGAGTCATCCTCTGACTTCGTGTCCAGTTTGTGTGAGATAAGAATTTTTTTTTAATATCGGAGATGGTTGAAAATTGTTGCGCCTGGCATTGTATGTAATGTTTGAAATCATATTCTTAAGAATCACATCTTATACATAATATTTTCTACATTGTTAGTTGTCAGCTGATCGTTAGGGATAGCATCGTTTGTCGGTTATTAATTGTAATTTATGTAAATCTTTTTTTATCAATAAAACATGAATTATTTGAAGTGGAATTTATGTTTTACGCTTTTGTCCTGTTTATTATTGTCGCAACAATATGTCCATTGGGCTCTTGAGTTTCAGACTCGTTAAGGATCTTCTACACATAATCTTTCTTTTTCACTTCGTTATGCATTTCATTTTATTGCTGGTTTAGTGTGGCTTGCAAATACAGATGACAACTCTCAAACCTCTACCGATTATTGCTTATTTATAATATGGGGTAAGTTTGTTTAAATATCTAAGTGGTCTTTAAATTCGTTAAACAAATTCATTTTTTTACCGGGAGAAGATCATGTTCAATTTTTCTGGAATTTCACGTAAAATAGTAGTTTCTAGGGGCAACAGCTTGACTAATGGAAATTTTTGAAATCACATGAATTTTCAAGTGAAAAGAAATTTACTGTCAATTTTTTTTTATTTATAAAAATTATAAGAATTTTTAAAAGAATGCCTGAAATATTCAGTTTAAAAATTGAACAGAAATTTATTGTTCCCAAATATTGGTTATCCGGAATTTCTACGTATTTTTCCATATTTGTTTAACACAGAGAATAAATTGAAAGAGTGTGAAATTTCTGAATTACTCGGTGGAAATATTATATCTCCGCATCCTCTGAAATCCACAGAATCGCAAGGAAATTCGACTCTCCCTCCACGTACAATGCAATTACAACAGCCCAGTATTCCGTCGATGAAAAGTGTAGAAAAATTGAGTAATTCAAAAACGGAAAAAAATATTCCCCTGTCTCTACGAACTGACCCAGTAGCAGTTCCACCACCGCCACCACCACTGCCACCGCCACCACCTCCAATTTCTTCGCGAAGTACGTCATCGAATTCCAGTACCTCAGGGACTCTAAGAAGTAATAAATCCCAGAATGACGGTAAGTTGGTCCTAATGTTACGAATTCCATGGTGATCAATCATTGATTTTTTAGGACCCTCGCAGAGACAGATGCAGGAAGAACTGAAGTGTGTTCTGACGATGTTCCGCGATAAAAAGAAGAATGTCGATATCATCAGAACACCGGAGATTTATTTCGATCAATATTCAACACCTCGGGAGATACAGGAGTGGTTGTCCATGAAAGGTTTCTCCGACAAGTATGGAATAACAAAAAATAATCACAATCACACAATCATTTCTAAATTTAATCCAAAGCTGCTCATCAAGTAATCGTATTTAATCATTCAGGGGACAGTAGGACAAAATAACTTCTTTATAATTACTTTTTTATAATTTCAATAACTTCTTTATAATTACTTTTTTATAATTTCAATAACTTCATGATTCGCGGTTGGTCGCGGTAAATAAATTCCCAGTGCATCCATTTTAGTCTCACGTATCCATTTTCTCCGATACATTTAAATAATTTTTGACTAAACAATTTATTCAAATACACAGAATTTCCCGGCAGTTCAAAGGCATGACTGGTGGTGATTTATTCAGTCTTACGAAACGGCAATTGGAGCAGTATTGTGGTCCCGTCGATGGTAAACGATTGGACAGTCAAATCACACTGTCTCGTAACGCCTCAGGGGTATGTAAATTTCTTGAAAAAAATACGCGAAATACAAATTAATAAAATGGTAGAAAAAATTCACATAAGTACTTTCGGTTCAGTACCATACGGCAAGGACTTGTGAGCTAAAGCAAATATTAGAACGGGCGAGGAAGAAAGTCGACGTCAGTGACCCGCAATAAGGAAAAGACATCTTCAATGAATTCGGGCTTGAGATGAAAAAAAAAAAGGTCCTAGGAATTATTCCTCCAAACAAAAACAAACAAAAATCCCCCGGACAAAATCCTCAACCCTTACATCGATATTACACATATCAATAAATCAAATATTCGTATCTTAAAAATAGAATAGAATTTAAATGAAATTCAGTGTTGTGATTAATGAAATTATGCATTGTTATGTTAATATTTTAATCCTATTCCATGATCATGAATAAGTTTCTGGAAATTGTTATACATTTATGTATTTATTTAAAGCAATTACATACATAACAGATATAAATAAACGTGCAACTCTATATTGTATCATTGGTACGTATTTCAATGACAATTTGTTTCTCATTTTCTTTCGTTAAAATCCGACGCTTATAAGAATACTTGAGTGAACACAATTACAATTACGCAATCCACGTCAACTGTTTTTTCATTACCGTTACTATTTAACGCACTTCTTATAAGGATTTTTAAACAGCTTGAATTCTGCCAGATTATTCAAATGAATTGTGTCATCCGCATGTCTTGAAGTGATTGGCTGTTAAGGGGTTTTTGATTTGCAAAAATGATTCGCTGTAGAGCAGCGGACAGTCTTCAGCATTACAAAATTTCGGTAGAAAATGGTTTTACCACTATTCTAATAATTATTAACAATTACGCTTCAGATTTTTCATCTGGTTTCAATACATTCAAGTGAAATAGGCTTTGGAGTAGATTACCCACAGTGACTGTCAGCTCTATGTCTGACGAGATAAGACTTGATACTGCTATCAAAAACTCAAAATCATAACGACAAACTTATTCTTCATCGATAATTACGATACAATTACGATCGATCTGTCAATTTAATTTGATTGCAAGATTTTTTCCCCGCGAAAAAAAATTCCCAGGAGAAAATCTCCCGGGAAAAAAAAATCGCAGCCAAAGAAATTCTACAACCTCGATATTTTTTTTATCAGGATACCTAAAGCTATCAGTACAGGTCAGTATTTCCCTTCAATCCAGTAGAGTATTTTATTAATGCTTGCACAGAGTTTATCAAAAGTGCAAATTGGTAAGCGAAAGTTGATTCCAAGTTTGTGATGTATGTATGCATTTTCTTGTGGTATATTTCATTATCAAGGACGCAGAATAAGGAGAAATGGTTCATTCAATAACATTGGTACTTGTGAGGCGTTGATAATGAATGAAGAAAAAAAAACAATAATACTGTACGAGGGGATGACGTAATCTTGTTTTGTCAAGAGATTTAGTGAAAATGTATTTGTCAACACAGTGTCACGCAGAAATATTAATTACCCGTCGACTGATATTGTGCGTTTATCTCCGATGTTGAGTGATAACTTACGATTTTTAATTGAAAAAGCTACTAAATTATCAGGGATATCGCCTGTGTTAACCACGTCCCCATTATATTATAACTCGCATTTTATCATTTATGTTATACGGTGGAAAATTTCTTCACTCCTCGACACCGTCAAGTTATAATTCTTATACACTATTACAATTCATACCGTTCATATACACTTATGAAAAAAAAAAAATCAACTTTTAGCTGCATCAATATAACGTCATCGTTGCTCACCAATATAACGCTCTATAAATACCAAATACCCTAGTCAATGCGAATCTCAATAAAATATGATGACAATCATGGAACATCGTTATATGGAAAAACGAACAAAAAACAAAACAATTAACAATATTTAATCCAATAGCGAAGTGATATAACTAGATAAATTAAATCAATCGATGTTCAACAAAACTGTAAGACTTTACTCATCTCGTTTAAACACTTCGCTACTGAATGATTCGTAGTAGTTGCAATTTGCGCCTGAAATCGCCTATTTTTATTCTGAGAGGTAACGAATATGCTAAGAATATATTACGCTAACAAGCAGTAAAAAACATATTAAAGTTGCGCGAATGAGGGTTGTTATGTCATTAAACGGAAACAATAATGACTGATTATTGCCCGTTGGGTGCCTCCCTAGAACGTACAAACATTTGATGAATTTCCCAGTAATATTTCAACTTAACTGTTAATATTTGGTGGTTAGCGAAATGAGAAGCGATTCGAATGCCTCAGATAATCAAAATCATGTTGACGAATACCGTCATCAGAAATATTTGTCACTTCATATATAAGCATATTACCGTACTCCTTTATTTATTCGCGCAAAAGCGTACCTGATCGAAGCATATTTTTAGAATTACCAGAATCCACCAGCACTGCGACCACCCGGAGGATTGTTCACACGAATGCATGCCCGTCTAGCATCATCGACATCCTCGCTGATGGAAAATGTTGAGTCCTGGAGATTGCGTTGGCCCTCCTGACGAGGCCCTTTCGCTGAAGGTGTAACCACTGCCGATTCTGGTAGAGTTGGAGCGCAAGAGATATTCGAAATTGATTTGGGTTTGTTTGGGCGCAATTCATGGGTTCCATTAGTTTGATTAGCTTGGACACGCGCTGCAGCGGCAGCCTTTGCCGCCTCTCGAGCCTTTACAATCGCAGCATCTTCGTCTGCGTATTTCTTTAAATCAGCTGCACTTCTCGCCACTCCCCTGGGTCTCTGAGTCACAATTTAAAAACATCAGTGACAATGAGCTTTCAGAAAATATGAAAAAAAAAAAACCGCTCCACCGCAATTTGATTCAACGGAAAAACTTATTTATCAGTGCAACTAAAAATTAAGTATAATCGATTTACCTTCTCCTTCTCTTCAATCAGGTCGTAGATATATGAAGGGTAGGCTGGAGTCTCGATAAATCTGCCATATCCATGTACGGCCTTGATGTCGCATTCGTCAACGCAAACTCGACCATTGACGATAACATACTCTGGAACCCCCTGCACTTCCATTCCCTGTAAATTTCAAGATTTGCATTTGCAATAGCATTATCTAAATTTATTACTCAAACTTCTGTTGAATTATCATTCCCACACTTCATCGAACGGTAATTTTCATTAAAAGACAATCCTTGAAAATCATTGGGAAATATTCCAGAGCGATAATTAATTTCGGTAGAAATCTTTCCCGGGGTATATCTCCTGAGATGCATCGATCCCGATGAAATTTCATTGTGGAATATTTTTTCATGGGGGAATTTTTCTCATCATTTAATTATCAAGTCCCTACCTCGAAGATGTTGAAGTCGACGGCTTGAGCATGAGTCTCAGCGGAAATTATTCGCTTTCTGTTAGGATCCCAAATAACGATATCAGCGTCGGAGCCGATTGCAATGACGCCTTTTCTCGGATACAAGTTGAAAATTTTAGCAGCATTTGTGCTAGTCACCGCAACGAAACGCATCGGATCCATAATTCCAGCGTGAACGCCCTTCTCCCAGACAACAGACATTCGGTCTTCAACCCCATTCACACCATTAGGGATTTTTGAAAAATCATCCTTGCCGAGGGCCTTTTGATCGGCATTAAAGGTACAATTGTCACTTCCAGTGCATTGAAGTCCATCCCTAGGCAGTACAAAAATAAAATCATTACAAATCATGGGAGATTATCCAACACTTAAAAAATTATTCTTCAAATCTCAAATAAATTATTGAGTGCAATTGCTTGGTTCTTCCAAACGAACATACAAATGTATCGAATACAAGTATAAATATAAAATAATAATATAACAATTATCATTTTTTTATCCGAATAAAATAGAAAAGATTATGAATTTTCATGAAGAATTACAATTGAAAATTCAAGCAATTTTAACTGTTCTTACAGTATCACCCCTGGAAATACATGTTATTCAGTTTTCTCAGTTTTCCTTAGTAGTAAATTCGTTTTAATTGGTATTTGTCGGAATGAGAAAGGCAGTACAAGTGCTATACACCGAGCGTAACAGATAAGGACTCAAGTGCACGAGCGAAAATGGGAAAACACTTTTAAAACTCCATAAGGAGAGATTTGAAATTTCGAAAGAGACTGAATAATAAATAAATAACGAATCGAGTTTTCCATGTAGGTATGAACGATTGCCAGTGACACTTCGAGACTTTCTCAGGCTTTCCGTCGAGTTTCTACTTACTCAGCGAGCTTTTCAATCAAGTATGCGGGTGTTGTGGGATCCGGCCTGAGTGGCGGATCCATTATATAGCAACGACCCTTGTCCATATCTTTTCCATATTGCTCACTGCCATCAATGCCAATACTGGCAGCAATTGGCTCCCCATACACTACACCACCGTCAGCCCGTTTTCCGGATATCACGTCCGCTGTTGATTTGCTCATCACTCCTGACACGTACAGCGGACAGTTGACCTAAACGCGTTCCATTATTTTTTGCTTATTTATTTCTCACGTTATCTGTGATCCGTAAATAGACTATTTATTTTTATCTGTCATAACTGATGCAGTGACATGCATACATCGAGTGAATAAATTTCATTGTGAAATCGCTTGAGACGTCAATCAACGCAAAGGAAAACTGAAGAAAATTTGAATAATAAATCATGCACTTGCCATTATCTAATATCTGAAACATCGAATCGGCGATCCAATCGAAGGGGGACACACCACTTTTTTCAAATACTCAAAATAATTCAAAAGTTTCTTATATTTTTTTTTCAGTTACTCTCTATATCTGGAAGGAATAAAATATTTTGCTGAGAAATATTAAAAAAACTGCTGAATTAAAGATGAGTATTAAAAAACTAAAAATCATAAACATCAAGTGCGATGAATGGAAATGATGGAATGATGGAAAATTTTTTCTTTAAAAAAGCTTACAACCAAAAAAAAAGGAGTGTGTCCCCTAAACGATCAGCCCTTACTTTAATATTTACTTATCGGTTCAGCCTCGTGATGCTCCTCAGTCTGCCAACCCGATTTCTTTCCCCATAAGGAAAAGAGATAAGGCACAATGAATAAAAAAGAAAGGAGGGAAAAAACTCAACAAGACTGAAGAGAAATCTCAAAATAAGGAATGACAAGAATTGACTAGGCTTCCTATGACCCATAAAAACCAAACTGGTTTTGTCTGCGAATGTAGATAAAAAAAAACCAAAGCCAGCCGTCCTCTGGCATCGAGAACATACAAGTTTCTTTAACAGTATTGTATAAGAGCAATTAATCCACGTTGATTAATGCTCACCCCGTGAAACGAGTGGCTCGTGTTGTTTCCTCCTTTTTTTCATTGATTATTCCTTCATCTTTATTCATGATACTCATGGTGAACTCACATAGATAATTTGAGCATGAGATCGCGCGGTGTATCCTCGTCAGGCCTGAGAGGAGGACTGAGTATGTGTCCAGCAGCGTGTCTCCAGCATTTGTGGCTATAGTTGGTACCGTCAGTGCCGAGTGCAGCTGCTAATGTTTCACCCCATACAACAACTCCCCGTTTCCGGGCAGATTCAATAGCTTCCGCTGCACTACGACTCATCACATGCACTACGTATAGCGGGCAGCACACCTGTCCCATATATCACATTTTTCTATCTTTCATGCATTCAGTCATTACAAATAGTGCCATACACTCTTGAAAAATTACACTTTTCATTTTGAATAAAAAAGCGTGAACGTTTTAACAACAACAAAGTGACGTGAAATTTATTTATATATTTTAACTTCAGAAGTGAATTATCACGAATTTTTTGAAAGACTGGGAGAATTTTTTTTATGACTCTGAAGATCCCGCGAATTTAATAGAATTGTTACAGTGGAGAAATTGATAAAATAACATGGAAGCATCAAGACTTTTTTAAAAAATATAAAGTAGAAAAATATTTCGATGTATTGTTTTGAAATAATAATTTTGCGGTCAGCCAATATTTAATAAAACTGTCAATGAAAGTATGTCTATTTTAAAATTGAATTTTCATATTTTTGAATGGATTAACAACTCACGTAAAACCGAATTCTCCCATATTTTCGATCAAAAATTATATTCTACTTTTCATTCAACATCTATTTCACCTCGCATGAACGATGGATGATGAATTCTTACCTGATTTGCTATCATACAAGCCCTGTTGGTAGCCTCAGCCTCAACTTCTTCAGGGCGGGACATCTCATGGCCCTCGGGACCAGTCACACCAGCCTCCAGGAGTTTTTTTGTATTCTGTAATACAATAATTGTGAGTTGGGAAAATTGAGGATAAGAAATTTAATAAAGTCGCTGTGTTTTACCGCCGCTATGATATCGCCGTTTTCCGCGTGAACCATTGCAACCGCTCCAAGATTTTTACACATGGAAAAAGCCTCAATTAATTCTTCATCGTGAAGCATGAAGAGATCTTTATACGCCATAAACATTTTGAAGCTGTTTACTCCGTGTTCTTGGACCAACGTAGCCATTTCTTCTTTTATCTAATTGAGAATTCATCAAGATTATTGAAATAGAGAAATTCAATAAATAATTTCCTGCATAAATATCAGGTATTTTTCCATAATTGAACGATTAGGAATATTCAAATGAAGATACCCTTGGGCTCCAACTGGTGATAGCCACGTGCAGGCCATAGTCACAGCAGACTTTTTCATCCGCGGTTGCTCGATATCGCTCATAAGCTTCAAGAAGTGTTTCCCCTTTACTCGGAATGACAAAATCCATGATCATGGTCGTACCACCAGCAATAGCAGCCTTTGTTCCACGGTAAAAATCGTCCACCGACTTGGCACCCATTAATTCTAATTCAAAATGAGTATGCGGGTCAATACCTCCCGGCATTATGTATTTTCCTCTAGCGTCTATTGTTCGTGTTCCACCTGGAATAATCAGGTTTCGTCCGAGTTGCCTGAAAAATTAAAACATTATAATTGTTTACGATGCGGAGCAAAAGTCAACTGGACGACCGCAGTTTCTTGGAAAAATATGAAAATTATTGGGAAACGTCTCACTTGATAACTCCATCCTCGATGTAGACATCGGCATCCGTCATTTCATCTTCATTAACAACTTTTCCATTTTTTATGAGCAATCGATTCTGAGCACTCTGGAATTATAAAACCAACTTATATTACACCAAGATAATTATACATATATCCTATAAAGTTTCTAAAAAAATTTTACACACTCGCTCCCAGAGTGAAAACTTTAAATAATTAATTTTGATGTACGAGTGGTTTTTGGTGAATTAATTATCCACTCGGATTTTCAAATTCTTTTAAAACTCGATGAGTCCTTGCCAAATAAAATTCCCTGTCGCTCTAGTGATGGGATTCCAACCAGAGGCTCATGGAATACCATTTTTTCCCAATAATAAACGCCGTATGAAAATTACCAAAAAGTCAGCAGCTTAAATTTCTTAAATATAAATTGTCTCATGTACACGTCTGTTTTCCCTGATTGCCCCCTCCCCCCATTACTCCATCCATTAAAAGATACATCCCGTTCCACTCTGGTCTGGACACATTGAGCACTCAGAATGACTTAGTGGAGTTATAAATTCGTTACCCCTCCACCCATATTCACAATAATTCGTGTGATTCAATTCAATTTGTAGAGGCTTACTCTAGATGAATTTTCTCCCCAGATAGCGAATAGATGATATTATTCACAGACAAAGCCCCAGTGATGAAAATAGCGAAGAATTCAAATGGAATAATTCAATCATCAAATTGTCTGGCATGCAATGCGTTTTTGCAGCTTCACAACTCTTTCCCACTTTCCCAGCTACCTATTTATACTATGATGAATCAACATGCTGTACTACTTCCATTATATCAACGTGAGAGATATCTTTTCAGATCTTCTCAGATATATCTCTGAAATAGACATACTCGTCCAGAAACATCATCGGGGTCAGCAATTAGTTGATTCAATTACCGCAATAGTGTATTCATGATAATTTGTGTAATAGCATCATGCTGTGGTATTTAGTAGGGGTATTTATTTTCTGGCTCAAGTTCAATGAATTTCAACCCAGATGAATTTTGTTATGTAAAGATGAGAAAGTCACCCGGTGTGAAAGACCATGTCTAGCTGCTGCATTTTAACCCATCCGCAGGCTAATTATACCGTGGCTATCTCTACATCCAGTTGGGACCACTTCCTCGGAGCGACATGGAAAAATCCCTCAACAATGTGGGAGCGTGATTTGCCATTTTTTAAATAGCGGATCGTCTCGGCTTATGAATTCTCACGGCTCGTTTTCACCAGTTCTTCTAACCGACGCGACATAGTGTCGACGAACTATCGATTCGCGTTGGCTGGTTTATTCCAGGAGGCCTCTACAATCATTAAAATCCCAGCAGAAGATTTTCAACGAATTCCATGGGCAAACCATTTGCTTTCTTCCCTTTTACGCAGCAATCAATTTAATTGGCTTATTCTCGTGATTAATGTTCAAGTAAATCTTTGTATTGATTGTGAGGATAACCAATTCGGAATTTCAAGGCCGCAAATCGAATTGGAGTGGATTTCCGGGGGAAGTATGAGTCAGTAAACTAATGATCGGCCAATTCGATAATGACTTTAGAATTTAGACTTCTTTTATTATCAGTGAAAACAATTTACGAATTCATAGATTTATTTTGTCGAGATCAACAAATTTTTCTAATTATTCTTGAAACATTTTTATCACTCTCAATTTCCTAAATTATAAAAAAAAAAGGCATGTCGGTTTGAAACAGCGATATCGAGAAATCCATTTTCAAAATTTTCGATTCTTGAAATTTGATCTTGAAAGTTCAGACGAACCCATAATTCGGAGCAATATTCAAAAATTTAGGATCCCATGACTGAAATAGAAATTCAAATGTTCAACTGAAAATTGTGTCTATCAAATGAATAAAGCATAATTATTTGTAGCACATAACAAACCATTGAATGAGAGTATTCCAATAAAATATCAAAAGGGAAAAGCATTGAACTTTTTCCCCTCTTCCCTTGTTACTTGAACAGTAGCTGAGCTCGGTGAGCCGCATTATCCCCCTGGCCAATGAACGAATGAAAGCGTTAATGAGTCCGACTATCGATTGCTGGGCGGTTTAATTCAACTTCACCTAAAGCATCACGTACACATAATTTTTTTCCCTATTGATAAATAAATGAGTCGTCATACGCCCACGCGGAATTTTCAAGGCAGAAGACAGAATATATTTTTTATCAAATAATAATCAATATCCCCAAGTCCTGAGTATCTTGAAGTGGGCACTTGAGGTAAGTATATAACGAGCAAACGTCCAACGAAGCACTTTAAAACGTCTTACGAAATTTATAGAGCCAACGGACAGTCAATAATTTCCCAATATTCTCATTATCTTATCCTGCTGCGCTTAAATCAAGATTTTTGATAAATACAACATCAATTTGACTGAATAACGTTACAAAATGGATGAGTTATGCAACAGTTTCAATGTCCAGTGGATTAAAACGTATATTGTGACAGGCGTGGGTAGGTTACATCCAGCCGGTGGATAATCCAAGCAATCAGAGGAAGATATAACATCAGATTAATGGATAAAATACTCCAAACAACAAGAACGGCTCTGCCCTGTTTAACAGGTGGAAGGATGTGAGATAGCGACTGAGCAGGTGCTTGAATAATCAGAAAGTTGAGAACTGAACTACCGATATAACGATACATGTGCCATCACTTTAAAAACAAATGGTATAACAATACTTCACCTGCAAATGAATCGGCACTTTTTTCACCGGAGTACTCATGGTTTAGCACTGGATATTTTTTATCCCAGAAATTTATCTACAAATATCTACTAATAACTATTAATATGTATGAGTCCAATTATCAACCCAGATGATAACGCGTAGATATCACTATTTCGACACTTGGAACACTGGGGTAGAATCGATACTTCACCGCGAAAACGATGAATTAAAATGGAAAGTTCGGTGGGAATTTTTCACTTGGATACTTCCCTTTGAATTCAAAGTTGGATATATTGAACAGAATTGTGACGAGCACTGCCCAAGACGTTATATACTACGTACATAAAAATCGCGAAAAAAAGTGAGTTTGCGCGGGGCTCAGCCAAAGCCCAACAATCGACTGAATTTCATTTTGTGTGTGCGTTGCGCAGTGCACGATCTTAACACCGTATGCGCCCCACCCCACACTCCCCTATATTTCCCCACATTCCCCTATATTCCCGTATAACCCCTCCTGCTCTTTTTCCAGGCAACACAGCCATCTCTCGAAACGACAACAGATGTTACGCTTCCACCGGTCACACATCTGACAGCTCTCTCTCCCATATGTAAACATACACTTTTTCCTTAAAAATTTTACGTTCACCGATTTTCGTCGTCCGGTGCCGATGGCACTCCCATTGTCTGGTTCCTCGGTTTTTCCACTATCTTCGAATTTCTTTTATGCTCTCCACGTTCTTCCAGGTTGGTGTACATTACAATCATTACAATGCAACCCGGGCAATTGTTTCAGCTGGCGTGGATTACATGGGTTCCGTCTGTTGACATCCTGGAGCTCAATTCTTCTCGGTTTAGCTGAACCTAAAGAAGACATTCACGGTTAAAAATGTGAGGGAAAGAGAGGTCGACGAGAATTCAGCAGAAAAAAAAGAGGATCTACCAAGGTCTTTGATTTTCAAGAATCAACTGTGGTTGGTTGGAATTTTGTTTTATATCAACGTCAGACTTGGAGCCATATATTTTCGAATAAAAATTAACACTTGCTTCAGGTTTTGGAAAAAAATCTGAAGGAAGTATCAACACTGATTACCAAAAAATTATATCCAACGCCATATTAAAAATTCATATCCCGCAGATGTTCTTGTTTTGATAAAAAAAAGGAGCGGAAGACACGAGAGATTATGGTTTTTTTTTCTGTCATCAGGTGAAGAAATGTCTGCAATTATTTACAGTCTTTTGAACGAAATAAAAAATTCTTCTCCTCCGACGAAAGAAAAAATTTTCCGAATTGAACTAGTGCGTAACATGTGCACTAGATGGAGAAGAAATCCAACGCCATCCGCCAGATGGACGTTATTTCTTGGAACTGTGAAATCTCGAGAGCCATATTACGTTTTACAATCCACAGTAATCCGTAGTGGTTGTCCCGTAGATTCGCCATCTTGTCGTCTGTTGTCGTGTGTTAACTAAAAGGATGTGGTTCTGAATAATTCGACCGTTTGAAGTTGTATGTGAGTAATTGTCATTACGCCTCTGTAGCAGGTAGCGGAGACCTGGTCATTGCAAAAGGGAGTGGTTTTAAAGGACTTGTCAACTATCAATACGAATTAAAGTCTGAGTCACGTGACAAATGTCACACGATTTTTTGGCCGTTAGGTATTCATCAGTGATGATGTTTTGAGTAATGTCAGTCCTCTCGAATGTTTTGTGTCGAAGTGGAATGAGGCGGTCGTAATCATTTCGTTCCCAGGGTACGTCTCCAAAATTGAAAGCAAAAGAATAAGTGAGGGGCTCCATTCCGGCGGGTTTATCACCATTTCTTCAACATGCACTAGCTAGATCATTTTTGTTAAAACACTGATCGTGGGAGCCTATTACAACACTCGCATTCTAGATTGAATTATATTAACCTGATATTTACAGACACGAGGACAACAACTGTACCTTTATTATTCATCAATTTCCATCACTCGGTTGATGTCTATCATTTTTACATGATTTTTGTTCCATCGACATTTTTTAAACCTGCTAAAATCCCTGAAGACAACAATATGTTTCAGACTATGGAATTTCGTCTCTAAAGCTTTCTGTACATTTTGTATCCTGGACATTAATTAGTAACAACGAAAATCTACAAAATGGATCTCGATATTCCACAATTTAATTCGAAAGACGATGAAATTCAGTATTGGATGGAATTGGCCCAGCAAATGTACCAACGGTAAAGACACCATTTTTTTTTTAATTGTTTATGTTGTTTTGAACTATTTCTCTATTGTACAATTACAAGATACTCCAAGTGAACTTGACATTGACTTTCATTGTTGAATTCATACCTAATAGGAAAGAAGATGTAGAACACGAGTTGGAAGAATTTCAGGAGAATTCACAGATGTTGGAAAAAGAATTGGAAACATCACTTGAACAATCAGAGAAGAGCAATAGGGAATTACGTCAGAGGAATACAAGATTAGCCACTGAGATAGAACAGTTGAGGACGCGATTAGACCAACAAACAGCAGATTGTTCAACATTTCAGACGAGGGCATCTGAACTCGAGGCTCAACACGAGCAGCTTCTCAAATACATACGAGAGTTGGAACAGAAAAATGATGATTTAGAGAGAGCTCATAGGTAATTGTTCACTTTCCTGTCCATTATATTTAATCTCATCCTCTTGCAATAATCTCTCCATCCGCAGAATAAACATGGCAACGGAAGAAGCAATCGAAGCCAAATTCAATTCTGCTATTGAGAAGAATGCGCTCCTAGAGTCTGAACTGGACGAGAAGGAAAGTCTCAAGATAATTGTACAGCGATTAATGGACGAAAACAGGGGTAAATGATGTTTGCCTTACGCAATTGTTTCGGAAATCAAGAATAATGGCGGAATGGTCGAATATCTCCATTTTTTCAATCGTACTAATCGAATTTAATGGTGATTTTATTCCACAGATCTTAAGCAAGAGTTTAACGTGTTGAAACGACATATGGCAGATAATGATAAATCTGCGGACAAAGTACGCACTCTGGTAGACAGTAATAAGCTGCAAGTTGAGCGAGAGACACACCTGCCACTCACAGAGCAGAATATATCGACCACAGGTCATCCGCAGTCACCCTTGAAAAGTAAGATGAACAATGTTTTACGTAAAACGACACATCTCTGTTCACGCCCCAAAAAGTCGTTTTCCGCGTTACTCTCAATAAGTAGATTCAAAATAACATAAACCAATTCAAAGCTTCGCAAAACGTTGACATGAAGTTCATAATCAATTAATCTACGGGTTAATTCCAAGTCTTTCCTTTATTCTTTGTACTTTATCTCGTTGGCCAAGGTTTTCTCAAATTAACTGAGAACTATATTTTTCTGTATTATTTTTGTTACTCTTGAATAAAGATTACTCTTCAATCTTATTGCTTTGTTTTTTTAGTTTTTCTTGTTTTGATATTTCGTTTCTCTCTAAATGACGCATCGAGCGAAAATTGTCACCATCTGATTGAAATGCGCTCTATTTTCAAATTAAATTTCTCTTTTGCCTCGGTGCCAGTTGAGAACGGTGTTATCAACAATAACAACAACATGAACATGCCAATGGCTCCATCGACGAGGATACTGGCGATGAATATGATTGGTGATCTCATGCGGAAAGTCGGGGTGAGTACAACATTACTCGTTCGGCATGTCTAATGAGTTCTTTTACTTTACCACCTATTGTCAACTGTATAGCAAGTATAGGAGCAATTTCATGATGCACCGGTCCTCAATCCCATCCAATTTGTGTTTTAAATTGTAGTGATAAAGAGGTAAAACGATTTGAGTCGATTCTATCCGATAGAATAATCACTGCTTGTAAATCGCATCCACAATATCTCAAAATATGCAAAAAAAATTGCGACCCTCCCGCATAAATTTATGACTTCGCAATCATGAATTTAGCATTGAGCTGGAATAATTCGCAAAAAATAAAATTGAAGAAATAAAAAACCAATTGCCTCAATGGTCAAAGTCTTAAAATTTTTTTTTTTACACGTAAATTGCGCGGATATATTTTTTTTATGTGAACCTTTTCAATAACTCCTATTAATGATCGTAAAATAGAAGATTGTGAAATAAACTTGAACTGTCGTACCTTTGAACCACTGATTCGTCCACCATACCAAGTTTTATGATTTTGGATTGCGAATTAGTGTGATGTAGCTGGTGTTTTGGTAGCTTAACAGGTGGGTCTGCATGGAGTGTAGGAAAGTCAAATGTTCATGCCTCAATGGCAATAAAAAGGAAACCGTCGAAGCGGCACAGCCGGCTCAATGTATTGGCCATCAACACAAGCCGACCAAGTGCTGAGAGACTTTGTACATGTAGACACTGGTTGCACCCCACTTAAACACCCAGGTCCTTGTTTTTATTTTTTTTTAATTTGCTCCTGTACCACTCTGACACTACTAATTATCCGCTGTTTGTATTTTTTACTATGCATTGATCATGTCGTCAAGACACTAACAGTCTTTAATTCTCAATGAGAATTCACTTAATACACTTGATGCATAATTACTTGAAGTTCTTCTTGAATAATTCTGTAAACCATCCTCTCCTTTTTGTTTCATGAAGGCTCTGGAGAACAAGCTCAACACTTGCAGGAATGCCTCTCGCGAGGATCAGTCTATGAGGGATTTGTACAGGTAACCATTGAATGGATCATTGCAAGTTTACATGTTTTGCACCTAGATGTTTCCTGAAAGGCTGAAGAAAACCTCGATATGCCAATTCATGCTGTTGTATCTGTTATTACTATTACACGATTGTTTGTAATTTGAGATACGAATCTGTAAGCATTTGCAAGATGATTCTTTAATTCCACAGTGACTAATTCATGCATTTTTTGCATTACGGTTCGAATACTAGCTGAAACTGCAAATTAGATGCAGATTATTCTTCCGCATTACTCCTAAAACAGAAAAATGTGGTTTATACTCAATAGAATTACAAAATATGACAATGTATCGAGAATTGTCAGTTGCATTTTTCTGGAGAATATTTTTTTACGTATTTGTTTATTTAATTATATAATTCGCTTACCATATGATATTTTTAGGAATAAATTTTTCAAGGTTTTTCACCCATTTTTTGTACTTTGTTACAAAATTCAAAAGAAAAACTTGGAGAATGAATTCTCTTTTCTTATAGAAAAAAAGCAGAAACAGTTGTATGGGAACAACAAATTAGGATGTTTGTTAAAAAATAACAATCAGACTTTTAATAGACTTCCGCAGCCAAGCGTTAGGTTTTCCATCGTTTTGTCAAACCCAAAGGGCAATTTTATTTATTATTGACTTTATCAATTGAGATGTAGTTAGTAGGCAAACTATGATTAAAACCATAATTTTATCTTATGTATATAAATAACACATTGTTATGCAAATGTCTTTGTATACTTTGTACCAATTAGCACTGTGCAGATATTGCATGCTTCAAGTTTTATTTTCAACATGAAAGAAGCAAAAGTAATGACTTTTCCTCACGGAGCATGTGGTTCGAAATATGTGGCATTATTAACTCGTCAGTTAATAGAAGAGCTTTTTACACTGTTATGCTAATTGTAACGTTAGCCATGTTCTCTGTCTTCCTGCTCTAGCATTCGATATTGCTTCTTCATTCCAGTATAAAAAGAAAATGTTTTTAACTTTGTTCAAACCAGGACTAGACGAACTGTGCGCGGCCTGGCCTCAGGAAACAACAACCACATTCGATTATGAAGTCAGTATTGATAACCAGTGTGTACCGATATCGAGATGAAATTGAGTGATCTCTTGAAAAAATCATGAGAAGATAATCAACATGCCATTCTTATGATTTTATGTCATTACGCAGATATTCACTTGGCATATTAATTTTATGGAATAAAAAAAATTATTCTTTCAAATCGTGCAATTTCAATGGACTTTTTTAATCAGGTGCCATCGGACTTTCTCTTTATTTTTTTTTCATGGCAATAAAATTTGGCAGGCTTGAGTGGAAACAAATTTCGTGATGAAAAGCTGATATTCCGTTTTTCGATGTTGAGGAAAAACCTGTAAATTGTAAATATAGATTTACTCAATACCATAAAATAACATATTTCAGAATCTCAGCTGGAGAAAATTTGCAGTTCTCTTTAGATACCAATTGTCAGTGTGAATATAAAATTTTTTCATCCAAGATGAAAGAGAGAGGACCTGTAAGTCTAGTGTGACTTCGTATGATGGCACTAGACATCTTCACATGTCAACAGAATGAAATCATTTGGCCTGGAAAATAATTTCATCTACGTCAGAAAATGTTGACCGTATTTATATTTACTAAATGTATACAATGCTTACTTTACTGAATGGGCGTCTAGACTGGGAAAATTTCTCGTATAAGATCAAATGAAATCCAATGTCTTTTTTAGGTATTTCTTCGTGCTCATAGTTGTTTATAACTCTAAACTATACCTTTAGTTATCTCAAAATGTTTCTTTGAGATGGTGAAGTTAATTAATGCAATATCATGGTGTGCTGTACGCTCGTAAATAGAAAATCGATACTTATTTTTTCATGTATTTATTCTTCAGTTGTGGAATTGAATTTAATAGAAAATTGAAAAACTGTTTTTTGTATCTTTCAATGAGAATCAAATTGTAGTTCGATTAACCCACATTATTTGGTTTTTATAAATTATACTTATCCTTATGACTCATCAAATTGTAGAACATAAAGTGTTCACTCATTTAAATCTGTAAAATTCAAATAAAAATATAGAAAAGCAGCTCTTTGTTTATTTATTTATTTATTTTTTAAAGAAAATTTGGGAGAATTAAATCTGGAGATAGATTTTACATACAGCAAATTTATTTACGAAACTTTCTTTTTAGTCACACAATGAATTATGAAATATCGGAATATAATTCAGATAATTTATTAATATGTACGCAGTCGAAATTCTTGGGTACTCCATACTCGGGTTAGCTTTTTTGATTATTTGAATAATTATTATTTCATTACTCCCTAAGACATATCGATAAAGTATCCACGGGTTTTCCAATGCAATTAGATGATATTGATGACACAACATAGCTATATATTCATCATTGATATAAAACAAACCAACGCAGATCTACATGTGTAGAATCAGTCCTATTAATGACGAAATCGAAGAGAAGCACTTCATTGAAGTATTACCATACACATAATTATATATCCAGAGAATGAGTATAAGCACGTGAATTTTTATACGAAATGAAATCTAAAATTGGAATGGAAGAAAAGATATAAAAAATAATATGAATCCATGGATCATGATGAATTGTCATTATCCTTACAGTAAGAATAAAGGGTATGCATATGATGATGAAAAACAATAATATTTAAGCGCGCTCTCCACGAATTCGTCGAGCCAGTTGGATGTCCTTGGGCATAATGGTGACACGCTTGGCATGAATTGCACACAAGTTGGTGTCTTCGAAGAGACCAACCAGATAAGCTTCAGAGGCTTCCTGAAGTGCACCAATGGCTGCACTCTGGAAACGTAGATCAGTTTTAAAATCCTGTGCAATTTCACGAACCAATCGTTGGAATGGCAATTTTCTGATAAGCAATTCAGTAGACTTCTGGTATCTTCTGATTTCACGAAGAGCTACAGTACCAGGCCTAGAAATAAAAATTAATAAATTTGAAAAATGAGTTTCATCTACTAAGTCTGCAATTTCACTCTCAATTTGCAATAATAATTCAATAACAAACCTATAACGATGAGGCTTCTTCACACCACCAGTAGAAGGTGCACTTTTACGTGCAGCTTTGGTGGCCAGTTGCTTACGAGGAGCTTTTCCTCCAGTTGACTTACGCGCTGTCTGCTTTGTACGTGCCATTTTTCAATACCTAGAAATCAGACAATAAAAAACACAAATGTTGTAATATTTTCCTAATAAAAATCTCTTCCTCGATCAATAACAGACCAAAACTAATGAGTGTTTATAGATGGAATGCAGGCAACTCTCACTTGCGGTTGGAATGCCGATGCAGACAAGGAGAACGCTATCGCGACACTCTCGATAATGTCAATCACCATACGGTCCAGTTATCATTACTATATCGACAATTAAATCTAAAATCGATTGTGAGACAGAGACAACACAAGATCGAAGTGAATAAAAATTGAGAGAAAACCGGAAAATAGAGGGGGAAAAACGAAGAGTTGCGCAATAACAGAGCAGCTCGATTCAATTACCTCTCCACTCACTCGATGAACAATAGAAAAACCATTATTTCATTTTGCCTCCCCTAAACACCCATTTCCATTTAGTTCCCTTGAAAATAATCAAAAGATGCCGGAATTTTCCGCGATATCAGCTGGCCTCAATGAAACAACGATAAGAGAGGTGTTAACCCCTTCACATGTGTCATTACAAAATGTGTTGATGGATTTTGTGGGTCGCGAGAGAGAAGAGTTCCCTCCAAACGTCAATTACAAAATGGTGGCAACAGCAAAATCTCTGGCACAATTCTGAATCAATAAATTTTCCACAAATTTTCCGAGATAATCCATCACTCACACTCAACGATACATAATTATTCGCATTGCAACATGCAGAGTCAAAAAATGATGAAAATTTTCATAAAAAAACACTCACCTTGAATGTATAAATTTCTCGGTAAATGTCAGAATCCAGACTATGAGTTTCCTTGTACTTCGATGGCAGTGGACGCTCTTCCAAACAGGCCAAACAGGCACACACAAGTCTTCTCGCTTGCCCCCCACCACCTCAAGCAATTGAATTGCGAGGAGTACGTAAGCCCGCGGCCCTCTCTCCTCCAATCGCCATCGACGTATTGTCAACCACTCGTAAAACGGAGCAGACCATTGGCCCACACTCCACCAAACTCCTAACTTTACGTCAATCTCTAATTTCTCTGAAGTGTGCACTCATAATTAGGGAAAAACTCTTCCATTATCAATACTGCGCTTTATTATCATGTGGATCATTCAGTTCGAGGCACTCTCCCCACTCTCTTGCATTTATAGCATTTATCCTTCTATCATTCACTCCACTATAGACAGATGATGATCATCTGCTTGTTTTGTCGGTTTTCCCCGAGATCGAGTTCGAGAGACAATACAAGTGACATTGTCAACGCCATAAAATTCCAAGTACATCCAGAATTTTCCACCGAACCACCAGGAGGTGAATCGTTAAGAGTTCATTAGCTTGCTCTCATTTCTTAATTACAAGTGGCTGGTTCATGAATAATTCGATAAATAGGGAAAGGGTAGAGTTAGATGTGAAAAATTTAATATTTTTGGTAATTATCGATTTATCTCAGCAGCTATGGATTTCAGATAAATGCTTTAAACGATTATAATTTCAAATAGAGCATTAAAGTATTTCCTTTTGGAATATTTTTTGAAAACAATCAGTATTTACCGGAATATTTGCATTGTTCTCGGCGAAATGAACATCCTCCTTTCATTTATGGCAGTAATCGGAGAGATGTAAAAGAAGATGGAACATTGCTTTCATGTCTATTGATTTTTATTGCGATTATATGAATCGTTATAGAATATACACGGTTTATTGATAGTTGCTAACATATAATCCGTACTTTTACATGTTTGCGAAATAGAGAATAGCATATGTATAGTGTGACATGTATAAAACCTGTCAATTTTTACTGCAATAAATTCTGAATTTAATGAAATTGTTAAAGAAAATATAATATTGCTGATGTTACACTACTGATTTCCTTGCTGAACATAATTTGAATAATTTTAAAGGTAGTGAAATATCGTGTTACGTTTACGTATCAATTAATCTAATTCTAGTTCTCTTTGTCTAGTAAAATTCCCTAACACTAAATTTACTCTACTTGTACATAAGAGCAGTTTTGAATGAATATTTTCATTTTTCATTCTGCGATAATTTTTTGGACTAAAAAAAGCATCACAATGCAAGGACATGTTACCTTTGTCATAACAGTTATCGAATTTGTCAAATAGAAAAAGTGAAAATTTTATCTAATTTTGTCTTATATTTTAAAATCTCGGTGAATACACTTGCATTGCGATGCGATGGAGTCAAATTCATAATTATTCGATACAAGCAACAATTTTATTGGATCATCTACGGTTCCATAGCCAGCATTAATTAAACATAAATTAATGTTGTCAATGCAACGCCCAGGACCATTTGTTTTTTTTATCAAATATTATGAAGTGGCTTCTCGTTATCATTAGTTTTACTGGTTTCCTTTCATCTAACAATAATGTTAATATTTGCTGTATGATGTGCCGGTCTTAAATGCTTGGCAGTGACGATCATTTTTAAAGTTAGAAATTTAACGATTCGAGAAAGGAAATATAAGAATTTAAAGGTAACTCGTGAAACGTTTCGAATAAACACATGAGAACAAAACGAAATGATGGAAAATAATTATCATAATGATGACGTGAGAATTCCCCGAATAAGTCAGACGCCAAGTTTTGTGAATTTAGGCTCGTTCACCACGGATTCTGCGAGCCAACTGGATGTCCTTGGGCATGATGGTGACACGTTTGGCATGAATTGCACACAAGTTGGTGTCTTCGAAGAGACCAACCAGGTATGCTTCAGAGGCTTCTTGAAGTGCACCAATGGCTGCACTCTGGAAACGTAAATCGGTCTTGAAATCCTGAGCAATCTCACGAACCAAACGTTGGAAGGGGAGCTTCCTGATGAGCAACTCCGTTGACTTTTGGTATCTCCTGATCTCACGAAGAGCTACAGTACCAGGCCTGTTCAACATAATAATGATAAACATGATAATCATAAATTATTGAAAAATTAATGAGGTAAACATTTAATTTTCATTCGTTATTAACGGGATAGGCATGTTATTGTAATTTTTAAGTAAATTGCATCATCTTTTTCGTATGATTTTGATTTATAAATATTTTTTTGTACCAATTTTCATGATTCATAATTTTATGCTGTGATGATAGTATTAAATCCTGGAGAAAGAATAACAATTACCTGTAACGATGGGGTTTCTTGACACCTCCGGTTGAGGGGGCACTCTTACGAGCTGCTTTGGTAGCCAATTGCTTTCTAGGGGCTTTTCCTCCCGTCGACTTACGAGCGGTCTGCTTTGTACGTGCCATTTCTACGAAATCGACAAACAAAGAAAAATTAATCTCTTTTTTCTGACTCACTGGAATTAAATAATTCACGTCACTGGTGTCATCCAAAATAGGGCATATAAAGGAATCGAATTGTCTCTGATTTCTGCAGCTGACAACTGTATTTATGAAATAAAAACATTATTTTAAGGAAGATATGAAGAATTAAAATGAATATAGAGATAATTTTTTTATGATGAGCGTCAGACTGACGTGTAATAACGAAAAACAACTTCGGGATGAATTAGATATTATTTCCCTCCAAAAGCAAGAAAATGCACAAAATGGCGGACGACGTGCATGTCTCTGTTTTCAATGCGTGAGAGACGCTATCAACAAAATCATAAGAATCTTTATAAATTATTTATAAATTATTTTGTATAAGAGCTAATGGTTGATCATTGGATCCATGAAATGTGTTTTTGACAATAAATATCGGTTTATTTTACCTGATTAGATGTTGTACTGGAGAGTAAATTGGAGTGACACAAGAATAGACGTGAAAGATGAACTGCTATGCAAACAGGAACAGCTAGTACTGGCTAGTGAACTGTGGATGGAACCAAAGAGGACTGACTAAAGTAGAGGGTCAGTTCGGGGGGTTTGAGTGACCCCAGTTGCATCGTAGTACTGCACCCCGAGAGAGGGAGGGCGCTACACGCAATGCTGGGGTGTCCATCAAGTCGACGGGGTGAATTTTATTTTCTGCGGCATGAATGCTTTTTGTTTTTTATTTGTTTAACTGAAATTTAGCCGACTATAGAACGAGTGGAAGGGGGAAACCACATTTTGTGGAGTTTTAAATGAAAAAAATTATTCAATATGTTGAATATATACCACTAATGAAAATATATTATCAGAATGAGCGCGTTGTCTTAATGGTAACGTGCTTGCCTTCCACGCCGACGGCCCGGGTTCAATCCCGCCGTCATTTATTTTTTTTTTTTATAAATAATTCCATTTTTATCTTTTTTAAATGGCTAAT